TTTTTTTTTTTTTTTTTTTTTTTTTAGTTTTAGTTGAATACAGTATCCACAGTTTTTGAGCGGTTGCCTTCAAAGAAGGTCTATGGTCCATGTTGAAAGTCCAGTTTCTCAGAAGTTATAGAGACATGCTGCTTCAGCAGGGAATTGATAAATTCAGTCTGAGATGTGGCATCCTGATCTAGTTCTAGAATCAAGATATAGCTGTCAGGAACAGTCTCTACCAGATCGTTGTCGCCTGTAAAACCCATGTTGAGCCCTTATTGTAAAAGAAAGAGTAAGTTTAATAGTAGCTCTCAGTGCATAGCATCTAGTCCGGTATGAGTGTCTTTGCCAACCTGCTGGAGGTCTTTATATGCAGCAGCTGTGTAATCATTGGAGAGTAGAGAACGTTGCGTGATCTCCATATCCCTAAGTCTCGATCTCCCAAACTCCAACGTAAACCTAGAAATGACGGATGTCTTTGTTACTGTGTTAATCAGATGATATACAAGTGTAATAATTTTACCTTCTTGGGATAATATATATCCAATAGACTTGATCCAGATTCTTTGCCTCAGCTATACTGGCCAATACCATGTATAAAATAGAGTGGTTGTGTATCATAAGATCCGGAGCGATGAAGCATCCACAAACTTCCAGCATCCCCTGAACTCATTTTTTGGATTCCGTACTTCCCGTTATGTGATACTCGCTGGCCTTCGCTGTTACTGTTATATTTTGCCGCAAATGGCTACCCGTCCACCGAAACAAGACGCAAGAAAAATCGAGTTCTTTTAAGACAGTTAGAACGTTGGAATGAGAAGTTATACTCTTGCTCGCCACGCGCGAGACTACGAGAAATTTGAACAACATTTCGACATACTACTACCACCCAATCTCAGAATGTAGCCCTCACGCTCAGTAAATGAATTGAGTAGTCATAAGGAGGTCGCATTCAATATTGGGACGAGTTGTGTGTTGAAGAGTTCGAAACTAGCTCTTACTGTTTCAACCACTTAGGGTGGGTTTACAGAATAGGAAACAGATTGCATTATTACCACATACTTTGCATGACGAGTGCACACGGGAATAAAACAGCGGACCCACTCGCCATTCAAGAGACAGTTAGAGATGAAAGTATCGTGACAGAGGGATATACGAACCATGGGGGCTGATATTTGGGACGCTGTGCGTATTGCCAACCAATACATACCCTCATAAGGTATCCTAGGCTCTATCAGGCGACGATCTAGTAGTTGGCGGGCCGTGGTGATAGACAAAATTGGCGGTTCTTTAACCCATGGTTTTGCAATTTGGAGCTCTCAGTTATCCGCAAACGGAGAAATAAGCATCAGGATATTTCATAAATACGCGAGAGAGTTATGTAGGCCTCGCCATGAACCAGTGGTTACCCACAACCCGCAGAATTGAGGCTTCTGGGTTGACACTTAGTCATAGAATTTTCTCTTCCGAAATTATGATTACGTTGATGCTAGAGAGGTATTCGCACTTTACCAATATCTTTCATTCATCAGGCTAATCGTGCTTATCATTCTCAACAATTCATCGATTTGTCACTCATGAGAAAATTGCTAGCCATAATGTCATAGGTTCAAGATTAGCACTTGGAGAGTATTTTCTTCATAAGATATGTGGTTCGCCGGGATACCATCATACTTTAATAGTAATGGAACCCTATTGTCGTAATATCGAATAGTAGGAGGTCCTCAATTTCTCCAGGCGCCATTACGTCGCACGATCCTGTTTAGAATTTACAAACGTAACATCAAACGAGCCGTTCATCTTAACATGGTGGTGTGATCTATCCTGCTGGGAGCATGGTCAAGCTGCCCACATCATTTGGCTGTTATAGACGCTTGTATTCTTTTAGATCCATCCAATATATCTCTCCGCTTAAAAGGGTTCTTTCTGGTTCAAACCTACACCAAAAAAGTGTTTATTATCCACACTAAGTTCGGATTCGGATGGTACATAAACCTAGTCTATAAAGATAACTCGTCCATCTACATGACATCAACCTCGCCCCAAATCGAATGATGCAAAGTGCCAGTGTTTTAGTCTTATAAGAACAGAAGAGTCCTTGCGCTCAATATGTGAAAGAAACTATATTACAGCGCTAGTTCCTATTCTCTTGTCAAACCCAGTAGCTTAATTACTTCTAGTGTGATTCGATAAAGAATTTCTTCACATATTTTGACAGACATAGACAAGAAGCAACTAAAAGTACTTGACTTTTCTTTTACCTGATTCCTATACTACTAATGGAGCCCAGAGAAGTTCCATTGTCACCTAATAGCGTGTCACTTCTAGTGATTGCAAACATTCTCCCGTACGCACTATACTTGGCATTATATATACTAAGGCTGCTGACAGCTGTTGCCTTTCTAGGCTATTCGGTGCTTTTGGTCAAGATTACACGAATTATTTTCTGAGTCGCTCGATTGACTGGTCGGATTGGATTGTGTTTGCCGTTGGGCCCTTGGGTGTGGTCTGGATTTTGTCAGCTACGATACGGGCCCTGGGGCCTCCCTTCCTACAAAATGCCATTGGAAAGGGATCTGAGAATCGTAGCCTTATTGAAAGAGATTTGATGTCCTCAACTTCAGCTGACGTGTGCGAGTTGTGGAATGGTCACAATGTTGCAAGGCTTGCAGCCAAAGGGGAAATTCACGAATTTCTACGAGTTTTAGACGGATCCGAAACTAAATTCCGTGAAGGAGACATTGGACGGAAGCAGTTTTTCCGGGGTATGTATCCATTCCCTAGGCATGAACATTATACTAAGCAATCAAAGAGGTCAACAAGGACTACTACGATGGTTCAGCGACCGCCGACGAAAAGCGAACCCCAAAGCCACCTAATTTGCTGTTGAATCTTGGCTCTCCTGGTCGAAAGGTCCGTGTAATGGCGGCAATGATACAAGCGTGCCTTTTGCAATCGGGGTTTCTAATCCTTCTGGTGCTTCTGAAATTCGACAGTGAACTGAATGAGAGGTTTGTCCGCATCCCACTCTACAGTTTTATTACGGCCCTAAGTGGAACCATAACCTTAACATTGGCGCTCATTCTTTGCGCATCTCAACTTGACCGTACTACAGTACGAAGGTACTGGGTACCAAGACCTACGACAAAGCAAGCTTTACTAATATGGATGCAAAGAGGGACCGCTGAAAATAACAGTAGCAATTCCCTTGGCTCTTATATCATCACTAAGGAGGTAAATAATGAGATCATTGAATCGCATCTCAGCTCAGGTTACAATCGAGGGATACCTGACCGCACAAGATCGCTCTTGAGCTATGTTATTCTACTCGGTGTGGCCCTTGGATATATCGCCCAGGTTGTTGGGCTAGCCTCGATGCGGTATCCCGCACAAATCGCCTTGTTTGGGATCACAATAGTTATGACATTAACAAGGGCATTTCTTCGTCAAGCTCCGCACCCCTTGGTTTCCATAAAATGCCCCCGTCTCTTCGAGATGGATTGGCTCGCCCTAGCACATGTCCTTGACGATAAGCTGCTCTGGGGTCGTAAGAAAGTAGAGAGAGCACCGGTATGGTCTATCAGCGGTGGAAGAACGTGGAGATACTGCCCTGAAAAGCCTGAGGTGCAACGCAAAGGTCAGAAGTCTATGAATCTCCTCCATCTACGGACAGAACTGTACCGTTCCTGTGGGTGGAATTGCCCGGCCACAGAGATGACGTCGGCATTATGCGAGGCTATAGAGACCGTTGCTCAGAGATACTTACGACCGGAAAACAAGGACTTTACTTGGTACCTAGCAGCCGACCTTGGTGGTAACGACGAGGACGACGTGTCGTTTACAATCAACCGAGAGGAACGCCACTCCAAGAATTGGTCGTTGGACAGGGATCAAATACTATCAGCATTATCATTATGGCTATTATATGACCAGCAGATTGGCCAGCCTTCTGAACATGCAGAAGAGAGTTTACGACTTCTGGGCCCCAGTGATATCAAGGAAGACTTGAAAAAATTGTCTTTGACACTGAGAAAGCTTCGCTATGTCAAAGAAACTTCTTATCTCTCAGACAGAGATAGTATCACTGAAAGAAACAGTACATTCTGGACAAGAAAGTTTCGGAGGAACAGAATTGTCGGCTTCAATGAAAGCCTCCGACTAGGGCTACCGAGCCTTGACAATGGACCAGCGAGAGAAAGTATTCGAGGAGGGCCTGGGAGTCAGCAGTATAAGCTTAGCCTTCAAATAACTGATGATGCAAACGAAAAGAATTGCGCACCTGCCGTACTTTCAAGAGTCAGTCTTGCTCAACTGTATGCCCAGCATATTTTCTCGGGGTTTATGTGGGCTCTTTCAGAAAACATGAGTGTAACGCCTAAGCTGGATGATGTGCAAAAGACTGCGAATGATGTGGTTTTGAACGGGCTTTGTGACTATGAAGATGCTCTCCTAGGTATTTTACCACCACTGCTCTGGAATAAGAGGCTAAAGTCGGACCCCCCTACAATCACCACAATCCTGCGCCAGCAATTTCCATAGCTACCCTAACTGTTTTCCGTGATTCTATGATGAGCCTCTTCAACCTATGCTTTCTTTATCCAGTCTGCTAAATTATTCTGCTTTTTTGTGCTTAAAAAGTTGCTGTTGATTTCCCCGCGTAATCTTAACACAAATGGATCACAAGTGAGATACAGAGCCGCTGATGGAAGCTTTTGATCAACGATCGGCGTGCGTGTTCTGCATCTATGTTCTGCATTTCTAGTTCATCACTGTCCAGCGACTGTGGGAATGATAGGATCATACTAACAAGCCGGGATAATACGGCTGTCATTTTCTATTGTGCCTAGTGTAGTCAAACCTATTGATGTTAACTCAGCTAAGCTCTTTTAATTTGACTGTTTCGAATCCGGAATGTCCCGGTCAACTTCTAAGACCACAAACTAAACAATCTCAATAGTCCCATTCAAGTGCAAGATCCGGCTGCTAGCCCCAACAGAGGCAGTGTAACTTGCGGGCTGAAGCCTCCATTGCTGGGATACAACGTCCCATATACTGAGATCTCTCCTGGTCAACGGGAAGGATATTTGCTTCGTCTCTCCCGGTTCCAGGGGGACTCTTTCAAAGCCGCGCAGTTGTCGTACGGGAGCATCTGGAATACCAATGTAGAGCTGGGCAACCTCTGACGCGGACACATCACCCGTGTTGGTGATAGAGCAGGTGACTTCAAACAACACATCCCACAGCTGTGGATGTCCGCCCTGGACGATGGGAGTGCTGGCGTCCACCAGAGGGGAGGTGCTATTTCCTGTAGATGTAATAGCAAGATCAGAGTACTCGAAGGTGGTGTACGACAGACCAAAGCCGAATTCGAACTGCGGTTCGATGCCGTCACGATCGAAGGCACGATAATCGATGTATAAACCTTCGGTGAAGTTCACTTCGGGGAACGCATCGAAGGAGATAGTCGAGTTTAGCAAGTCTCCATAGTCGGATTCGTCCTTGGCGACGGTGAAAGGAAGTCTTCCGGATGGGCTAACATCACCGTACAGGATATCGACGAGGGAGTGACCACTTTCTTGGCCAGGAAGACCGGCAAAGAGCACGGCCGTCACGTTGGGGTGATTGATCCATGCGTCGACCGTGCGGATACCTGGTTTATTCGATGGTTGTTAGTCGATTATCTTGTTCTTAGCTTGGCTTGGCCACTTACCGGCGGAATGAATGACAACGATGGTGTTGGTACAGTTGGCAGCAACGTTGCGTACGAGATTGTCGCTGAACTTGTCTGTCAGACTGGTTCGGTCGAAGGCCTCAGACGCATATGCGTTGATGAATACAAGACAAGCATCACTGTTCACGTATGCAGGAGAGGGATTCTCAGAGTAAAAATCCCAGCGAAGAGTCCCTCTGTTTTTCGAGATTCGCTCCTGCAGTGCCTGGAAGGGACTCACTACGTACGGAGGAGTGCTTCCTCCAGAACCTCCACCGGTGATGAGCGTGCCGTTGAAGGTGGTCCAGCCGAAGTTCACTTCGTAACCGCCGCCATAGCGCGAGGGATTGGCCCACGGGGCTGCACTAATAGTTGCGTCGTAGCCGTAGATACTGAGGAATCTGGTTGCATTCGTGAATGGAAGTGCGTGGTTGACGTTTTTAACCAAAACAGTTCCAGCAGAACCAATCTCTCGGATCAATGTCGCGTGGTCCGCTTGGACGTCAATAGGGTCGTGCTTTTCCGACTCTGGGTAAACTCCGGGGGCAGGATAGCCCTCGTCCTGGCCAGTGTAAAACCAGGTTGCCAGGACTCGCGTGGCCATGTCGTCTAGTCTCTCGCTGCTGACACTACCATTTGCGACGGCATCTGTCAGATTGCGGCCCCAGAAACCTCCGTCTGGCATAACAACATCCAGACCAGCATTAGCCGAAGCGACGCCAGAGTGCTGCGCTGCCCAGTCGCTCACCACGAACCCTTCAAAGCCAAGTTCGGTTTTCAGGATACCGTTTAGCAGCTTCGAGTTTTGGCATCCGTAGCTGTGGTTTAGACGTTGATAAGAGCACATAACACTGCCGACACCTTCCCTCAGAGAATCCATGAAAGGGAAAACATATAGCTCGTGAATGGTCCGGTCATCGGCATTTGAGCTCAGTGACTCGCCCATGTCCCCCGGGTTTCTTCTCCATTCTTCTTCATTCAAGAGCCAATGCTTCGCCGAGGCAATCACTCCAGCGTCCTGGATACCCTTCGTGATAGCTCCCATCCCTCCGCCCGCAAGATAAGGATCCGCGCCTAGTCCCTCCCAATTACGCCCGCCTCTGGCCAATCTTCCCAATGGCCCTGCAACGGGACCTAAGGCGACATTGATGCCTTTTCCCTGGTACTCTTGGCCCAATGCATGGCCATAGCGGTACATCAGCGAGCGATCCCATGTTGCCGCCACGTGAATGCCTGCCGGGAATGCTGAGACAAACTCTTGCCCCCGAATGCCGTCCGGTGCGTCAGAGAAGCAAAGCGAAGGAATAGAAAGCCGAGGGATCGCACCAGTGTTTCCAACGCACTGGCCGTTAAACCCCCGGGTGAGATTGGATTTCTCTTCAACAGTTAGTTGAGAGACAAGGTCTTTCGCGCGTTGATAGGCGCTCTCCCAGACCGAGCTTGTCGCCCCATCGCCGACCGCTGGTTGCCTTTGTCAGCTCTACCAATATAGATTTATGGTGGAGTGAGTAATAGACCACGGGGGCTCTACTCAAACTTACGAGAGGGGTATACGGCAGGACTCTGGCCATAGTAAGGAACTTCTGATTCATTGGTATAGCCCTGGGCCGCGCAGATTGTGCCCTGCGCGAGGGCTATCGAAGCTAAAGGTGATAGGACCTTCATGAGGATAGTTCAATTGTACTATTCGGAGTCTCCACCACTTCTAATCTATGGGCAAATGTGTCTATTTAAGCTCTTCCATTACCAATGCTTGATAGCTAAGAGTCATGGAGATCATATCGGAGGAGACCCGACACGGCACGAAGTAAAATCCATCATGCTCACTAGAACGGGTATACTTCGGGTATTTACCAGAAGTCTCTTGCGCGAGACTGGATACCAACGCCGTCATCATGCCATGCACTGGCCAAGAACACTGGAGACCCCGCAATTCAAGATGATGCCCGTTGCTTGGCGCCAAGCATATCGTCTATACTAAACATCATTTGGGTTACCGTGAAGTCGGGGAATATCCCGAGATCGGCATTCATGCCTGCGCCTCGAGTCGAGGAGGGGAATCACCCTAGGAACAGTCCACAGTAGCGGTGAATCCAAAGAGACGCATACCCCTGTATCCCGGCAATTGGAGCATCGGCATTGACTCGATGCTTTTGCCGAATGCTATACCTTGTACATACACAACGCAGGCAGTGGGGCAACGAAGAAGACAACCGGAATTGGCCTAAAGGCTAGCCGATGGTAATGCCGAACCAACCGAAATAGCTCGAGCAAAGGCTGACTGGGGCTAGTTGGTTACTAGCATCGAGTATTGATGACCCAATGAAATGAGCTGTCCGGTATGGAATGTGGATGGAGCAATGACATCCAGTTGTCAAGCATTTCCTGCGAAGACCTACTCGTGAGGCCGTGAAGCTTAGTGCACTGACAAGCAAGAAATGGTGGCTATCAATGTTAATCGTGGTGTTATCCGAAGACATATCGAATGCCACCCAGCGTATCGATCCACGGCATGGTCACCATTGTGGCTGGAAGTTGGAGCTTTAAAAGCCCCTGCCAATGCAGGTTGTGCAGGTGTCGAATCACATCTTCGTATCTTCCCTTCCAACTTTGATAATGGGATACCATTATAACGTGGGTTACTGGATTCCTGGTTCAAATCGCCACGCATTCTCTCAATCCGGATGCTGTGTCTGGTGACGAAGGTGATGCTTTCGCTCGGGAAATGTTCTTTCATGGTGGACCCAGCTTAATGTAAAGAGTTCTTTCCACCATTTCATAAATGTCTGTCGTGCTTCGCGAACATCGGCGTCCATATCAGGTTGAGTTTGTGGCCTAGACGGGACCTGGTGTTCTATGATATAGGGCCTTCTCAAATGATAGAAAGTCCGGCGACAGAGAGGACAACTCGCATCATGCTCGCAAAGCCATTCGTCTATACATGGCTGATGAAAGCTATGCTGGCAAGGTAAATGGCGCAACATAGAGCCAGGTTCAAGGGTAGCAAAGCAAAGACTGCATGTTGATTCCTCTGACTCTGTGAACGAATACATTTAGCCCATAGATCATAATACGGAATAGGCGATTAGGGAAGCCTACCAGGGTTGAATCCGTGTTGTGGAATGGTAGTGCGAGGCAATCCGGCTAACCAAAGATCTGCACAACGCAGGGGTCCGCGATCTGTTTTCGACGGGACACAGAGGTAATACTCTGGCATCTTATTATCTAAGATCTTCGCAACCTAATAGGTAGGAAAAGTATCATCAAAACAGGACTTTGAGCGCTTTCTTGGCGAAGAAATTCGATACCTCATGGGTCTGTCCTCAGTATATATCTCAACCAAAATGGCACGATGGCCTGTCATGTAGACAAGCCGGAATATATCATCCGGTACAATTAGTTGTTCATCAGCACATCATCGCAGAATTTTATTAATCTGGAGGTTCTAGAGCTGTGAAAATTATTCAACATGTTTCGGTCTTTTTTCGGGAATCCTGCTTATGGCCTGAGGTATCAGCACCATTCCCTTCTGGGTAGGACCATGTAGCCAATCAACGGCCACAAAACAAACGAAAAGGTTGAAACTCGGTGATTCGAGAAGCCCTACCGTTCTGTAGTATTACTACTTTATTACTACTTGGGTCCAATTTCTGTGGTGCTATTGTTGCTATATAATCCACCTCAGCCGTGTCTGCCCCTGGCGATGCATCCATGGGCCGCAAGGATAGTTTACTTTGTGGATGATTCATCGGTACTTGTTGAGACTTCGACACTGGTAGGCTGATACAGAGAGCTGGACATCCCCCCTCAACGTAATGAATATCCCTTGGACAAGAGGTAATATGGCATTGTAGCCGTTTGCCCTCAATGATCCTTGTTGGTAATCGTTAGTGTGGATAGCCTGCTGATCCAAATCACACTTTACACAAGACTGAAAAAGCAAGCCCTGCCACTTATGGACAAAGCTTGTCACAGGCTACAACAGAGAAGCCTCTCCTTACACACGGAAAGTTTCCCCAGAACCATGTCATCAAGAGATTCTCTGGCAGACTCCTCAAGATGCGTAATGTGGGTTGCATACCGGAGTATCATACCCCAACATCTTGTACTATACTCCACATATCTCCGGATATAGCATATGGTGGAGGGGCAGTATTGCAGGATGAACTATAGAAACCTTACCAGGGTACCATTTCCTAGAAGCTGCCATTTAATCTTGCAGTGACCATCCTAATAAACCTAAACTTGTCTAGCGTGGCGATTGTCTAGGTGTACTGGAGTTAGCACCATTCCTCTTAAAACAATATTGAGCCAATAGCGAAGTGGAGAAGATTCTGGTGGCCAAATTTGTAGTCGGTGATCTCTAAATGATGATTATAGCCGTCTCCCAAGCTTTACTCTTCTTGGTAGAGTTTCAATATTGAGTTTAACTCGGTGACGAGGAGGGTCTTTCGGTTGTAAGGAATATTGCTGATCAGTATGGGGTTCAAGCCCTGGAGTTTGGGGTATAAAATGCTTTCCCCAGAAACAAGAAGCCCCAGTTCTACAAATTCATGATCAGATCTAAGTTTCTCTTTCTAAAATCTCACTACCTCTTCACCTTCAGTCGCTGCTCACATTTTCATCAATATGTCTGACACTCGAGAGGCAAATCTAACCGCGATGGATCCCGCTGAATCTGGATCGTCGCAATTTCATCTCCAAAAAGAGAGACAGGCCGCCTTTCATGATGAACATGGTCCTGTGGCATCTCTCCCTCAGCGAGAAGCCCACATCCATACTGTTTCACAAGTGCCTCTGCCGCCCTACCAGAAACTTGCAAATCCTGGTCCCTTGGGACTTCTAGCTTTCGCATTGACTACGTTCGTCCTTGGTCTCTATGAATGCGGTGCAGGGTAAGTGGATATCTCTATACCATGCCTGCAAGACCTGATAGTGACACTTGCATTTAGATTACCTCATTCCAACCCTCAAGGCGGGGTTGGGCCTAACCAAGCTGCCTTCGGACTAGCCATTTTCTTTGGTGGTGGTGCCCAGTTTGTCGCCGGCATATTCGAGTTCCGCGTGGGCAACACCTTTGGTTGCACCGTTCATTGTTCCTATTCCGCCTTTTGGCTCAGCTACGCAATGTTTCTCATCCCATCTCTGGATATCAAGGGGCAGTATAACGGAGATGAACGGGCATACACCTTCGCGATCGGCATCTACCTGATAGTGTGGTGTTTCCTGACCGTACTATTCCTCCTTGCGGCTCTGAGAACCAACCTGTCCATCATTCTTGTTTTCTTCTTCCTGATCATTGCATATCTGCTGTTGAGCATTGCCAACTTCATCGCAACGGAACACCCTGCCCAAAGTGTCAAAGTAAACAAAGCTGGTGGTGCCTTCACTGTGATTTGCGCATTTGTTGCCTTTTATGCTGGTGCCTCTGGCCTGATGGTGCCAGAGACGACGTGGGTTCGGTTCCCTCTGGGCGAGATCCCTTAAGGTGCACTCGTCACTTGAAGTGACTTACCTCTAACTAAGCACTGAGTCCCCTAGCTTGCATGGTGGTTTAACTGCATATGGAATGATGATCACAATTCTGATGTTTATTTGGGGAGGGGACTTGCATATCCAAAGGTCCAATTCGCTATACCGAAAAACTTCACATATAATGTTGTTCACTGTTCTTGTTTTCACTACTATCCATAAAATAAATAAAAATGGATACGACGAAGAAGACTAAACGCCTTCGTGAATTATACGGGTGTATACTATGATTCCATCATGTTTGATCTTTGTGTAAATCTCTGCATCTTCATTAATTTGTAGTCATTCACGATAGTGATGAGAAACTATTGAGGCTATGATGTCGCTACTTCCCTTCCATAGTGAATCCGTTGATCTGCATGATGCTCCGCGTCAGAATGGTACAGTGGGGAAGGAGTGAGGAACAAGCCATATATATCCCAACCATCACATCATACTACACATCGTAGCTTTACAACAAACTCAACCCTATGTTGCTCGGGTCCTACATTTGCTTCCCACAGCAAGCGCTGTCGGTGAATAGTGTCGCTTTCATTGGAGTCTTTAAACTCAACGTTGGGTGCGCCCCAGCACACGCCTTGCTCATCGACGGTTAGCACAATCAATACTAATTGGACTGGGTCGGCTGAGGATAGCTTTTCAGAATTCATTTGATCTTTCCTGATCTCTACAGCCTCTACTGCAAGGACACTGCCAGAAATCCTTGGCATACATTAACATTTTCTATGCCTGCTTCCCTGAACGTTTCTTTTGTTTCGTTGATATCATACTACGCTGGATGAACAAACGCGATATTGAATGCCAAGAAGAATCGTTATGGTCTTGCAAGACATAAAGAGTAAGGACGGAATCATGTCCAAATGGTGAAAAGCCAAGGACGTCTCATAAATCACTTGGCTGATGATCAAGCAATTGCCAGCTCTCTTAGCTTATGAAATTCCATTCATCGTGCTGCTCAGCATGCATCTGCAAAATGGCGCTAGGTATAGTGCTGTAGCTGTTACTGGTCTAGTCCAAGCAACCGACTTCCGTATCTGGTGGCAAATTGCTAGCTGCCCATGCCAGATTCAATTTAAACGCTCAATAAGAAAAGTATGGATGGTTCACCCGAAAGCGATTGTTGAGCCGTCTGATGATCCGACTGCGCACTTTGTAGTAAAAAAATATCATCCGATCTCAAGCATTGCATTTAGATTCACTTTTAACAACCTATATAATCAGAGAGTGTACTTGCTACCCGAGAAACATGGGGCCAGGCAATTGGGCATATCTTTCGCAATTTGATACTTGAATCGTAGGCCCTTACCTGAGATATAATAAAATAGATATTAGGTCTGCCTCTATAGATACTCAGTTATTCAGATTTTATAGCTATATATATTTAAGATTAGACATAATATATTGTTTGTCTATAATCAAGATATCTTTCTTCTATTGAGTAGTTAAGTTATTGAAGTATAACTCTCTATAAATACTATTCTTGTAACTGGTTTTACGAGATACCTTATCTAAGACAAGAAAGAATTTGTCTAATACAGTATAAAATTGATTATCTTTCAGTAAAGTGGCTCCTGCTGTCTCCAGCTCTTCGAAAAAAGAATCGGCCTTGAGAGAGATAGACTGGTCTGTCTGCATCTCTCGAAGAGCAGGCCGATTGGGGTGAATATCCCCCACTACTTACTTCGAGCCAGGGCTATTGAGATTAGTCAGTTTGATTACTGTTGTTAGTCCGCCTATTATATAGATTCAGCTTCAGCTTTATTAAAGTTTTTTAGTATTATTTCCCTACCGGAGTAGTCTCGGTAATAATATAAGAGAGTTATATACTTGATCTTACCAATTTTGATCCTAAGGCGCCGAGATTTTCTTTCCCATATATCCGGCCCAGTATCAAAGAGAAGGCAGTGCTTCTGGGAGCCCTTTGTAATAACCTATAGTAATATAAGTTCTCAATCTCTATCCAAACTAAGGAAAGCCTACAAGGAGCAGAGAAGTTCTGTGGGCCGCGCAACATATATTATCTATATACATTTCCATAGTTGCTCTACCACATTGGCTGTCCAACTTTAACAGTGTCAATAGAATATCTATAAAACAGCTTGCCACCTTTACAGTAGTATTAGGGCTTGGGGAGATCGGGTCAAGTTTATTGTTGACAATGACATGGATCTCCAGATCTTCAATCTCTGTCAGCTTGATATGGGCTATTCTCCGATCTTCAGTTGAGGAATGAGTTTGACTCTACAAATGGATGGGGGCATTCATCTCATTTAAAAACCCAGCCGACAGATGCCATGACGTCATGTCGATATCCGTCCTATACCTAGTTGGCTCGGAATTCCGACCGGAGGTAAAACGCATTCAGGTGGCTCGGAGGAACCTGCGCGCTTAGTTGTATATGTTGGCTATCCTCAATGTACTTGTCTATACTAACAATGGATTTTGCAGCCTTTCTCTATCTTCCAGCTTTCAAATCAAAGCTTCAGCTCGCAGTCATCAGCGATATGTGTCTTACAGTACTGCACTGTCTCAATTCCAAAGCAAGAACTGGCAGTCAATGCTGGCAGACCACCACATGACTCTGAGATATGCCATGGCCTCACTAATTCCAATGCTGTACCAGCAGCCAGTGGGCTGAATGTCTTGTCCTCTGGTGGTGAGTTTCCTTCTATTAGGCTGTGACTGCCGCGCATGATTGGCTCCAGGCTCGTGTATCGAAATAGCCATAATCCATCCATTGGCCACCGTGCTTATGAGATCATATTTGCCTTCGTATTTGTTCTTAAAATAGGATCAGGTGCCTGGAGATTGATGGAAGACACCCAAAAAGTAGTTGTCACCAGGGAATGCAGGACGGCATGGCGTGCCTTTATCAGGTCACCTCGTGGTTCGCAACCGCTGGTCTATTAAATCCTCGCACTGCATCCGAGAAGTTACACTGCTTCTAGAAGCCACGCAACATTCGCTGCTACATATATAGCGATATATAAATACTAGCAGTTGTATAACAATTGCTACCTTCTCTTGTCGTCGTTTGCTTCTTCCATTCTAAATAATTACCTCGATACTGATGCCCTGAAAAAGAAATGCATCTCATAACTCCCTGCCGACTCTGCACAGCCCTCACTGTGTTCGCAAGTCTGATTACTTCCTCCGTTGCCATCGATACCCCCGCGACGAAAGATTCTACCATTTTCCGGTCCACCGTGAGCTGCCCTACTTGTCCCGATCACAACTGCTACAAATGCACACTTGGTCACGACGCCACCCTCGAGGCCAACACTGGGGGACTGGCCTATATCCGTTCTCTGATCGCATTTCAACTTCCAGTCCCAGCTGCCTCCATCACAGCATGCACAGTGCAATTTCCCGCCTTCACAAAACCACTCGACGCACCTGTTAATGTCACGGCCGCCCAGGCGCTCTCTTCCGACTGGGACGAGGATACCGTTACCGGAGAGAACGCACCAGATTCGGGCGAAGTCTTGACGGAAATTGGAGTACCTGCCTATGCGAACATGGGGGCTATCGATGTTACGCCGGCTTGTAAGGGTGCGGATGAAGATGGAAACTTTTCTATCTTCCTGGGAACCAAATTTGGCAGAATCGAGGTTTGGTCGAAGGATTCGGGAAATCCCGCCATTCTTCACATTACCTCCTCTGCTTGAATGTCTGTGTGTGTGATCTACAGGGGTAATGGTTCTGGATTCCACAAGTTTTCGTTGGAGGACTTTCGTATCTAATGATGGTCATGAGATCTGTGGCTCTACGGGTGTTTCATGGTATGACGGAAGGAAATAATGATGACATTGTTTGCCCTTCGCGTCTTTTATACGTGTAGTGCAAAGTTAAGGTCTCTCTAGCTCATTCATTAGGTTGATCGTACTAGAGTGCTAGGCTGCCAACAGGATTCAGTGACCTTCTGTACTTATGGTTGCTTCTATAGCTACTTGAGCATATGCGATATAGGACACTTATCGTTTTCACGAATGAGCTGGGCAAGCATGATAAATTGAAGATCATTGCAGAAGAACTTTGAATAACCAAGTGTTCATACTTGTAGTTTTGCCCATAACAAACAGTACCAGTTATACTCGTTGGAACGATAACAAGAGTTTGAATATAAAAAAGCTACTCATCACGAACACAAGCCTACGGCATGATAGTAAAAATGGCATCCATTACAGTTTGGTACAAGCAAGATTTCCATTACTCTGTTTCCTGTCAGCTGCATACACTTCAGTCATCCGTCAAAGAATAAACTTACAAGAGGAAGATTGCTGGTGCAACAATACTCGGTTTTTCCCGTGGGGCAGTTCCCATTCTTGGCTATAGAGGTCAGATATACGCGTTGGATATGCACGTTATAGGGACATACCTTTGCAGTTGAACCCGACCGCACGAATGAAGAGGATGTTGACAGGGAAAAAGGCCTCGCAGCAGAATCGGTTCTTGCCCGCGCAAGCATCCCTCTTTTCCAGGTCTTCTGCTGGGGCTGCTGTGGCCAAGCTGGCCATGGCGCACAGGGCTAGGATGGTCTTGATGTTCATGGCTGATTTTCCTGTTTACGAATATTCGTAAATGTATGTGTAACTGAATAAATTAGAATGTAAAATAGAGAGTGTGGGGTTGGAATCCACGTAATATTTATAGACCGACACACAAGGAAGAATTCTTACCTTCAATGTATGCCCCGCGTTATAGAGCGATCTGGGTGTCTCCGGACCAAGAAAAAGAGAAGGTTTTCTGGTTTGCCGTATCTAAACAGTACGCGAACCTTGGGATTGACATCTGAAAGTAGCAAAAACGTCAGACGACTGTCCTTTCTGTCAGACGACTGCCCCTTCTATTCAGATCAATGGCCAATATAGGTTCATCCGAATTTCCAGACTATGGACATCTGGAGTGTGGCGGAAACGAGTACCGCCAGCAGTATGCTCTGTGAGCTATTCATCAACTACTGTCCCCCAGAACGCCGGACCGCCATATAAAAACTAGACCACAATGGGAAGAAGAAGTCGTCATAGAATTAGTCCTAGAGCTGCTACAACTGTGTCTTTTGAAGGTTGCTACTGCGTCAAGAATTGACATTGCCTGTCGTTACCTATCATTCTTCCCAGTTTCTGTGCGAGAGATCGGCCTCAAGTTCCCACCAGTAACTCCATGGGCCCTAAGATGTATCGTGATCTTCATGATTATCCCTTTCGAAAGAAGATAAGCTAAAAACAAATGTCTTCACGGATCCTGCAGTTTCCGGGACCCGAGCAACTGCCGAGATCCACTCATATCAGGCCGACAGCATTTCATCTACTGATCTGTATAGCTTCGTGATGCCCACAACAGAGTCTACTACTCTTTTGGACTATGTTTAGAAGACAACCGCCATTCGAAAACAGTGCCATTGCTCGCCGCAATTACCCAACTATACCATGCTGCTTGGAACATACTGGCAGGTCATTACTTTCCTTCCTGTAGATCTGACTGACCTTCACAATCTGTGACGTCAAATTACCGCCGAGGGTCCACCCTGATTAATAATGTAATTCAACTCGCGAGTCATGAGCGAAGATCTCAGGTCAAGTTCGGTAGTCATGCAAGCCCTTAGATCCGTTAAAATAAATACTTGTAGTGACCCGCCAGAACTCAGACTCGTTTGGAGAAGGCAACGAAGTGACCCGGCGTGATTCAAACTCCTCTGCTTTTCGCAATCATCAAGATGAAAGAAATCATCAACCTTCACGACTGCCAGACCAAGCTGATAGAGTCCGCTATCCCGGAAATCAATGACGACCAGGTCCTGATCCGTGTCATCGTTTCCGGGTCAAATCCCAAGGATTGGAAGGTGCCGGATCTGGCGCACAGCGAGGAGAAACCGTACTTTGAGCGCTACGAGAAAGTCCGACAGGGAGTAAACCAGGGCGATGATATCGCTGGGGTAGTCGAAAAGGTGGGGAAAAATGTAGTCGAATTTCAGGTGAGTCTGTCGCTTAAATCCTCTTCATTACTGGTGATCGGTCGGGATTAACAGATATCTTGATGCCTCCCCCAGCCGGGTGATCGAGTCGGAGCTTTCCACGAAATGCTTATGCCTGGAGGCAGTTACGCCGAGTATGCGGTTGCTTGGAGTCATACCACGTTCCATTTGCCAGAGAAGATCTCATTTGAAGGTATATCAAACTGGCGTTGATCCTCCGTCACTTTCATCGTTATTGTACAAGACTAACCCCCAGCAGAGGCAGCCACAATCCCGCTAGCCAGTCTCACGGCAGTTGTATCTTTGTATCATCACCTCGGATTCCAATTGCCCTGGTCCCCAGCGGCCAAAGGCAAGATTCCCAGCGCCACGACACCGTTCATCGTGTATGGCGCAAGCACGGCGGTCGGGTCGTATGCGATCAAATTCGCCAGACTCAGCAACATCCACCCGATCATTGCGATCGCTGGAAAGGGCGCCCATTACATCCGGCAATTCCTGGATGAAAGTAAGGGCGACGTGGTCGTTGATTATCGGGAGGGTCCGGAGAAAACCATCGCGGGTATCCGTAGTGCCCTGCCCTCATCGACTGGTGGCAAGGAGCTCCCAGCAAACCACGCTCTAGATACAATCGTCACCGAGGACAGTACTGCCGTACTGCGAGCGGTTATGAACCCCGGAGGTAACATTAATTATGTGCTGATGAGTCCCCCGGATGTTTCTCCGGCGGTTGCATCGAACACCTGGGTCAGTTCGGCGCACCAGATCGGTGGTGTCGATGATTGTCGGGATCTGTGTTTCGTGTTCTGTCGGTGGTTCACCCGAGCACTGCAATCGGGGGAGTTGGAGAGCCATCCTTTTGAAGTCAGAAAAGATGGCTTGTTGGGGGTTGAGAGAGCGATGAAGGACTTGAGGGATGGAAAAGCGAGTGCAGTGAAGTATGTGTTTAGAATTGGCGAAACACCAGGATTAGAGAAGTCGGCATAGGTGCTATAAAGCAACGAACGCTTGGCAAGGATATTAGATGAAACATGCTCCACTAAGCCAGGCATGGAAGAGCTCATACTGGCGCGAGACACGGCCTGCACCCGGAAAAAAGGGTTCGGTATGGCAATGGTTGCTATGTATACAGGGTAAACAAACGGAGAACTGAAGATACGTTTTTTGACATCATAAATAATGAAGCAAACATTACTATTGCACTGCTAGTGCACACTTCACTGAGATCAACCACCTATAAAGCTGAAAGGCGCACCAAGCCTAGTCCCGTTCTAGACTATGTAAAAAGATGTCCACTCACAGAGAAAAGACGATTATATACAGAGCATATCCAAGGCCTCTAGCTAAAGGCCGAGAAGCAGGAGCTCTTTGCATCGGATTCCTCCCATCCGATACACTTCCAGCAGTTCAACAACCGGTTAGGATCGTATTTGTTCTTGATGTTCAACAAAGGCTCATAGTTCTCGCCCCACCAGGCTTCCTGCCAATCTTCGGTAAATGGGTTGGCCTCGCAGCTGTAGGCACCGCTACCCGGGGTAATCTCCTCAAGGGTAGCGGTCATGTTCTGCAGGCCGGCAATTTTCTGCTCGCGCGTCTCCAGGGTGCTGTTCCAAGCCCAGGCAGTGCCGGAGCCCAGCTCCCAAACCGCCGAGCGCCAGGCGGGAGTCGCAGAGGTGGAGTTCGCCGTGTAGTTGTACAGCACCGGGCCGACGATGGGGATGTAGGGGCTTTGTCCGTGAGACTGGATGAGGGAGAAGAAATCCATAAGGTTCTTGCGGCCCTCGGCAGTTTCGAAGACAGCCTTGGGCACCAGACGACTACCCGCAAAATGGGTCACACCGACGCTAACCGCGTTGGAGGTGACATACTTTTCGTAGAAGGTGTACCAGGACGAGAACTGTTCAACCGTGGCCGAGCCACCCTGTGCTTTCGCATAGGCGATCACATCAGCAAGGGACTCCTCCGCTTGAGCGACAGACAGTAAGGGAGTCACATTGATGAGGCTGCTGCCACTGATGTGACCTCCCCAGCCTTCCGAAGCCCACTTCAGGGTGTTGTTGACAACGATATCCATAAAGGGCAACAGATTGCTAGAGTTGGAAGTGAATTTGATAATGGCAGCAACGAAGCTCAACTGAGGTTCCACTCGGTGGGTGCTCTCGATTACAACACCAAAAGTACCCCCACCGCCGCCACGGAGAGCCCAGAAAAGATCCTGGTTCTGGCATTCGTTGGCGATACGGTACTGGCCATCCGGTGTCACAACCTTAAATTGGATCACTCGATCGATAGCCAACCCGTAGACGGGAGACAAAATACTATGGCCAGCGGTTTGCAGGAAACCACCGCTGGCGCCCACCGTAGGCGCATAGCCACCCAAGAATGTGACGTCATGTGAATTGGCAAAGGCATACACCTCGTTGAAGTTGACACCGGCCCCAATACTGATAGCTTGCACTGGTGTTCCTGGCGCGGAGCAAGCATCACAGCCCTCAGGTTTGAAGTCGGCATGGTATGTTTTCGACTGCAGATTGCGTGTCCAGAGTGCTAAAGTTCCTTTCCCACTGCTACGGCCCAGGTAATCATGACCACTGTTCTTAATCGACAAACGGGTTCCTGAGCAGTGGGCGAACTTGAAGGCCTCAACGGCGTCGCTAGCCTGCTGCACCTCGAGGTAATACGAGGGTAAGTTACCTTGCTGGCAGACTGTGTTAGTAAAGGCCAACGGATCAGTCGGATCAGAGCTGTCGAGCAAGCACTGGTCACGAGGGTCCGAGGCACACATCTCCACCTGATTGTTCATGTATCCATTGGCAGAGTTAGCGCGCAGGTACGGATCGCTGTAGTTTCTTTGGATAATCGAACAGGCGGCATCGTTAACCGCCACCGCAGTGCCATTGTAATTCGAGAAGCAGGGAAGGGAGAAGGGTGTCAGGGGCAGAACACGGCCACCGACGGTGGCATTGAAGCTGTCGAAATCACAGGTTCCGGCTGAAACGCCCAGCAGGTGGACGGTCAATGACACGAGCGAGGTTTTGAAAGTTGAAGGCGCCATCTTGCCACGCGATGAGATCATGCACGGTGGGAAAACACTAGTGGATAAATCAAACAGCCGTGAAGATCGCACCCTTTCTTGGAAAGTAATCAGTGAGACAGGAACCGTGTTACCTTTTATTCAAAATCCGGTACTGCGGTGACCCCTTGCAGAAGTGCCGGGTTGTTGGGAAACTAGTCTCAGGAAAGCGTTCGGAGATATATTGTTTCCGACCACAATTCGCAACTTTGCCCATAGGCTTCTCTCCATTCCTTGTTGGGCGGTATAATTCGACAGTCTTATCTCGTACGATGGTGGGTAGGGAACGCATGGAGCACGGAGAACGTCCGTCCAGCTAAACATGGCCCATAAGCTAAGGGATGCATACTAAGCTTTTAGTGGCAGAGGTCAAGACACAAGCTTAAGGAGCATTACATTCCTTAGGGCTTCGGTGTCTCTTCGGGAATATGAGTGACGATACTCCAATCACAGCGAAAAGTACAGACCCGCCCAGTGGAGCCTTCCCTTAGTCCAGGCTCCGTAATGAATCAGACGCTGCAGGGTAGTCAAGCTTAATAGGAATAAGAACTGGCGAAAGATGGTAAAGAAAAAAAGAGGCCTGAGAAAGAAACTCGAAAAATGTGGATCCACACTCCACATAGGAATTTCTTCGGACCTCTCGCCGCGTGGCTCAATATAAAACATATTGCAATTCCCACTAGCAATGGGTTTTTCTGTCTCACCTGCATGAACTATTGAACTCTATCGGTTGATATCTGAAACAATTCAGAAATACCTATGCCGTCTGCCGTGCAGCGTAGTTTTGGTAGAATGCCCGTCGAACCTGCAATCGAACTAGGGCTCCCTTGTGGTACAGCAACCAGACTAACCAGACATCCCACGAAGAATGTGGATGGGAAAACGATCCCTGCCATTTTCAGTGTAGATCAACGCGGTCCATTTTTTAAGGTACTCCATACTCGGTTCAAAAATAAAACAGCAGGTGTATCCCGCACTGGTTGATTGAAATACTCGTCGAGCTCCAGGGTGCAGAGGCACATCGAGGACAGCACGGTTGCGGCAAGGCCGGAATTCCAGGTTGAGTACCATGGAAATACGGCCAATTTACGCCATTAATCTTAGGTTATGAATCTGAGGGCCGTGGCACCCACCCAAAGACTAGAGTTTGAGACAAGCCTCATGAACCGTCGATGAGGGGTGAGGCAATTAAAAGGAATAACACTATAGAACCAACACCACACCCCATAATCGCCGACCCTCCTGAAGTCGCTCGCTTTCCATGAGGATGTCGGCTTGTTATCGCTTTAAACTAGAGATCTGATCGTTGGAACGTGTGACCGGCGGGTCCTCTGGTTGAGGAGATCCATCGTAGTAAACCGACGATCGTCCACAGGATTGCCCTTCTCAGGTTGACCTCGCGGTCAATCCCCAGCCGTGCACGAGGATGACCATCGAAAACACATATTGGAAAAACGTCCTCACGGTCGTCCCTATTGTGGGTGCGGCCATCGCGACACTGAGTTATATTCTCCGACTGGTATCCTGTCGCATCTCCACAGTAGGGCTGAGGCTGGAAGATCTCTTGATGGGCATCGGCTTGATTCTCTCCTACTGCGCCACCGCTTTTGTTATCTATAGTAGGTCCCTACCCTGAGGGAAATACCGGAAGATATTGCTCACAATCCCTCAACAGCGGCATTCAATGGTGTGGGCGTCCGAACGAGCCTTTTGCCCCCAGATGAACGGCATCGCATTCAATTTGTCAATCCCCCCATGCTCTCTCCCTCCGACCTGGCTCACTGCGACTCCGCTAATACACCACTAGGGCTCATGGATGATTCAGAAATTCTGGGCGCCATCCATGGCGTTCGTCAAGATCTCGATTATTGTTTTCCTCCAGCGCATCCTCGGCACGGTTCCTGCTTTTCGGATGGTCTCGAATTGCCTCATCGTCTTCATCGCTCTGTGGGCCGTCGTGGCGCTGCTCGTTAACATCTTCCAATGTAATCCGGTCCAATTCTACTACGATAAAACATTGCAAGGAGGCCATTGTATGCATGGCCAGACCAAATTTTTTCAGGCCATGGGAAGCATCGCCTTAGTGGAGGATGTGACGATTTTACTTATGCCGGTGCCGATCGTCTGGCGACTGAAGATCACACTGCGCCAAAAGATCGCAGTAACTATTGTCTTTTCGTTGGGAGGATTGTACGTTGTGGAATCGTTGCTTCCCGCACAACATCCGTGACTCTAGAAGCTGATTATCACAGGGTCTGTATCTTCAGTCTGATGCGTCTCATTGAATTCCGTAACTTTGTTGTCACGGACTTAGCCTGTAAGTTCCCAGCCACGCTCAAGACAGACAAGTAAAATAGAAAGGCGCGGACTGATTAGCCAACACCAAATGTAGCATCCAGTGCTAAAGAGTCGATCTGGACGGTACTCGAACTCGATGTCGCCATTATCTGTGGTTGTCTCCCTCTGCTCAAACCCCTCCTGGCCGGATTTCTTGGCACCGTCAAGAGCATCTCGAAAGGCCAGTCTAATTCGGGCACAAAGTTATATTTTCACACAAGTGGGACGCACAATCACGACGGATTCCACAAAATCAGCGACCCACACAGGGCGACAGCCAGCCAAAGTCGGGAAGTGGCGACGCAGTCCACTCGGCGTGGGAGCTCGGAGATTGAACTGCAGGGAATTGAAGTACACACGGCGATCGAGAGTAGGTCCGAGGTTGCAAATAATCGTCATGCAGTGGAAGGAAGGGCATGGCCATTGCCATAAGAGTTACCTAAGTTATACCAAGAATATAAGGACCTGTAAAATCAATGCCGAAAATGACCGCCCTGCCACCTGCCACCTAGGGAGCAGTGTTATATCCGACTCTGTCAGAAATTAATATAGCTGATTTAGGGCAGAGTGAAAAGTGATGAGATTCTAGATGGCCATGGCCAAGGTTTTCATTGCAGAGAAGCCTCTCCCCGGCCTGAAAGATGTTGACTATCTGAAGGCCGCTCTCGCTGTGGCCGCTATGCTTTAGTCTGTTGTCTAGTTATTCCAGCTCTGTGACCTCGTGGCGGGATCAATTCACAATGCACCGAGATCATGTATGTTCAGTGCCTCACATTCGTCATTTCGAATAGGCATTGGCTCAGGCAAGGCGAGGCAACCACGCGAGAGCAGCAGTCGCGTAATGCTGGCTGTTTTGGGGGCTCGGATTGTTTCATTGTCCAATTTTCCAGCTTCCTCGTTGAATGTATCCTAGAATACCTGCTGCAAAAGTACATCGTATCCAACTGAACCATTCTTGAGGTGGACCTTGCCCCGCTTCTCAATCCTTGACTCTCTATCTCAGCCGTCGATTGGAGGAGTTTTGCATTTGTCAGGACCTCTTTCATCAACCTCACACCATTCTGATACTGCGCAGAGTCTCCTTGGTCTACTTAGCAAGAACTATGGCATTGAGCGAGAAACAGAAAGGGGTTAAGGTCTCTATCTAATCGATGAGGCCCGCAGGTCAATATGAACAATTGAGGGCCGCATATTCATGACGACACTCTGGACGGGAAATGATGGACCTTGCGTATTCTGATTAAGAGGATTGGACTCCTTTACCACCTCCAATCTACGAGGCATTCCCGCTTATGTTGTTGACGTCTAGGCCGTCCAGTCTAATAAGATCGAACAGTGATTGGCTCCATTGCGTGTCCATTGGCGGGATCCCATAGCTCTCGAGACTGAAGTCGGTGAGATCAAATTCAAGCCCATCGTGCGGTGCCAGGTTGAGAACGGCCTCTGGATGATTACTGTCCGCCACCAGTACCTGACTGGATTGGTCGCCCAAATGGACGACTGGCGTTTGATTCACCTGCTGCTTCGACTGGAGGAACACTTCAGCGACCTGGTAGAAAGCGTGGCAGATGCTATGTAGCCGCTTAATTCCTTCGGATACAATGGTGAGTGATTGGAGAGCGTCGACGAGTGATTTGAGAAGGCTAAGATCTTCCTCGTTTAGAGAGGTGATGACGCTTATAAAGATCACAAAGAAGGGGGTAAAACTGCTATATAGCAATCCCCAAGTGACGTATGTGGACTGGCTTCCAGGACAATCAAGGAATTGTGGAATAATTTTCAGGTGACAAACCACACTCTGCCGAGCAGCTTCAAGACACATGTCGCTCACCTCCAGAGATGACCCGGCTGGGCTTCGTGTGTTACCCCGGTAAAGAAGCGCGAGGATGGAGTAATACATCGGATATGTCGCCAGGACTAGAGAGTTGAGCCCTTCTGAATGGTTAGGGTTCTCTTGACGGATTTGATCCAGTTTGGCTTCCTTCCAGATGGCCAGCTCTTGCGCCAGACTCGCAGTATACACCAGTCTTTCTTCAGACGGTATTGCCAATGCGCGGACTGAGTATACTAGATCATATACCTTTCCTTCCAGTCGGCCAAAATGAATCCAGGCTTGACATAAAAGATCATAAGAGCGATATTTCCGGTCACTGGACGGCTCGAATAATTCTGCATCGATATCGTAGTCTTGTAAATTAGATGCCCTCCCGAGGTTTAGAGCAATATTCTTGTCCAGCACATATACCAGCCAAAATACATGACGCTTCGATTCCGCAAGAAGAGAGCGATCTCCTTGTAAGGTGGATCGGCGGTGGTAGCCCAATGAAACGCAGATGTTGGCAGCTGCTGTCAAAAGGGTACGACATAGAAATGGGCGTGATAATCCCAAAGCTCGCATCGCACCCAGTGTAAGTGCCTGAGCGTTTTCCAATGATTGTGAAGTTAGCACCTCATAACTTTCAACACCCAGGCAGAAGTTCCTTTCGCAGAGACCTAGCCAGGAGCGTATTTCAGAGTTTGAGAATTCCGGATCATTCTCTGGAAAGAGATACTGGCCTTGCTCCCATAACAGCCCGTACAACAGCGTCAGACTGCCGAGGGACACCTGCTCGGACGGAAAGTACACTTGCCGACATAAAGTCTCGAGAAGATTAGGATCTCTCCAGGCACAAGACAGAAAGATATCCGTAGGGTGTGCTGCGTTTGGTTTTAGCCAGTGGAGCAGCTAGTTGACCAGACATTTTGTATATACCTTTGAATCTTCTCACAAGTGCAGCAGCAAATCCTACAGGTGGAAGTTCTAGACTGTGCTTCTGAGAATCATTCCTGAAGACTGGAAAATGTGTGTGGCCAGCTGATAGTTCCGAATGATGAAGCTTAAGTGTATTTCTCAGATTCTTCAATGCATGAATCATGTGTTTTCCGGGCAGCCAGGCGTTCTCCTTGGAAGTGGTTTCGGCGACATTCTCGGCAAATCGCGCACTGCTCGCAAACGACGAATCGCCTTCGAATCCGGGGGTCAACTGTATGATCTGGGTCGCTCTGTCTGGCGGATGCACATCTGTTACGCCTAGAGAAGCGGAGCCGATCTTGTTCCGTTGCTCAGCTTTTGCCGCAGAGGCGAGGTGGGTAAGATTGAGTTCTATACGATGAAGACGCTCTTGAATGAGTTGTATTTGTTTTTCGCTCCACAGAGGTTAGCGACTGCCGTTGAAGGCTGTGGGATATTTACTATTGGGATGAAACACTAATGCGAGGTCGGCTTTCGTATTGTGTTTCAGCCGGGACGCATTGTATCCGCAGGTGTTGGCAATTGGAGCATGGTACAACTTTTTCGCATCGGATCTGGTCATGTGAGATGGCCGTCCATACACCGTGGAGACACTTTCCACCTCACCTTTCTCGCACGACAGCCTTGACACTATTCATGCATGAGCCACTGACCTTTGGCAAGACTCCCATACTAGGGTCACTTACTGCCTTTGAGAGCTGCATAGAGCTGCCTTGTTGCATGTCCATACTATGCAATACTGCATGCACTGTTAGATCGGGATTGCTAATCAGAATTCGTGAAGCCCAGGAGATTAGATGACTACTACTCGGAACCCGGACGGCCGCGACTTGAAGTTCAAAACACACTTCTTGACGTTCCACCTGGATGACTAATCGCAGCCCGGCGGGCCGGCAAAACCCACTTCTGTGGTCCTCATGGACGGACCCCGAGAAGCCGCCGCTAAGCCCTTTTCGTCTCGCCTCATCCCATGTAACCAGTATAAAGATATATATAAGCGGGCATATCAGACAATAAGACGAAGGCAGACGATGATCGTCCTTTGTGCTGCCTATTAGCAAAATGTCGTCAGAGCCGTGCCTTTTGCGTCTCCGGGCATCAACGCGCCTAATTATAGGGGCAATAGCCTTGGCTGTGTTCACGGTTTGTCTGCTCATGCTGGTCCCAATGAAGATATGTGCTGACTATAGGGCTGACGCTCAGGACATGTTCTTATATGGCATTGTGAGACTCTTGAACTGCTTGCCAAAGCGCTATAAGAACGTCGCTAACAGGTTCATAACATTAGGTTGTTCCTGTCATCCCGACTGCGCTCGAGCAGAGAGTGGGCCTGGCTCCTGGAAGTCGTGCGTGCACCTCGAATTGCATGAATGCCTTTCTCCCCACACGGGCTGCTAATGTGCTTTAAGGTCAACGCTGGACTTCCACACTTCTTGCTATCTATGCGGCCGGTCTGCTGATTGCTTCGCGTAAGCCATACCACTCTGGACGATGCCAGACAGTCTTAAAGCCGTTTTGCTAATTCTGCATCAGCTGTCTTTGGTTTGCTAGCTGATCAGACCAACTCTCGTCGTATTCCCCTTCTCTTCGGGCTGATCGCTTTTGCAGTCGCGACCGCCCTTCTCTGTGTAGGGACGAATCTCGGGTTATGGATCGCCGGGCGTCTATTCCAAGGCATATCAGCTGCCATGGTCTGGACGGTGTCTTTAGCTCTCCTGGTGGACACTGTCAATGAGACTCAAATTGGAAAGGCTATGGGAGTTGTTGGAACGGCAATCAGTGTCGGTACAATGCTTGGCCCGCTTCTTGGAGGCGTCCTGTACCAGCATGGCGGGTATTACTCGGTCTTCGGGTTAGCGTTCGGTGTTATAGCCATCGATTTGCTTTTGCGGTTGGCCATGATCGAGAAACGACACGCTCAAAAATGGCTACCCGCACCTAGTGCTATGAACGAGACAGCTCACTCTAGTAGCCGGCAGCAGGAATCGCAGGCATTAGGAGGCGGTGTCACTCATCATCAAGTTGCTGGTGGCGATACGTCGACAAACAGCCCAGTTCAGGTCGGCCACTTGCAGCCTCTTCTAATCCTAATTCGTTCTCCAAGAATGGCCATCACGCTGTTTGCGTACTTTGTCATGGCGAGCCTTATGACCGCATTTGACAGTGTGTTGCCGCTCTTCGTGAAAGAAACCTTTGGATGGGGCCAGACAGGGGAAGGCTTGATTTTTGTTCCATTGTTTCTCCCACACTTTTTGGAGCCTCTGGCAGGTGCGGTTCTCGATCGGTTTCCAGCCTCTGGTAGATATCTTACCGCTGGATCTCTGCTAGGAATGACTCCCTTTTTGGTACTGCTTCGGCTCGTTACCCATGACTCCGTTGAGCAAAAGATATTGCTTTCTGCTCTGCTTATTCTAATCGGATTAACCTTTGCTGCTGGGCTACCCCCGTTGCTGGCTGAAGTATCCTACCTAATCGATGCGAAGCAAAAAGAGTATCAAGGTATATTCGGGGCGCATGGAGCGGTAGCTCAAGGCTATGGGTTGTTCAACTGCGCGTTTGCCGCTGGAAGCCTTGTTGGTCCCATTTGGGCGGGCATGATTCGGGATGAATATGGCTGGGGAACAATGAGTTGGTCACTTGGTGTGCTAAGCAGCTTCGCATCAGTTCCAACTTTACTCTTTCTAGGGGGAAGCATTTCTTCGAGATCATAGCAGGCACATCAGGCTGCGCATGTGCGCACAAGATCATACTAGATTCCCACGTACAAAATAATTGCCATCCCGGCTTGCGGCATCCCAGCGTTCGGGGTAGCAGTCGGCACGAGAGGTGGGGAAGCCGGTACACTTCTCAAGGGTATCCGGTTTCCTTGCGGGAAACTGTAACACCAAATGCCTGGTGACAATGCTGGTATTTAGCTGTGGAAGGACAGTGAGGGAGGGGACGCACTATCGAGGATAGAGCGAGAGCCCAGTCAGGACAATAGATAGGCACCTTAAAAACGGGGATATAATTAGACTGATATTTGTTGCTTCAGTAAATGCGAGTGCTTTAGTGAACAAAATCAGCTTTGCAGACGTCCAGCCTCCTACTTGATCTTTTCCCAGTATACACATTCATAAAATTTATAAAGTCCGCATTCTATTTGTTCAGTCCAGTAGGGAGGTGTATTTCTGAATTTAACGAACTACACTAGTATAGGCTTGGTAGTCAGCCCAGTAAGGGCTTTATCTAGAGTAGACCGGGTACGGGGCGGGTTTAGCGGGGAACCCTATCAGCTCTAGAATTATCCCAAGCGAGACTTATCTTAGGGTAAGAACCATGCTAAGGATCCGTCACAACTAACCTAAGCTAACCAATAGCCAGTATGGTTATATATAACTTATGTATATCACGGGTTTATCTCTATGGGCCTTGATTGTAGCACGGTAGAACTAGACTAAACTATAGCAGTACAGTCCTAAATGATCTAGGACTGCCCAGCAGTTCTAGACTCGATGTCCTGGAGTCACTAGAAACATGCATGTGAAAGCTTCATTACAGCTACTAAAGGGGTCTAGCCGGCTTAATTGTCGCTTTGGTCGATGTTGGAAAGACAGGGAAGGGGCAAAAGTGATGAGGCTTCCAGTGAGGTCCGTAATACTCATATAAGGAATGCGAATATAAGATGGGTTGAAATCATATAAAACCGGAGGACAGGCCGAAGCCTAATTACTCTAAGAAAATGAGCCAATGGGTATAAACCCTTCCCCAAGGGGTAGTCAATTTGGACTTAAAGCGAATAAGAGAAATGTTCGATAATTAAGTACAATAGTACTTAGCCGTCGTTAAAACAGCCTCCTACTCAGACATCTATTGTCTTTAGTACCCCCGCAATCACTATGAATGTATTTTCAAGGTAAATCGACACCTGATAAAGTGGCTCTGTTTCCCAGCTGATCATATACCCTACGTAATACATACGTCGCAGGGGTGTTATCCTTCTTTTTCTCTATTTCGTGAGGAAAGCATCTACTTATCGCCTTAATACTTTACCCTATTTATATGGCTTTCGTATCCTCGTCGGCTGACCAACTTGGACTTTCTCTGTCAGCCCTACCACAGATGTATGAAACAGAAGTAAAGGCCATGTGTTCATTATAAGAGCGTTGAGAATGACCTCTGTGTTATATATGGGAAAGATAGTGGGGAACCTGTTACTATAATGTGAGGTATCGAACTAGCCACAGATAGCTACCGTCGTTGACCAATACTGACGTTAGTGTCTAAACATCATTAGGTCAACTACAAAAGCGTATCTGTTACCACTACTACGTATCTCTAGTTATAGGCTGCAGCCTCTGCCTGGTTAGGGTTGCTGTGTCAGGTGATTCATCACGTCCACTTGTACTTCGCTCTTCACTCTTCACTCTTCACTCTTGAATCCTTTCCTATCCCTCTACTCTGCTGTTTCTTGCCACTTCGCCTCTTAAAGCCCTCAACCTCAATCTGCCATTATTCCTCAGGCTTTGCATCCGTCCACAAATCTAGATATCCGTTTCTCTTTCTAATTAACGAATCATACCGCTTCAATGTCCAAGCCCTTGCGAATGGGGAACACCCCACAAAGTCAAGCCAGTGATGACGGTGCCGTATCGAACAGTGAAGGTTTGCAATTCTGATAGTAGTCGGAGTCAAGGGAGCTAAAATAATGTCAGTATCGGCCGATGTTCGCTCATCACACGTGTCTGCCAATCCGTCCCAGCTTAACGACATCGACACCGCCCTAGAAGAATTGATGACCACTATCGCTGGAGAGAGATCTGCAGCTTCTTTTGCCTGCGGTGGTACGATCCCGATCTCTAAGACTGATACTAATGACGGCGCAAATGCAACACCGACTTCCCCGCTGGTGAAGGTTTACTGGTCCCTTCAAGAAGAGATCAATGCTAGAAAGGTTATTCTTCCGTTGGATCATACGTCGGCAGATTCTAGCCCTGCTGCTCTGAAGCAGCTCGTATCGGACTGCTCTCCTGCCACCTTTGGGAGGGGCAATGAGGATATTCTGGATCCCAGCTATCGACAGGCGGGAAAGATGGAGCCAGCGAACTTCACAACTACCTTCCATCCGGCGGACTTCCGCATCATAACTCTGATTGAAAGGATTTTGTTACCAAGCGTCAGCGATCATACGGAGAATTCCCTGATGGGTCGCGCAATATTTGCTGAGCTCTACAAACTGAATGTAGGTCGCCTGGCGGTGGCATCTGGTATGTATAACCTCGTGGACCAGCTAATGAGGTGAGATAGGTCTACTCCGGCCCCTCTGGATTCTTTCGGAGCCATGTGGATACACCGCGCTCTGTCAGGCAGGTGGGATCCTTGGTTGTTTGCCTTCCAGCCGCTTTCAAAGGGGGCAACCTTCTCGTCCGTCACCAGGGCAAGGAGATCGATTTTGACTGGGCGCCCACAAGTGCAATCGCTATCCAATGGGCTGCCTTCTACAGCGATTGCTCCCATGAGATCAAAACGGTCACGGAAGGGGAGCGGCTTACCCTCACCTATAACCTTTACGTGACGGAACCGGAACATGCCGTTACAGTCATTCCAAGTTCCTTGGTAGAACCGTGGACTCTTCCACTCTATGGCCAGCTAAATGCACTCTTCCACAATTCTCAGTTCTTCCCTAATGGTACTCCGGGCCCCGTACTAACATATTCATGGCTAACTTCTATAGGTGGCGTCCTTGGGATCTACTGTGCTCATGCCTATGCGCATACATCGGAGGACGCTAGCATAAATCTTCCACGAACACTCAAAGGCTCGGACTTAGTTTTCTACTCGGTTCTTGATGCGTTAGGCGCGACAGTAGAGATCCTGCCCGTCCTTGGGCATAGGAAAGATAATTATTATTGGGACACCGACTGCGAATCCGAGGATGGCGAATTGATTGGAACGGGACTCCACGCGCATCGAAAGTCATGCTTCAGCACGGAGTCACACTCTTTAAACGATGTCAGTGTCCCATACGTTTGGACTACACTCTCACGGTCCTATCCTTGAGCTCACATAGGTTCTAGATTGTTTGCGATGAATGGCCTCACGAGAGAGTGACGGGAATTACGTGGTTAACAGGACAGAAGCACTGGGAGGAGGCACTAAGCTATATTGCGTACGGGAATCAGTCCACGATCTCAACCAGATACTCCGCGGCCGCCATCTTTGCAGCGATTCCTAATTGGGAAGAGCGATCCTCAACCTAATATGAAGCAGCCGGAACGGGATGGTGGCAAAGAATGGACTTGGGCCGGGTAGGAGCCTGGCTCGTCATTTTGCTGTGAGAATTGCTCGAGGAAATAGCTTAAAGGAAAATGTTGTCTAATTTTGCTAGCTAGGCAGGTTGGTCTGCTTCAGATAGGGACATATCATCCAGCTCGGCTGTTAATTAAAACACATATTTCTTCATTTGGCTACCCTCCTTGTTATAAACAAACTTTATAATCCCTAGCAAGAAAGAACGACGAAGTGTGTATATCTTCATAGCAAAGAAAGGGGAGAATAGCGATTTGGGGCGACGGAGTTCCAAATAACTCGAATATATTGGGGGTCTTTGGTCTAGTCATCGAGTAGATAGCACGGTCTGTTCATCGGTCACAAATCATAGCTCGTAGCGGACCAGCCACTATATTCAAGGTACGTTAAGTATAGAGTGTACTGTTGAATGCATTCGTATGACACGAATCTCCCCGAGCAATATTCGCTCGTCTCCATTCGCAGAAGAGACACCATCGTCGTTGTATTGTGTAGCCCAGTGCGCCTTCCCCAGATCCCAAACCCAATACTCCTTTTTGTGGAGAACCAAGGAATAGGATCCCCATAGGAGCGTACTTCTTTCCGTAGTTAGAGCAGGACGAATTATAAAAGCCAAAGCTATCAATCATAACAAATTTACGGTGTCCGTGGACTACGAAACATTGAAAAGGAATGACATTATAACAATTCTATTACCGTATTGAAATGATAGGTCGAATATTGCTCTATATGGCACCCCCATTGGTATCGTTAGTTACCGTATATTCCCCACCCTGACGACTGTTTTCGTTCCAAAAGCTCAGACTAGCCTGTTGTCGCAGAATGCCGTACATGGCACTGCTATCCAAGCATTCTCCGCCATACTCTCTAGCCGCTTGCATGTGTCTATCAGCCAATTCAAGTCCAGGTAGTTTGAAGTCGTGTTCTCCGGCCATTGAAAGTGCATGCTTAGCGTCTTTGATCGCCAACGAAATGCCAAATCCCGGTCGTGTATCCAGTGGTGGTGCATATATACCCGATGTCAATCTCATATGAAGTTAGCCGGAGTAAAGACAAAGAGAGGAAAAGATAGCGCCTGACTCACCGTTTAGAGTAACCGCCTGCGATAGCTCCAAACGACTCGGTGATCAACTGCTCCATCGCTTCGGTCCCAAGGCCAGTTTTTTCTGCAAAGACTTGGGCTTCTCCAACCGCCTGCATCAATGAAAGAGTTATAATATTGCTATTCGGTTAGACTTGGTTCTACAGCAGCTGGGAACCACGAGGTGAAGAGACCTACCCGCCAATCTTGAGCAACGATGCATTCGACGCATTTCCCCCACAGCGAATAAGCTTCCTTCCCATAACATTGACTATGTACTTCTCCACAGTATGACATGCGGATTCCAGGCCGCTGATTGCAAATACAAGACCCCCAGTCACTGCAACGGACGGACCACCGAAAACGGGAGCAGAAAGAAGGACAGCCTCATGTACGGATAAGTCTGATGACAATTTCTTAATTGTGTCCGGATGTACTGTCGAGCAATCGACGAAGATCTTGTTTGATAGTTCTGAGCTACCCGCAATGGCAAGCTTCATAAGGCGTTGAAGAACGTCGTCGTTCGGTATCTAGCACCTGTCAGCTCCTGACCAACACCGTGTTTGGGGGTGGTAACTCACCATTGTAAAGACGATATCACATCGTCTCACCAAGTCAGTAAACTCGGTAGCGGGTACGGCACCGAGAGATTTTAATGTATCTCCGGAACTCAGCGTTCGGTTGGAGTATATCAATGGGCGTTCGTGGTTATTCGCTAGATGTTGTTGTAGATTCTCGGCCATCGGACGGCCCATGGACCCGAGCCCGTACTTTGACATGTTAGCCACGGTCCACCTCTTAATACGTTATCGTCAATTTCTTACCCATCCGACTTGTGGGCTATTTGATGCCATAATACTACTGCTGAGGAATGGTTTGAAAGTTGAATAATGTGGAAGAGATGTAGACGGACATCCGGGCCTGACTATATACCCCCCATGGAATGACAAACCCGTTTTTCTCGGCCGGTTTACCAAAGTCCGGGAGCTGGATTGAGTCATTTCAAGATAAGAACCCTAGCGTACGAGCCAATCCGGTGGCAATTTTGGTGGTTCGAATGAGGGCAACCTACCAAACATTCTCTCGGATCTCAGCCCCGAAGTTTACGGAAAGACTCCCGAGCCCCACGACCCACCAGACTTGTGGACTTGATGAATGGATAACAACCGATATCAATATACTAGGTCTAGGTATGCTTCAGGATTACAGGATCATATACCCGGTCGAGTATAGGCTACAACTGCCGGGAAGAATTAACCCCTGGTTATTCAGTCTTATTGATGTTTCTTCGCGTATCAGCTTGTGGCAGAGTGACAGCAGCAGTGATCATAACCCTGGACAGTTCATGTGTAATTCAATCGAAAAGGTACTTTTTGATACTTTTAAAGCCCTGAAGATGTCCAGCAATGGAGTTAGCCATCTCCTTTTGAACTCAGGCTTTAGTATAACCTTCTCCCAAGTCAATCAGATATGCATCCGCATCGGTGTCAGCGAGTAGATTGGCTGCTTTCCATCAGGTCGAGAGGTACGAACCGTGGCGTCGTATTTGGCTACATTAATCTTGGCATATTCAAGAAGATCTTTCAAGGTTCTTCTCATATCACATGCGTCCTCAGTTTATCTGCATCAGCAAGCCAGCAGGCTAGGCGCGTTGTCAAACGATAATAGTGTGAAAGAGCCACCCCATGCGCTGTTCGCGCCATTTGAATGTGCTCTCCTAAAGTGGCCAAAGTGCCTAATCCACATTCGATACTTTCCAGCAAATGTCCAGCTACTTGTGGCTCTCCTGGTGATAAAGGAAAGTAGATGGCAGCGACAAGCACAATGGCATCCAACGACCCATATACCATATTGAAGATACCAGGTGGCTGAGGCCCGAACAACCGGAAAGTTCTAGCCTAAGCGTGGAGGATTTCCAAACTAGCCTACAGCGCACGCTTACGGCTTTTTCTCGTGAAGATGTATGCCTTGCGTAAAGCATTCACTACGAAATATACCAATTCAGCCCTGCTAGAGAAGTTGAGCCTCGTACATTTCTGAATTGAAGATTATGGACATTTGAACTGGCCTGGCAACCAATTGCGGAGCATCTTGGAGATCAGATTAAACAGTTTCAGTATTCGCCCCAACCAGCCGCTATTCGCAAGGTGGAAACGGATTAGCACACTCGCTGTAGTAATGCCATCTCGACCACCAACCCCGGTCCGACACTGCAAGCAATAACATCCTTCTTCCCTTTCTCCATAGACCGTAGCTTATCAAGGACAGCAAGCACAGCGACACTCGAGGTATTTCCCCGTGTTTTGTAAATCTCGTTACTAGCTCTCAGGGCATCGTCAGATAAGTCCATGGAGTTTTGTACGCCTTTGATAATTGCCAACCCCCCTGGATGAAGTGCCCAGTCAAAAGATGAGGCAGATAATGACCCCTTTCCGTTAGCATTTGTTAAGCTCTGGAAAGGCTCCCGAACTGCTGCTGCCGTAAGCGCAGGCACATTCTTTGAGAGTGTGAGGAGAAACCCATGCGGCGACACTTTGTAGGACATGTCATCAAACGCTTCCGGCATTATTTCTGAATGGCGATCGACAATAGTGAAAAGGCGTGGAGCATTCTTAGCCATCCCATGAGAGTTACATAGAACTAGAGCCGACGCGCCATCCCCGAACAAAACTGGTCCAATACTGCCATTTTCGGAGGTAGCAGATTTATGCAGCTCGCATCGGACTTGGATGCTGCAGATTTCACAGGCGATAACTAGCACTCTGGCTTCCTTTCCTTGAAGCGATGCGGCCATGGCCAAATCTGACGCTGCTCGAAGGGCCGCAAGCCCCCCCGAGCATCCGGCCCCAGCAACCAATATCCTCTCAGCCGTTGGAGCGAGACCAAGTCTCCGAGCAACCAATTGGTCATACCCTGGACTGCCAGCATTTGTAGCTGTAACTGCTACTACGTGGGTGATTGCACTCGGGGATATATTGCTATCGCTCAATGCCTTGCGAGCAGCTTGCTCCGCTAGCTCTGTTCCGTACTGGCGAAAGGCTGCATCAACTTCATCGGCCCCCGGTGGTTCCTCCCGATTCCAGCGGGGGTCACTCCAAATGTCCAGCATTGCTCTGGACTGAATACCAGTCTTTCCATTGACATTCAGTAATGCTTTCAGCCTGACCTTTCTTAGTTGAAAATCCAGCAACTTGAAGTTCCTAGAGGACCTCACTCACCATGGAGCGTCTTCAGGATAGTGTTTCAGGGCTAAGTCCTTGAATTCACCTGGCCCTACAAGCTTTGATGGCCATTCGGTTCCCATGCCAGTAATTGTCAAGTCATCCTTTCTTTGTCCTGGGACCGTAGGAGAACCCTTGCTGGGGAGAGAACCAGAAGCGCCCATTTTCATACCCTGAAAGGACGGCTCACACGTATAGGTTTCCTAGAGTTTGTACAGCCAAAAGGGCAGTCTGTGCCTTTTGCTACGTCCACAAAAAGAAGTTCGCGGATAGATCATTTTTTCTGTCTTCTAGGTATGTCTGCGTCTGATAAAAAGGTTATCGATGACCGCGGAATAGGAAGGACCCAAATTTGGTACGTGCTGGTCTAGTACGTGAGAACGTTACATTCCGGCTGGAACCCATCCACGATGCCAACAAGACACGACATATACTCGGAAGGGACATGCATCACGTCATACATAGACTTTTCCTCTACGAATGAACTACGTATTGTATTTCTAGAAGCACCGCTTGCGGATACTGTTTTATTAGTGTGGACGGTAGGCACCTAGAATAAAGAAACAATCTGAAGTTAGATCGGCAAGCGTGGGTGGGTCCAATGGGCAACATGAGCTATCCCAGGTTTCATTCTCATGATTACTAGTGTAGCTGGTTGAAATCTACAGGTTATTTCCATCCATGATCGGGCCCCTCGTTGGATTATAGGACTATCGTCTTTGCATTTGATCCGGGAGGAAATGCAGCCTCTTTATCTTCAAAGCAAAACTAACATTTCACTCTACAAATAGAACGCTGTCTCTCTTAGCACTAATGTCGTTTACCAGATACAATTTCATACTGCCACAATGAACATTACTCCTGGAACAACTAATGTCCTCCGAACAGTACAAAACTCTCCGTCTCACCACGACGAACCAGCAGGAATGAGGTCACCAACACACCCGGAGTTTTCACTCGGAAAACGAGGCATACTAATATTCGTCACTCTGGCTATCCTCACAATGATGGTTGCGCTAGACGGCACGTCTATTTCTGTTGCATTGCCTGTATGCAGCCAATACATTTCGTTCTCTATACATATCCTAACCGAGTCTTAGATCATCTCGCGTGATCTACATGGCACGGCTATTGAGGCCTTCTGGGCAGGGACATCTTTTCTTCTCTGCTCTACAGGTAATAAACACATGCGCTATCAGCAATGGGAGATATGTATCTGACGGTCATATTATTCTCACTTAGTGTTCCAACCGACGTTCGCGTCATTCTCCAATATCTTTGGTCGGCGACTAATGGTGCTTGCAGCCGTCATGTTTTTCTTTGCCGGGACGGTTGTGGCTAGCGTTGCACACAGCTTTCGCGAATTGCTTGTTGGGCGCTCTGTGCAAGGCGTTGGAGGCGGCGGGATAATCGCCCTCAGCGAGGTGATTGTCACGGACATCGTACCGTTGAGGTTGAGGGGGCATTACTTTGGAATCCTGAGTGCGATGTGGAGTGTAGGCTCAGTAACAGGGCCAATCCTGGGCGGTGGTTTCTCTCAAAATGTAGACTGGGTAAGGATACCTACATCACGCTGGATACCCTTTGCTCTCTCGTTGTTCTAACTGAGTCTCGGACGGTTAAGCGCTGGGTATTTTATATCAACTTTCCCTTTATAGGAGTGGCGGTGGTGCTGGTTTTCCTATTTCTTCGACTTGATCGTGTCCAGACTTCCCTCACAACAAAGCTGCGTCAAATTGATTACGTTGGAACCGTCCTGTTTACGGGCAGTGTATCATCCTTCTTAATTCCATTAACGTGGGGTGGTGTCGTCTATCCCTGGGGATCCTGGCATACCTTGACTCCCCTCTTTATTGGTCTCGTTGGCCTTTTGGCCTTCGCGGCGTTCGAATACTATATCGCGAAAGACCCCATTATCCCTCCGACCATCTTTAACAACCGTACGGCATCTATTACGTTCATTGGAACCATCCTGCAAGGCCTCGTGCTGTGGTGTGCGCTTTACTATCTTCCTCTCTATTATGAAACCGTGAAAGAATTCAACCCTATCCTTGCTGGAATAGCTCTCTTCCCTGAAACCTTCACGGTAGCGCCATGTGCGGTCCTTACTGGGGTGTTTATCTCTGTCACCGGTCGCTACCGTGGAGCGATCTGGTTGGGCTGGATACTATCAACACTTGGAACGGGATTGCTGTGTTTGATGAAGGTCCACACAAGTACTCCCGCCTGGATATTCTTAAACATCGTTCCAGGAATTGGGCTAGGAGTTCTGTTCCCGGCATTAGCATTTGCAGTGCAGGCATCGGCCTCTAGTGAGAGCTTGGCTATTGCCGTTGCTATGTTCAGTTTCTTCCGCGCTCTTGGACAATCAATTGGTGTTGCAGTTGGGGGAGTGGTGTTCCAAAACTACATGTACAGCAATCTCCGTAAATACCCTGCTCTTGCGCCCATGGCCAAAGAGTATAGCAAAGATGCAACTGGACTGGTGCAGATTGTCAAAGCCATGCCAAACCTGGAAGACAAGGCACGTCTGCAAGAAGCATATACCGAGAGTCTGCGAGTCGTCTGGGCAGTTTGCTGTGTTGTGTGTGGGGTTGCGCTGGTGTTGAGCTTCGGCACTCAAAGGTATAGTCTAGATCGTGCTCTCGAGAGTGATCAGGGACTAGCAACTTATAACATGAGAAATGTCGATGAAGGGAAGGGGGGCTCAGTTAGTGCTAGTTAGGAATTCCATCACCGGGCGATTATTTCATACCAATGCTGTTGATTTCCCATGAGTGTCTGCGGGGTTATTGTGACTTGTTATATAAACTTGTTAGAGGCTAAAACGCCTAGCAACTTTCTTGTCATGTCTCAAACATGAACTGCATTACTGCATAAACCCTTTTTGGCTGAAGACATAAGTCACATATCTCGCCGAGATACTATGTGGATGACAAAGTCAAAGTCTACCGTGTTCGAGTATACGTCTGGGTGACGCTTACTAGTCTGTTAAATTGTTGCACGAGATGCGTATGACCTAGCCTTCTCCCATTCGTTCTATAATGACGTAGGAGATGAAGAAAGTCGAAGGCAAGTACAAAACCCTGCTAACACTAGCAAATTCTCACATACGCTAGGCAGAGCTAATGGCTTTTGAGGAGTTCAAGACTTACATACCATATTACAATTTCCAGTCCGGACGCCGACCCATAACAGAATGTGGTGATATCTGTTAAAATGCTAAACCACCGACGGATCATGAAGCGAGGATGCAATCTGGGGTCCTTTCCATCAAGAACGGCCTAAGATCTTGCTTTATGGTCCGTTCACCCTAGTATGGCTGGATAATGCTTCACTGATACATTTCACCTGGACATGGACAATCCGGCCAGGTTTTGTTTCATAAAACTAGTTTACTGCACCATTCACGTCTACGTGGAGTTGTGTCCGCTACATCTACACAGGCAAACTCTCGCTGTTGGAAAGAACAGAGCTAGTTTACTTGGTTGACTAATTTGAAGCAGGGGAGAATGTTGGTTATAGCCGCCGTACATGGGGCTATGGAGAGTAGAAGATGAACAGACTGGGCCAATCAATTAGTTACGTGATGAGTGAGCTTGAGAAAAGAGATCCTTTTGTTGGGGCCATTGGGTTTTCGATAGGAGTGACTTTGGCAATGATTGTCGCATCCTTGTTAGAAAAGACGCCGCCGTTGAAAGGACTTTCGGGCTGAGGGAATGACTCCATAAGCCCTGACACCAATTGAATTACGTACATTTGGTAATATTCCAGCTTTGAGCCTCCAAGGTAAACATCAACCACTCCAATTTGTGATTGTGTTTAGCGGTTTTATGCTAGACCACCAATCCTACCAGAAGCTTAGTTAAGGATTGTTGTATGATATGCTGCTCGAGTAACTGCTGTTGCCCGCACCTTGTTGTCCAATGGGGTCTGGGCGCGTAGAGCCCATATAGTCAGTATTGGTTGAAGAAAAGCGATACCCAGCACTAAAGGAAAGATCGGCTAGTAGATGGGCTACCGAGAGAAATACGCTTGTCACTCGATTCTATCCGCATGCTAAAACATATGCAGCTAGAATAGACAGGTTTGGGGACTAAATGCTACCTCAATGTCAAAATACCGGGAAGGGTATGGCCATATGGATATTCAAACAAATGCCGTCGCGAACCGGATGTTCTAAACCCAACCATTCGAGAGACATACTAATATGAGCAGGAAGGTACATTGTCTACCCCACCACCCCCAATGCCTCTTCCCGGGACCAACTAATTCACAACTTGAAGTTGGATTCAACATAGATGCTGTCACCTTCCGATTCAACATCCCCACCGTGCATCTCCCAACCTTTGTCCCGGTATGCAGAAGGGCAGACTCCACACCAACAGGGCACAATGATACCGTTAGGACCAAGTGTATCCTTTATCGAGTTGTGAAAGCGCATAAGAGCGTGATTGTTCCCGCTGCACGTTTTTGCAACTTGGTCCTGAAACAAAATGTGTGTTGTGTATTCGCCGTAGCCCAACTCAGCAGCTTCTAGAACCATACCTCCCATGCAGACATAAGCATTAAGTCGAGAGATTTCACAAGACCGGTCATACACAATATTGACGATCAGGTGCATTTCTCGGAGTCCCATGCAGAATGCTGGGAATAGGTCTAGTCGACACTTCGTATGCCACTTCTGCCCAAGTTTCATGAGCCTAATAACGTCTCCGCCCCTTGTAGGGCGCATGGGGCTAAAGAATGTATGCGCTCCATTTGGTTAAATTGAACTCTTATTAGCTGGAGGAGCTCGAAGCCCTTCATGCTGACATAGCTTCTACAGTATTCCATTAACCGGGTAGAAGTGAGGGGATATCATTCGACCCTGGTATCATTTTGTCTCGCTTGATACTATTCGGGCAGGGCCAAGTGCGTTCATATTTTTGTGTTCCTTTGTGGCACCCAATGCAGCTTCTAACAAGCCGACGCCATTCCAGGTGCTCAAAGGGGTGGAAGGCATATTCCTGGGTACTCTCGTGCGCAATACTACCTGCTCAAATACGATCACTTTTGCTGAAGCTGGCGTGAAAGCGTAGCAGCCTTAAGGCAGCCATTGGGAAAACCAATTCACTATTCCACTAGGCTGACTCACCCACGTTCATAAGTTTATGCACATAAGTAACATCAACGCGAGGTTTAAAAGCAGGAGCAACAAAACCAAAAACGACAGGAAAGGGCCCTCCATGAAACGCTCGATTTGAAGTCCGCGTTGTCATGTATGTAATATCGTTTCATGTGCTTAAACTATACATAATGAATCGGGCGACGCTTGAAAGAGCAAGGCTTCCATCCCACGATACTCTGTCATCAGTGCTCGAGGATGATCTCGTCATGGAACCGCAACTATTGACCGGTCGCTTGACTGATATATGAGACATGATGGCCAAATCAACCTTTTTCGTGTCGGAGACAGTGTTGAAGACAGTTGCGACTAGTCCTTGCCTCTTCGCGAAAAATGCGCTCGCGATAAGAACGTCTGAGACGACGAGACCGCCCAGAGTAAGAGACCTTTAACATAGGGATTCAGTGCCCTCTTACTCAACCAGATTCCAGGCCGCCTGTAATTGCGCGACTCTTGCCGTGTCAGCGCTGATCCCCTGCGCATATCCTTGAGCCCTCTGCCCCAGCTGTGCTCCCTCGACACCCCAAGGTGTTTCGAATCTGTGTGGGATTCCAGGAGCCCCATAACTAATGTAGGGATTATACGTGGAGGCTGTCATCCCGTTCATGTTATAATAGAAGGACGAAGATGTGTTGTACATCTTTTGCATATTGAGATTGAACTGCGCCATTGCGACAAGATTCCGCATTTCAGGGACCGTTTGCTCATAGATGGTCCTGCGATATGCGGCAAACGCCAGAAACGAGGCGAGGTCCCGCTTGGCACACGCCTCAGCCCACTTGCGGCGCATTCGCGGTGAGTATAAGTCACAGTGACTCTCACCCGGGATGATTTCGGGTGTGGGAGGGAGTTGTCGAGCGATCTCACTGCCACGCACGACCTCCTCGTAGCACGCGAGGCAGATGCGGCAGTCCTCTGTGCCATACCATTTCTGGTTTGTCACCAATTCAATCCCCGGGCACAGAGGGAGGTTACATAACCTGGTAGTGAAATCTACAAACCTGGAAAATGTGCAAGTGATCAGTGCCTCGTCTAGTCTCGGCGCATAACATGAAAATCGGAGGCTGTTGGGATTCAAATCACAGGAACTCTCGAGTGTCCTAGGATGCTGAACTCGCTTGAAAAACACGTCTAGACCGTGTGGCTTCAGGAAACCAATGTAGCAGCTCTGGCAGACGTCGAAGTTGTCAACGCCATGGTTGAGTTGATACATCTGCGCGCCGGGCTTTGCCTGCGAGCTACAAGGCGGAGCTTGCACATGTTCTATGATTGTGCGTCGCCATAGCGAAAAGTCCTTCCGCTCAAGCGCCTCATCCCAAAGGACCCGTGCCTGCCAGAACCCAAGGATGCATTGCTGCTCCCTTGGCGGCTGTCGCAAGGGTTGGAAGTGGGATTCAAAATCGGTCTTACTCGCAAAGTTGCGGTAACAGCGCTCACAGACAGCAATTCCCAGGGCTCGATCGCGAAGCTCATACCACTGCCGCGAGGAGCCGCTCATGACCGCCCCGTTTTTCTCGCATTCCGGAAGGCCCAGATGGCGTGCAGCCTCGGTCGAAAACTGCGGCCATGATTGAGTGTTGGTGAGCAATCTTCGAATGAAGTCTATAGCAATATCACACGCCCATATCTGCCCCTGTAGTTGCTTCTCTTGATGCTCTTCGAACTGAGAATATAGAGCCGTACCCGTAATTACATCCTCATAACAAGCCTGACAAGCGATGAAAGATGGAAGTCTGCTGGTGTCTTTAGGGCTATACCACTTCACGTTTTCTGATCCGCCGACGCCTTTTGTCCCATCGCAGTTCCTTATTGTGGCGCGATGACGAAAGAACCACAACAGCTCCTGGACACTACCTGATTGCAAGGCTCGGGGCCACAAATGGTGTTCGATACGAGGCGAGCTGAAGAGGCAATATATGCTGGCACCGGCGGGCGAGATCCACGGGTGGAAGCTTGTTTGCAACGATGAACCCTGAATGTGTGTCTCGTAGCAATACGTGCAAATGCGGAATTCTGGGGCTTCAGGTAGTATATACCATGTGCCAGAGCACATCAAATTATAATTCGTTGACGGACACCTCTTCAAGATGAATTTCGCGGGCGGGTCATATTGCATGCTTCGTCGTAATACACCGGCGTCAGAGCGTGTCTGGTCCTTCTGTTCGTGATCAGGGTAGGAGCTGCGCGCGGTATTAAAACCAGTCGGAGCCGATGACATGTCCTCCTGGTGACATTTTGTCGTTGGAGAGCTTCGTTGCTGGGAAGAAGGGGGGCGCGAGTACGGCGGCGGTGGCACCGAACCCTGGTGGTTACTGTGCCCCCCGGGAGACGACGTATCACGGTAGCTATTCTCGGAGAAAGGCGCCTGCGACGGAGGTGGCGGAAACCACGGACGGGACACTGAAGGCGTGGAACGAGCCTGTGGAGTATCGTGGAGGGGTGTTGATTGTGTCCGAGGCCAAGGCTGCGGTCGCTGTGCCGCATGATACGGAGCTGGATAATGGACCCCTTGTTGAGGGGTGGCTTCTCCCTGATATGGAGGTGGCGGAGGGTACGGAGCCTCGAGAGGTGGAGCGATGTTTTGCGAGTTATTTTGCGGTATCCGAGGAGGCAACGGTGGAGGACGATTTATATTGTCTTCTGGACGAGGTGGTCGGGGCGGTATTGGCGGGGGTGCGTTTAGGGCGTATTTTTTTGGGCGATATGGGAACTCCATACTAACAGTGCACGTACTTTTCCCACGCGACAATTTGAGTTGAGAGCGGAAGTCAGGTAATGAGGGACGTAAGAGAGGCGCAGAGGCTGTATATATGAGTAGTCAATCAATCGACGAGGAAGGTGGGCATCCGAGCTCAGGATTCATGTCAACACAAATCTCACGATCAGCCTCAATTCCAAAGCGGGTCTCATCGGGGAATCACGCTCGATCTGGGGATAGTTTATGCGGGAGCCTGCAGAAATCCCTGGCTTAATACGAGCAAGCCACCCTCTTGATTGACCAGGTTTCTGCTTCGCCCCGTTCCGTCCGTTTCTCATCCGGGGTTCGCTTCTGTTCGTAACTCCAGACGCCAACCAAGATCGTCTCTTGGTTCGGTATCGCCATAATTTCAGTCCCTAAAATAAGCTGTACTCACTCCCCGAGGTTGTGTGTGGTCGTGATTTGGCACCGATACCCCAGGAATCCTCATGTCTAGTGCCCGTATCATATCTGGTATAGCGCATCTTGCGCCTCTTGCCGAATAAAACATGAGCCGACTCCATCGCCATCCGGTCCATACTGTTCAATTGATCCCAAGCTCCCAAGCGTCACCCAACCACCACAAGTTCTCATGAGCGCTAGCAGGTGTATGTTAAACTGCAGGAGGGAGGATCGTTCGCAGCAGGCTTTCTGCGGGTTATTCATCGGCGGGTTGCATCACGGTTCACGGCTCGCGGTTCACTAGCCCTCGAGAAGAGAAATGGCGTACATACAGCTTTTTCGCCACGTGTTAATCATTGCCATGCATAATGCGACGGGGAATCTTGTAGCATACCTGTTTGTAAAACCATTTCATTCCATAGCAAGAGGTTTTTATGGTCAGAGTCTCGCGGTAACGTTGCGTGAAACAACACACTCCTAGTCCCGGAATTGACGAGATGCAAGTCGTAACCAGGGAATGAAAGCGACCACAGTCGGATGATATTGATCAGAAAGTTTCAAGGTCCCCAGTCCTTTTGTTGGCTTCGATCAGCGCTCTCGACCCACAAGTATCTGCCCCTTGATAATGTCAATATGAGCGAGGTTCCATAGGGCCGGCACAGGCCAGTGGGAATGATGTTTACACCATGGGGACAAATATCCACAAGGACCGCCTCAGAGTCATGGTCCAGAGGAGGCATTTCGAAACAGATTCGTCGTTCATGTTGAGATGTTGTTCGTGTTCTCGACAATTGAGCGAGAGTGGAGGGAAATTCTGCGAGACGCATAATTATAAATCAACGGCTTCGTCGGATCATTGGAAATGGAGACTGGGTCGAGCAAAATGCTTGGCTTTGCTGCCATAAATGCTAGCAAATACCTGACGGGGGAAAGGATTAAATGACATGGAAACCTTTATGCTGCTGAGTACTTCTGTGTGTTGGTCGTTTGATCTCCACGATCTCCACCCAGGCTGATGGAATGTAACGATAGGTTAACTAGTCCTTCCCAGGTCAGTTAGTACAATGCCAGACTCATCGGAGCGCCACTGCAGGGCCGCTGATTGGTCAAATACTATTTCCATTGCTGGATGGAATCGACCCTTCGTGCGTCGGATAGGATCATGGCTACCATCTAGGGGACACGTAGCGCAGCTACTATGGGTTTTCCCCGAGCCGTTTTACATGAGCAAGGACATGCTTATTGTGTATCACACATATACCGAGAAATCTGTAGACCCCGACGAGCGAGTCGACGGCCATGTCGGCCCTTGCATGGGTTCCTTCTACGTTATCGGTTAGATGTGATCCACACACTAAATGGGTCCCTCACAGCCTTCTGCCACTTCTCAGCCGATATACGATGGACAGGCAATACGAATAGGGCTCAGATCCCAAGATGAAAAGCCTATTCCGTTGAACCCCGGTCTGAACCTATTCACCCGGGGGTTTCGAGCCAAGTTTATCTGCATCAGGGCCACGCATGAAGAACTCTTCTTCCACGACAATGAACCACCAAGCACGTCAGAGGAACGGCCCAGATCGAAGGGAACCAGCTAGACACGACGCGGGGACCCAGTTCGAGTTTGTATTAGAGAAAGACCAGCCGGGTATTCGCAGTCATGCCATGCGACAATTTTGGAGGCAGAAACAGGCCATCGCCAAAGAAGACCCAAGCGACGTAACTTCCACCGGCCGCCCTCTTTATCCACGCACGTTAATGCCCAACGATGGCATCCAAACCGACGGCCAGTTTGAGGGCCTGAAGGAATTCCGGCAACAGATGTCAGCTCTCCAACCAAAGGATCACAGAGCAGGATCAGCGAATTCGCGCAAAGATAATGCGGAGACTTCAGGTATCCCAGCCCAAATCTTATCTGGAATTCGTCATGCTCTAGAATTTGTTAATGGCGACCCGTTTCCTACTTTTCCGGTGACATTGACGGCGCAACACCGCAAGTTGTTGTACCACTGTAAGTATACCGGAGGGAGGCAAGGAATTAGCCACGGTCGGCGTCAAGGATTCATGGCTGTAACTGACAATCGATAGGGCTCAGTACGCATACTAGTGGGATATCGACCGCCTCTCCTTATGTAGCCTTCGATCCCATCAGAGAGGTTTGGCTACCATTGGACTTGTCAAACAGCGCCTCGTTCAACGCAACCATGGCGCATGCTGCAGCCCATTTGGCTTACCTTCACGGTGAGCTCGTCTCGCCCGAAGCTCTCCGATATAAAACCGAAGCCATCAGTGTCATCACAAAATGGCTGGATGATCCTGAGCAAGCGCTTAGAAACGAGACCCTCGTTTCTGTAGTACGGCTTTTGATGTTTGAGGTACGTGCCCGGGCCGAGTATGGTGACTATTACATCTTATATGATTCAAGGCGTAAGGGATCATTTGCTTTGTGATTCTGTTGACCGTTCCCGCCATGTGCAGAAATACTGGGGAATAGATGGCCAGTGGGAAGTCCATCGAGATGGACTACAACGGCTGATCAACGCAAAAGGCGGTCTTTCTGCATTGCAAGGGGACTGGCGTGTGGAGCTCGTCGTGTTTTTGTGAGTTTATTCCATCTGTCTTCCACCATCACGACGCTTGGGAAAGGACCTCTTGTAAACTGACGCACGCCTGATGCAATTTTCTACCAGTGCCTTGTTTATTGCAGATTCATCACGCTGTGAGCCTTCCACACACGCATGGGAGCTGTCAGAGCACTTCACCCCGACTGCCCTTCACCCAACCCTACAATTAACGGTTGACCGGCACCGATCACAGGTGGTAGAGAGCCTCCAGATATATCCAGCTGTATATGAGGCGACCATCCTGCTTTACAATTCTTTTCACCAGGCTCCCGAGCCTGAGCTACTCGCGGAACCTTCGGGCGTGTTTAGGCATCGGTTGAAGTGCCTGGTGTTCCTCGGTGTCATTTTCCAGGAATCAATTTACTCCTCCATATCAGCATTCGGCGGGGGTGTCAGCCTAGACCATTCTTTCACCAACCAGTTAGCCGCGTTAGATGAGTCACTATCAAAGCACCACCATCGGTGGGAAGGCAAAGTTGATATGCTCTATGCGATTCTCTTCGGTGACTTTTGTGATGTGAATCACCGGCGTGAAACTCCGGAGATTGACTTTGTTATACGGCTCTCTGATGGACTGGGCCAGCTCAGTCAGCATGCCCGCAAGGCTATAGGGCAATGCCTCCTGAACATGCTCTTGGAAGAGAAATGAGTCGTGATACTACTGATACAGAAGCGCCACTGGGTCGTATCTTACGTCAGCGACTCTTCTATCCCCCTAATGGCAAGTTTGTATAGGATTTTAAAGTTATTACATATTACTCAGAGCGAGCAGCTTTACCGCCACCTTGCTGTCTATCATATAGGAAAGCTGTAGAGGTGGAGGCCAACATGACAGTCTTGGCAATCCCTTCACCAATGCGGGATAGTTGGATTTTAAGGGTTTTTCCCGCCACGGGATTTCCGTGGGTTCAACCCTCTTTTTGACCAAATCCGGTAGTACTAATCAACCACTCAATATCAGTCTGTTGCAATGGACTGAGATTTCAAAGACAAGAAAGGAATGATCAACAGCAAGCCAAATTCTTTCTGTGTCGTTTAGTTTGGATGCATAAGTCTTTGATCTCCTATCTTCTTTTTGTTTGATTTCCTTGCCCTCGACTCTCTCCACGCGCAGTAATTTGCCACCTTCCTGTCAACTTGTCTGCGTTGTCCAAGACACAGGAGGCATGCGCCATGTAAGTGGGGATAGGAGGGCAACGGAGAAATGGAAATGGTACAGGCTTGTCGACGCGAGCCAGACGAGTATCCCGTATGGCGCCTTTCCACATGCCCGAGATTCGAAGCTTTGCTACACAAAACCTCAAACATTGCATGGACATCGTGCATACCCGCAAAGAGATATACTCGAATGAAGAGATCAACTTCTGACAGTCGACAGTCTAGCACCATAACGAGAATGACCTTCCATTTCCGGCAACAGAGGGTCCCCGAGCCTCACCTTCCTGGCAAGGAAATGTGATGTGCACGGCCGCCAAGTTATATTGCGGAGTATCCTATGTTAATAAGGGGTACTAGGGCTATTTTAGAAAACAATTTTTTCCTTCTCCTCATAACCTGCATGTCCGTGACGGCTTCAACAACAATTTATTGTATCCAGTCAGTATATCAGCCTAGACAGGAATGCGATTTGCTGCTGCTATGCAGAGCGTCATTGGAAAGCCAACAGGGAAGCGCAAACCTGGAATGACGGCAAGCCCAAGCCAGGCATTCCAATATAACGCTGTACAAGAATTTGCACCTCCTCCTTTCTCGATCTCGACGTCTGTCGCCGAATTAGAAGGACCGGTCGACGAAAGCATGCCTGCAACGAAGCGTTCACAGTTGTCGCGCGTAACGATACTCACCATGCTTTCAAGTTCCACTTTCTTGCTGGTGGTAGTATTCTTTATTGGTAAGTTGTTCATGCCTCCACTAGTTCACTAGGTCTTTAGGTCGTCGCTGAGCCCTAGTATCAATTAGCAGTGCTGCGCTTTCAACGTATTAACGGTGCGTTTATGGCTTTCCAAGACACGAGTTGACAAGCCGTTATTCTGCGCCCCAATACAATGTCTCCCTTTCGATTAGTTCGATCTGCCATCCACTGGCTATCGAACCTATTACAGCCAGTCCTCAGCAGTCCAACCGCCGTGAGATACTGTTGTTGTAACGGAGCTCCCACTTGATCGCCCGGATTAATATTTTACTCCCTCTCTCGACCGTGGTCTAAGTTGCTAAGTCCTGATGCGACTTAGAATGACTGTAGCAAATTCATTTTGCACCGGCAGGATATATTGCACTCACCTCTATTTATGCGCTTTATATTATGAGAAGGGTTCATGGTAGCTGGATTGCTATCTTCGTTTCCGGGTCAAGTCTTTCTGATATACTACTTCCTTGAAATGGTAAGTGAAGTGGTTGGAACAGCTCCTGATGTTTGAATGTTGCTTATGCGTGTCCTTATAAATAGAACGTGCAACTATCGATCTTTTGCTGGCTTACTCAGCCTCGTTGCTCTTGGCTCGTTTATACTCTCAGTCCATCACCACTATTACCCAGTGTCTTTTACGGTATTCTACCTGAGGTCAATCATTGCGGAGATCGTGTAAGATAATGAGAAAATCATCTGGAACAAATGGATATCACCGTGCATACGATGGAGGTTGTATCTAGAGAATACTGACACGGTCTAGAAACAAATTTATAATTCAGCGATCCAGGGACTATGGCCAAAACTACTATACACTTCGAACGCTCACTCCGGCAGATCGAAGAGAGCGTAATACTATTTTATGTCAGCGTTACATTATCTATCTCAAGGCTTTCGTCTGGCGCTAAGCGGCAACGTGCTCCCCATTGGTTAGAAGACATGTAACTTCCGGGATCTCACTTCTCATTGCCCCTGCTCCCCGGCGCCAGGCTCTGTCGGTAAGTCCACAGACCATGTCCTCGTTTCCCGGATGATATACGTCTCGCTTGATTGGCTTTGCGACTCCCACTCCGCGGATGCCCGCGACGTGGATATCTTTGTCTTTGTCCCATAAGTAGGGGAAAGGACAAATTTGTCTCCAGGTTCATAAAGTGTCCCCTTTGTTGTAGAAGAGACGTGTAGTGGTCGTGGCCGGCCGGTGTAGGTGGTATTTGGCCATCCATTGTATTGAAGACAGAATGCGTTAGAACGAAGTCGAACCATGAAAGGCTTCAGCTGGCCCCAGCAGGCTGTGATAATGCTGAGAGACTGGGTGACCTCCATGCAAATCGTGCTGGCAGATGCGTCAATAAAGGGATCAGTGTAAGGGGTATTTGCTCTGGTAAGGCTTATTTCGGCGATAATCGACGCAACAACACTGAAAGTGTCAATAATGAAATATTGCCCCAAGGACGGTAAACGTACAGCAGCCGTGGAAGAAAGATACTGGCAAAAAGAAACTTTTTCTTCCACGTAGTTTGGACATGGACGATCAACACCATGGCTTGGGCAAAGATCAGGATGTCCGTTGTCCCATTCGCGACGGCAACGAACACACCCCAGGCAGTCTATAGCCGATTAATACAGGTCCGGGTATCACGAGGCAGTTGTAAACTCACTCGATTGATACATCGCCCCTCAAGATAGTCCCAGGTTCTTGGAAAATGACACTGGAAGGCTGTCCCAAATAGGGCAGTCACTGCAGTAATTAACACGAGCCCCTGAGCGACACGGGCGAGGATACGGTCTCGAGAAGCCGGCGTAATGTTGCAGATAAATACAGTCATGGCCAACTGAGAGCATAGCAAGCTCAGGGTCAACAACAATGTCCCGGCTAGCTGCGACTGTGATGGGTAAGTAGAAGTCAAATGGACTCAAGTCACATGGAGGAAGTAGCTGACTTTCATCACAGTATCCTGCATTGTTGCTCTGATTATGTCGGTGTGATCACCGAAGCCATGTGTAGTTGCCATAAAAGTGGCAATGTTATTCCCAACAGCAAATAGCTACATTGTCAGCACTTCGAATGAGTTCTGGTCCAAGTATGGCACACTAACAAACGATATAACGATGAGGGCGTCATCAGTTGTCAGCCCTCCAACCAAGAGATATTTGGTCATGAGTCGAGATACCACTGCTAGGGCAGTAACGCTCATAAGAAACCATGTTGTGACTGCAATTGCAGGCTGCCAGCTAGCTGGCTCGAATTGTGCCATGGGCCGATCGCTCTGGGATGATTAGTATCAATTAAGGTATAGGCATAGGAACAATTGTAGCTCATCACTTAGTCAATAAGGCATTTGAAGCGGGGCAGTCAATGGATCTTTGGGGGTGACTGAATGTGTAACTATATAAGTTTAACACTCCAGGGGAACGGCATTAAGTGTCACGATGCCAAGGGCCTCTTTTAAAAGGCTAACAAAGAAGTAAGTAATGACCCCACCGCCAAGTCACCCTGGTGCCGTCTTCACTCAGACTAGGTGGTAGTAAAGCGTCGCGCTATCTGTACTGAATTATTGATTGGCCATTCTAACGCTTCAATCAATCGAGGATCACTGGGGCTGGGTCACAGTATCGTGCTGAAACCGTATATTAGCTAGTACTTGACGAGATTGAACAAATCTTTGACGCCTATGATCAGTATCTATGATCAGTACATCGCTACCGTTCATGATTGAGAGCCTTTCTGGGCCTATCCCAAAAGGTGTCTGGGGAGTTTTGTGTCCTCGAGCAGGAGCCCAAGGAAGTTTGTTCGAGTAGTAACAAAGGTGTCAACAAAACACAGACAGATATATGAAACGAGAAGGTAGAGTTAGAGTAGCACAAGCGGGAGCCTGGCCAGGGCTACCAAGGACTATGTTTAAATGATGCTTACATGCTGCAGTAATAAATGTCGGGGCTATTATAATCCGCTTGAGCGCCTATAACCCGGTCTCGATGCGAATGTTTCTCTTCCCCCGCCTGCTCCGATCTTCTCCCGTGAGTCAATTAACGCAATATCTCACTCCTCTGCATTTTTGAATGAACCCAAGAGCAGTTCACACTCAATATGCCTCTGTATGAGATGAAGCACCGGGCAGAGCTCGGTCACAATCCGAGTCAAGATCGCGATGAGCTGGATCTCGCGCGAGTGGGAAAGAAGGCTGTTCTCAAGGTAGTTCTTCCTCGCGATTTTGCAGACGCTTGTCGTATACTAAGCGATCCCCCAGCGCAACTTTAGTATTCTGTCGATTCTCGCCTTCAGCTGCACCATTATCGCGACATGGGAAGGATTGCTGGAGCAAGTCATGCCCATCTCCTATATATGTAACCAATGCTAACATGTCATCAGCGCCTTTCTACTTCCTATGGCGAAGTTAGCCTCGGCCGACTATACCTACATGACCAAGCTAACCAAACCTAGTGGAGGACCCGCAGGTGCCGTGTACGGATATATCTTTGCATGGATAGGGACTGGGTCCTGTTTTGTGGTCCTCGCCGAGCTATCTTCCATGTAAAGTCCTTGTCCTCTGTTCAAGAGATTCTCTTTATGACATGTGGCACGCAGGGCGCCCACATCCGGGGGACAATATCACTGGTGCGCAATGCTTGCACCCCCCAGCTGCATGAAATTTTATAGCTACATCACGGGTGTGTAAATGAGTATACCCTCTCTCGGATATTGCTCGACGCTGAGATTGACGTCCTTAGGCTGGATAACTGTTTTCGCTTGGCAATCCGCCTTTGCGTCGATCGCCCTATTGAGTGGCACCGAAATCCAGGGGGCTGCTACCTTGACCTTCAAGAACTACCAGAGCGAACCCTACCACGGGACGCTGATTCTATGGGCCTGCGTGCTAGTCGCTCTAGCAGTTAATGCGATCGGTGGTAAACTCCTGCCATGTTTGGAAAACCTGGTTTTTGTTTTGCACCTCGTTGGTTTTTTGGCCATTCTCATCACACTTACCTACATGGCAGATCACAAAAGCGCCAAGGAGGTGTTCACGACATGGACAAACCAGGGCGGCTGGTCCTCTAACGGCATCGTGTTTTTCATCGGGATGCAAGGTAGCGTGTTTGCTTTCTCTGGTGGTGATGCTGCCGTCCATGTAAGTAACGCTGCGTGGTGGAACCAAAGCACGCATGAGCCGGTTTCTAACCCGACTATTAGATGGCCGAGGAAGTTCAGCACGCCTCGGTAGTTATCCCTCGGGCGTTGATTCTTACTGTTTTTATCAACGGTATTCTTGGATTTGGCATGCTGATTGGGGTCTTGTTTTGTATGGGCGATCTTGAGGCAGCGACCAAGACCCCCACCGGGTATCCTTATATGGAAATCTTTCTGCAGGCAACCAATTCATTAGGGGGTACGATCATTATGATATGCATCTCGCTTGTGATTGGTATTTGTTCTGCAATCGGAATGATAGCTGCGACCTCTCGCCAATTGTGGTCCTTTGCGCGTGATCGAGGGATGCCTGGATGGAGGGTATGGAGTAAGGCATGTCTTCCGGTGGCCTTTTCTGCCTCTCCCTCTCCCTCTCCCCTCTCTTTCGCTGGACTGTGAAGTTGCTGACTGGTAGACCCAGGTCTCTCCCACGACGAATATTCCGATTTACTCTGTGTGTTTCACCATGACTGTTTCATGTCTTCTTGGTCTGATTAATATCGGCTCCGACGTTGCACTGAAAGACATCCTATCGATGGCTGTCTCTGGCCTTTACCTCTCATACCTAGCCGTTGCAACTTTGCTTTTGTACCGGCGTGTCTGTGGCCATATCCGCGCCAGCAGTGAGTGCGAGGACATGATTGTGAATGTCCCCGATGCTCCATTAGTATGGGGACCATTCCAGGTTCCTGGGATCCTGGGGACGGTCAACAACGGCTTTGCTGTTTGCTACATGATCATTGTGATTTTCTTTAGCTTCTGGCCCACAACGGTGGTGGTGGATTATACATCTATGAACTACAGTGTAGTTGGGACAGTGGGGACGGTCCTCATCGCGATTATGTATTATGTAGTTCGGGCGAAATATGTTTACCACGGTCCGGTGGTAGAAGTGTGACAGTGGTGACTGAGCACTAGTCTAGATTTCCATACCAGGGCTCTTAAAAAATGGTTATAAAATCAGATCACCCTTGGTTCAAATTGGTGCCCCGAAACCCAACGTCCGGCGTGTTGTCCGCCCTCGCGATGGCCAAGGCAGAAAACTCGGTGAAGATGGGTGCGGATGACCGCCACCTGAGGCATCCCAGCGTCCCAGTCACGGGAAGGCTCTTATTGGCCAATGCTGTCACCGCCTTCGGTTCTCTCGGTCTCTGAACATACTGCTTTAGGAAAGATAGATTGTTTGCAGTCACGTGCCCCGATCGAGATGGATAAACAGGGATGACGTTGAATTAATTGGAAGTCTTCACGGTTCGGTGACTTGTGAATATGTATCGGTCACTGAGCTTCAGATGATCGGGGTTCCCGGCAAAGTAAACTAAAAATAAACAGTCAATCCCGGCCGGGAGAAAAAAAAAAAAATAAGAAAACTCTGCCAAATGTCAACGCCAAAGCCGAATACCGGAGCCGAGAGCTTAGTCACAGAGTCCTCGACGGGCATAAAAATCGGTTGCTCGTCCGGCATCGCGTGTGGCATCTGCTCTCAGAGCCAATGACACTTCCTCGACCACTCCACAATTGGTGGAGAACAACGGATCGTGCAAGATGGAAGCGCGATGTTGCGATTGGCGAGAACTCGTGGGAGGCAAAAAATAGAAGCTTTGTCCTGCATGGGGAATTCTCTTTTTATCTCTGGGGTAATTCGGATTCTGGGTAGGGAAAAAGGATTCCCACAACCGTTTATCAATCCTACCCAAATATTGCCGGGGAGATCATGGAGAAGTCCACGTTGGCTGAGGATGCCATCCAGCCCACAGGCTACAACGAGTATGATGTGCCTCCCAAGGACGAAATCCAGCTCAATGTGGGTGGTCGCGGAGCGACGCAGCGACGCCTGCGCAACTACCATGTTACCATGATTGGTTTTTGCAGTGGAATTGGCACCGGCTTGTTTGTGGGAACAGGCGCCGCCTATGCCAAGGCCGGTCCTGCTGGCTTGCTACTGGCATATATCGTCGTGGGCCTGGTGCTATGGTGCGTGATGCAGAGCATCGGCGAGCTGGCAACCCTGCTACCCACCGCCGGATCCTTTCCTCACTGGGCCACTCGGTTCATCGATCCGGCGGTCGGGTTCTCCCTAGCCATCTCATATGGATACTGTTATACGATTGCCATCGCCTCGGAGGTCTCCGCGGCGGCGGTCATTGTCTCCTATTGGACCGACATCACACCCGCCGTGGTCATCACGGTGGGTCTAGTACTGATCCTAGCCAGCAATCTCATGAGCGTACGTTTCTATGGCGAAACAGAAGTCTTCGGGGGTGCGGTCAAGGTCCTTTGCTTCCTCGGCTTGGTGATTGTCTCCATTGTGATCACGGCTGGTGGAGCGAACAACGATAGCATCGGCTTCCGCTATTGGAATAATCCGGGACCGTGGACGAATTACAACGGCATCACCGGTCCCACGGGACACTTCCTGGGCTTCCTCTCATCCTTTGTGAACGCCTCTTTCAGCTTCATTGGCGTCGAGACCGTTGTCATCACCGCGGCCGAGTCCGTGAATCCCCATCACGCGATCCCGAAGGCTGCCCGCCGGGTGACATACCGCATCGCCTTCTTCTATATCCTGGGTGCCCTTCTGATTGGCATCATTGTCGATCCGCGGAACCCAGCCCTCGTCTCGGGCTCTGATAATGCCAACAGTTCCCCCTTCGTGATCGCCATCAAGGAGGCCGGCATCAATGCCCTCCCGTCGATTGTCAATGCCTGCATTCTGGTTGCGGCCTGGTCCGCCGGTAATTCGTACTGCTGGGTGGGCTCCCGCATGATCGTGGCCATGACCACCGACCGCCAGTTACCGCAAGTCTTTGGCCGGGTCACCAAGAAAGGTGTGCCCTATGTCGCCGTCATTACGGCGTGGCTGTTTGGGCCATTGGCGTACCTGAGTAAGTCAACTTCCATCGGGTCGAATCATTTGACGACTTGAACTTGTCCATCGTATGTGCTAACAGACAACCCCCTTTAGGTCTCGGCAGTGGTGGCGCGGCGCAGGCGTTTTCCTGGCTTCTGAATCTCAGCACCGTGGCTGGCTTGATCGCATGGGCCACACTCTCCTTCTGCTATATCCGCTTCCACGCGGCGATGAAAAAACAAGGGGTCTCCCGTGATACGCTTCCGTGGAAGTCGCCGCTGCAACCCTATGCCGCCTGGGTAGGATTCATTGGATCGACCATCATCGTTCTCGTCGCTGGATTCCCCGTCTTCTTGAAGGGTAACTGGTCTTCCTCGGACTTTGTGGCGTCGTACATCGGCATTCCTATCTTCATTGTACCGATCATCGGATGGAAGATTCTCAAACGCACTAAGGTTAGTTGGTCAAATCGTGAAGTCTTTCTTTTTTTTTATTCAAGACCCTCGCTGACCGCAGGCCAATGTATAGTTTATCCGAGCTGCCGAGATCGATTTGTGGTCGGGCCGTCTGCAAGAAGGGGAGATCTTGGTCGAAAGACGACCGCCCCAGAATCTTTGGGACCGCTTTGTGGACTGGCTTGTTTGATTTTATTCCATCCGCATATAGATAGATCTACATCGCGAGCGACGCTGTCGGTTCAACACCGACACCGTACGCGAGTGATTACCTGACTGTCGAGTGCCCTGGAAGGTTCTCGGTACTGATGCCAGCAACTGCATTTATTATTATGTAAATAGAGATAGACCTTTGCATGACTGGGGACTGAGTCCCCGCATAGCTTTTTGTATTATATCAACTATATGAGCGAATGAAGAACACCCATAATTCCATGTGCATTCTCACTTCTGCAGCACTCACCTGCATGTTCAACTATAATAATAACAAAACGGTCCATCCAGCGTATCCATCAAATCCCGGAATTTCACCGGCTCGGCGGCAAATCCAAAATCAATCATCTCGTCCAAGGTCATATTCGCCGATGGGGGAGTGTCGACGATCGTGTGCGTGCCCCAGATGGCGTGTCGTCGGCTCTCTGGATCCAAACCTTGCCAGATGGTCCATACCCGATCAATCTGCGCATGATGCAGGTAAAACATTGGATCGCCTGGACTACCAGCTGCATCGCCCATGACCATTCCAACCCCGACGTGGCCCCCGCGATGGACGCCATATGGTACCGATGGCATAGGAAACCGTGGATCTTTCTGCATTACGCCCTGGAACCACTCAATGGTGTCGTATGAAAGAATCAACTCCGTGATGTGACGAAAAGTCACGGAAGATCGTGTCACAGTTGGGTTGATATCTCGTTTGAGGCAGTGTGGATGATGCTCGAAGCGGTAGGTCACTGGCTGTTGGCCCGCGCCATCAATAGGGCCCATGTTGATGGTGTAGTTCGAAAAGGGACCTTCAGAAACACATCCCCCGCCAGTGCCGACGGGGAGGTACTCATGGATTGCGGCCCAGTATGGCGGTTCCCGGTTCGGAATAAATGCCCCGTTCGATCCCATGCTGTACGGATCACCATTGAACAGAACGGACAGTTGAGGATCCTCAGCGTCCAAACCCCACTCCCAGTACGGGAGGGATCCGGTATACTGGCATTTTGATTTGAGATCTTGCTCGAACGTGTGGATAAAGTAGCGATGCCAGGCCAGGAAGTCTGCCTGTAGAGTTTGTTAAACGACCATATATCTCCAATTGGCCTCCCCACGCAGTCTCCAAATCTTACAGTCAGATGGATCACACTGGTGAGATTGATGTGTGTGGCCAGAAATTCGTCATAGCGCGTCTGCACCCCAGGATAAATCTGGCGAACATCGTCTGAGAGGGTGGTTGGAATGCTCTGCAGACACCGAACAGCGTCGGTAAACTGCAGTCTTTCCTCTGGGGTCAGCTCACGCCTACTGATAGGTTAAATCTCGTATTTTAGCAGGGAAACATATCGACCACTGTTAGGTATACCATTCTTTGCGTATCCGGGCATCTTCAGGTCGGCAACCACTCGCTCTATCCCTCTTAATGTTTTCAGTTGCCGTATTAGCAAGCTGACGGAGAGCGATGCCTTGGTCCACTTGCTCAGGTGTGAAATCATGGATGCTTATGCCTAGGATCGCTAGGGGTCCCCAGGCTAACCAAACGAGCACAGATATATAGAGATGCATGTTAAGCTGTGAATTTCATTCAGACTAAGATGCGACAAGATTGTGGACGTTGGGCGAGACAGGATTATCATCCATCCCTTGTTTTGGAGGCTGCAGCAACCGTGCAGATGACAAGTCATTAGCCAGCGTGACATTGCAGAATTCCCGCATAAAAATATCCAGAGAGTAGCCGCATTTAGCACCATTCAAACACTATTTTCCTGCAGGTATCCCCACCAGGGGTGCCTTGATTGGTGTGTCCTGGAGTGATATCTCCAGTCCGTACTAACTCTAGAGCTAAATACGAACCCGCCAATGCCACTTGTAATCGAGACAGGCCCATCGTGCGGTCATAAAAAGGAACATGGAGAACAGAAGGACACAGCCCAGCCAGATCACCACGATCCGGGAGCCCACTTTCTCCAACATTTCACCCCCGATCGGAATACAGATCAAGGTACTAAGCCTGTCAGTATGGGATCCACACAGCCCTATAGCCGAGAAGATACTCACGCGAAGCTCACTAGGCAGTAGCATGTCCCAAATCTCATGCCGATCTCTTTGGCATTGGACACTTGCCGAATGCAGACGGGGGCAAGACTAATGAACGACCCGGAACAGAGACCATAGATGGCGCTGAAGATATACAAGGCCGATAGATGACTGCTGAAGGGGTAAAGGATGACGAACATCGTCACAACAGCAGACAGAATCAAAATAATGAGTACATTCAAGCGACCGTATCGATCGGCGATCCGGCCGGCAAGAAGTCGCCCGACTAAGGAGCATCTACAACCCTGGTCAGAAGGGGATCCGGATGAACCTATGTCAATCCAGGGGGGGAGACATACACATTGAGCACCACGAGTGTGTACACACTCGCACTGGTATTGAACCCCTGCTTTGTCACGTACGTCGGAAATAGACCGATGAGGGCAAACATCTCCAATTCAAGCGCTGCGACGGTTAACGATACAATCACAACAGCCACGGGGCCGCGAGGGAACCTACCAAAGATCCCACAGCTCAACAAGGTGAAGCGAGAGTCCTTGAAACATCGGATATCGATCGCCGCCTTCAGCCGTCCCTTGGGGAGGCGAGACTTGACGAGGAATGAGGCGAGTCCGCACAGCACGAGAATCACCAAGGCTAGAATACGCATGCCCCACTGGAAGCCCAGGTTGGCAAAGGCGCCCTTCAGGATAAACGGGAACACCACGCCGCCCAGACCTGCGCCTGCCATGGCCGTACCGATCGCCATGCCGGCACGCGCCTGGAACCAGTGTGGGACACAGGACATCCCGATGGTGCTCGTGAATGCTCCCCCGATGCCGGCCATAATGCCGAAGCAGATGATGAAGTGCCAATACTGGGTGCATTCCGCCGTTAGGAACAGACTCAGGACATAGAAGGCCGACCCGGCGGCGACCAGCTCTCTCGGGCCGTAGGTGTCGAACAAGGGGCCCACGAAGACCCCCAGGCCCAGCGAAACAAAGACAAACAAGCCGGAGATCCAACCGACATTCTGGCTCGAGTAGTTCGCCAGCTGGTGGGATTCCAGGTAGGATTGCAACACTCCGACCGAGTTCATCAGGCCGTACGACGACATCAGCAGCAAGAAGGAGCCCAGGACCACGAGCCAGGAGCGATAACCTCCATCGGGAAAGCTGTCTGCATCCACAGTTGGCCCCTCCAGAACGGTACGATTATCTTCTACTTGGAAGTCATCCACTGGTCGGCGGGGCTCACTGGCACCGACCGCTGGATGGTTGATTTCCACTCCGGAAGAGACAAACACCTTTCCCTGTTCCGATGTAGCCATAGTTGGGAGCAAGTAGGACGTGTGGGAGGTCGTCCGGAAAATGATATGAGAGTTGATGAAGCTATCAGACGGGGTGGGGCATTAAAAAACAAGTCATCAAGACGAATCGGCCAGGGAAATTCCTTCCAAATCCGTCCTGTCGGAGTCGGCCTCCCATTCCGTGGGTTATCGGCTCGATGGTCCGCAGGTCCTTTGTCGAAGGATGAGTCAAAAGGAGATTCTTCGAGACCTCTAGAGATCGTCGTCCAGGCCATACTGGAATTGCAGCCGGCGCACATTTCCCATCCACCCTTCCTCCTCTTGGCACCGAGCTCTTAGACCCAATTCATGATAACTAGTATTCCATATCCGCGAGCCCAACCGTGCGTCCAAAGTCTGATCTTCCTCTCGGACTTCGGGGAGTTCGCTGCCGTTATGAGTGCTGCAGGAAGAGATCAGGAGGTCGGTATCGACGACGAAATCCTCCAAGCGCTCGAGATGGCGCACGATTGCCCGGTCGGACGCACCGCGACCCCACCAAGTAATTCTTGGCGCTTCAAGGACGCTGAAGCCGAGTTTGTGGCGCAAAAAAGATATGCTCGAACAGCGTGTCCATGCGTAGGCCATCTTGCGTTTTGCCAGGATCTCCCTCCAAGAAATACCTGGACTAGCCTCGTGACAGGTGCCAGATGTTCCCTCTCACACGCACTGGAACCTCATAGTACAGATAGACGCCAAAGGCGCCGTAGAAAGAATGCCACCGCGCTAGCTTCAAGACCGGGGGCTGTTGCACCAGCATTCGACGCCAACTGGCCTCTCCTCCAAGAAAGGCAGTTTGGGTTTCTGGGTATTTGGCCATGCGGCAGGTTGAAAGGCACTCGTCATTTCGATATTCGGGAAGTGTCATATTCGTTGACGTGTCAAAACGAATGAGAATGCTTCGACCAAAAGTGGATTCGGAACTTTGCGACCGGAGGAATCACCGGTACCAGGCATAAAAAGCAGAGCCCTCTGCAATGCGGGTGAGTCCTGGATCAGAGTGCGCCATGCCCGACAGGTTCTCTGGGCGGACGTCAAGAGCGTCCGAAGGTCCAGTTGCAATAGAATCAATTCGAGTACTTCGGGAATGGACAGAGTCCGTGAACCGTCCCTCGAACAGCAGTGGCCATTTTATATGGTCTAGACGTGTGTTCGGGGTGATTCAACCGGGGGTCTCTGGCGCATCGATGGGGGCTATTTAACAACTGTCACCTTACTCGAATGGTATAAAAACGAGAAGACTGTGCTCATGTGGGTCTTTCGAAACACGAATGAACCAGGTAAACAGGTAAAAGACGGGATGCTCAAGCCGTCTCAGCGCCGATTCATATTGATCTTCAATCAATGAAGATGAGGGCAAGGAGGCAGTGATTCGTTACAAGAACAGGAGCCTTTCACAACTAAAGTGAGTCCTATACATCCCTGTGCTTGTCAATTGTACTGTATCATAGTCTGCTGGAATGTTTCACCACAACTATAGCTTCATCTATCATACCGTCACTATATCGTCCTAGACGGTAGGATTGCTCACTACGATGAAAGGACCAAGATTGATGTCCATTTCGAAGTCTGTCTTAGATGTCTGAAACTATGATACGGATTACGAACTGCTATTTGAAAGAGTTTTGCGTAGGAAAGGTAAAGCTGAGAGACCGGAAGACCGGGTAACGGAGCAACAGGTAGTTAATCCTGAGCTTCAATGTGAGATATCATCAACGGTCGTGCTGGCATCATTGCGCTTCGGGGTTCTGCAGTGAGCTGCGAAGCATTTCCTCAACTTATACACTTTAACTATTCTAATATCCAACACGAAAAAATGCCTGATCCAGCCTGGTATCCCACACGAGATCCACAGTCCCAATGACCTGCGAAAAGCGTTTTATCCCGAGTGTTCTACAGAGGACTGACTGAATAGCCTCAAGTTCCCCAAGGGGATAATCAACCGTGCTATGGATATATCGCGCCACTGGGGTATGTACATACATCCGTCACGGGGCCTTTCATCCTTACGGTAAATCACCATTTGCTGTCAGATCACTACATTGGTTAACCCCCCCGAGCCCTAATGTGCCCTGCTAACGTATCTCCCGATGCTCTCTTCCTATAAAAGGAAGATCTTTGACCCCTTTGGTCTGCTCAGGAATTGACCTACAGCCGACCAGGCCAAGTTGAATAAGTGCACGTCCTTGATCCCAGTATTATTGCGCTCCCACTGAGGAATTTGTGGAATTTACTGACAGCCTATCTGCCGTTATGAGCCATTGCGAGGACGCAACTATCCAACAACAATACACATTGCATTGATTAAACCGCCTCATTTGTGTGGACGGGGCCGAAACCTCAGCCGAAATGAGGGATGGACCGTAGCTGCTCTCTATACTCAAAGAACAAAACAACACAACCTGAAGACCTTTCTCGATGAAGTTCTGACTGGGCACAGCCACTGCGGTCAATTTCTGTATCTCCACAAGTTATCTGACTCCGCCACGCTCCCAAGCAACAGCTGTACCCACACTATGCTTGGCAGGTATAGAGATCCCAATCACATCTGCACATTGCCCTCGCACAGGTACCGTTTCGGACTATAATGAACCTGTTGTCAGGATAGTGGCACAGCCAAGAAATGCATGTTTCATGAAGCAACCCTCTCCCTAATTACCGCAGAGATGGCTTTCGATGCTCCCCCAATACTTATACTGGATGGTGGTCCTGTTACCACAAAGGGTCGACCAGATCAACCCATTGATAAACCAAGACTCAACTCACACAATATGACTATTGACCAAATCCATATTGAACAACGGGGTGAGGAAATTCTCAATGTTTTCAGCACTGCTTTTGAAGTTCTCCTAGCTGCCGACCCGGCTGCCTTCGAGGTCAAATTTCGGAAGATGGCTGCCTCTGCATTTGCCTTCTACCGAGGCAGTGCCTGTCTGTTTTACCACGACTTGACACAAAACAAGCATGACTCTCAATATCTGGACGACCAAACCAGTCGGATTTGGATCCACGGCGACTTGCACGCAGAGAACTTTGGCACATACATGGACTCCGAAGGCAGATTGATATTCAATGTCAACGACTTCGACGAAGCATACGTTGGCCCTTTTACTTTTGATATCAAGCGTTTTGCTGCGTCGATTGCCTTGATTGGGTACGCAAAAGCCCTCAGTGATGAACAGATTACCACCCTTGTCCGAGCATTCGGCAACTCCTACTGCAAACAAATACGTACACTGGCTGCCAATGATACCACAGAGGAGGAATCACGTTTCACCATGGACACAGCAAAGGGTCCACTACTGGAAGCATTACGCTCGGCTCGTACGCAGACCCGGTTCGGGCTACTGGATTCTATGACCGAAATTCGTGATTCGGAACGACGGTTCATTCGAGGCGGCGGTGCTGTCGAACTCGATGATGAAACGAGGGACAAGATTCGAGCCGCCTTCGACGGATATCTAAAAACGCTTCCGGCACCAAGAAACAACCGTCCTGCCTCCTGCCAGGTCAAGGACATCATCGGCCGTCGGGGTGTCGGTATCGGTTCCGCTGGCCTTCCGTCGTACAACATTCTGCTCGAAGGAAATACCGAGGCTTTGGAAAACGATGTCGTGATTTATCTCAAGCAGTCGCAGGCTTCCGCTGTCTCTCGCCATGTCACCAACAGTGCAGCCCGGGACTACTTTATCCACGAGGGTCATCGGACGGTGATGTCGCAGCGTGCTCTCCAGGCCCATGCGGATCCATGGCTCGGGTGGACTGAGATGGATGGAGCAGGCTTACTGGTAGCTGAGGTTTCTCCCTATGCGGTAGACCTTGACTGGTCAGACATCAATGACCCAGAGGAAATGATCGCGGTCGTCGCCGATCTGGGCCGGGCTACAGCAATGATGCATGCAGCTGGGGACGATGAAAGTAGTCACTCACCTCTGGTCCAATTCTCTACAGAAAAGGCCATTGGCGCTGCCATTGGGGTAGATGGGGAGGGGTTCTCACAATTTCTGGTTGAGTTCGCGCATACTTATAGTGCTCAGGTGCGACGGGACCACCAGATCTTTGTTGATTTGTTTCGCAACGGCCGCATCCAGGGGCTGTCTGTCAATGGCCTCAATTAACATTATGCACCTGGATGCCACATACCGACCTCAATGATATCATCCTTGGGTCAACTCCCAAAGCCGTGATAGAAAGGCGCAGCGAGCTGCTGTTCGCAGACCATGTAGGACAATTTGAAAAGTTCTGGGCGTGACAAATGAAAGATCAATATATATTTCTTTTTGAATTAGGACTTTTAAATCCAATACGCTTGATACTACAGATAATCTATTAAATTAATTAATTTCTGGGTATCTATTACTCTGTAAGGAGGGAGGATGGCCATATATCCCGAATATAGCCAGTAGACCCCAAGGTCACATCGAACGACACGTATGGACGCACCACGTCTCCTGGGATATGCTTTGGAAGTATGTAGAGACAGGCTTTGAAAGAAAAGCAGCAGCGACCAGCAACGGGAATCAGGAAAATCAGCTCCTCCAGAGTCGAATGAACTCAATATAGAACTGCGTCTAATGGCAGCCGCCATGTTGCAGCACAACCACGTGAGGTTTGATCCTCGTCTCAAACAAGTAACCAAGAGGATGAAATCTGGGTGACAGTGGACTATCATGCTCTCTCCACGTTGGACAGCCATGAACCCAATGCCCAAAGCCTCGGCCATATGCCGATCGGGACTATATCACCTGTTTCGTTCCCACCCTTCTGTTCTGCAGAAGAATTGATATCGGACAACCATAGAGAGGATGCTCAAGGCAACGCCCCCAGGCACTGGTCTCTCCGCTTTTCCAGGCGGACTGCCACCCATTCCGTTATGAATAACAACGCAGCCCATGAACCCCTTACCACAGCATTGTCTGTCGAGCCTCACGGAGCAGTATCCAGTCTGTATGAACATTTCAAATACATTGGCTTTGTGACTATTGAATGTCTCGGGCTGATAGGTTATAGGCAAGGAGACATTCTTTTCCCTCCGCAAATGAGGATCAAATAGAGAATAACGGCATACGTCGGCACTACAGTGCTAAGCAGATTTGCCACGGACAGAAGCATTTTGCATGACTATATTGTAGCTATACATCACCTCAAGAGAACTTGAATTTGAATTTTTTTTGGGGTTTTCAGTTTCCTTACTCATTTGGGAAGTTGATAGGAGTGGGTCCCGAAGAGTCAGACCCACACTTGCCAAAGCCCTATATATAAGTAGAGTACAGTCTCAAGCAAATAGCCAGCCCATCTTGCTCAAACTTATCTTTCACAAGCTCTGCCCAATTCATTACCTGTGTCTGAGACCGACAACAGAATAATTTCCACCTCAACAATTTAGCTTCAACCCAGCCATGGGCAGTACACAAATCGCACAGACGATGCTGCAGTCGGCTCGCGTCGCCCCGGAAATCTTCCAGCTGCGCCCGGATTACCGCGCACTCTTGATGGTGGTAGAGGGAATCCCTCCAGGTCCTAGTGATGAGTCTAGTGAGGCTTTCCTCCAGGAGGCAGAAGCTACCGTTAAAGAACTGCTTTCGAAATCGCCTGTGACGGAACTTCCACACATCGCCGCCTGGAGGGAGGCGTATAAGGCTTTCGGAGCCAAGCCCCAGAAAACACGCAACAGTCTAGAGGCGTTGACACGTCGTGCAGCGACTGGATTACCACGGGTCAACCGGTTAACCGATATATACAATGCAATTTCGGTCAAGCATCAGATCCCCTTTGGAGGCGAAGACCTCGACAAGTACGACGGAGCGCCGTTTCTGGTGCGTGCCACGGGTCAGGAGCCGTTCCAGACATTCTCTGGTGGAGAACCTCAGACGGAACTGGCTGCACCTGGAGAGCCTATCTGGTGTGATAATACTGGCATTACGTGCCGCCGCTGGAATTGGCGACAAGGACCACGCACGGCGCTGACGGATGATACCACGCGTGTACTATTTATCCTCGATGCATTACAGCCGCTTTCAAACGATATTCTGCAGCAAGCTGCCGACGAACTAGCTTCGGCACTGAAAAGCCTATCTCCCGAAGTACAGACATCACAACGAATTATTGACTCTTCTTCCGCTTGAGCTCGACTGAGCAGTTCTGACATGGTCTATGGAAATGCGTGCCAAGAGGAATTATTACATTGGCCTGCGATCATGATGCTAGCGTCTGTGATAGGAATCATCCTCGGTTCCTGGCGGTGGTCGCAGCCTTATATAGGAGGAATCCAGGATAGCGACAATCAGTCTACCATACTACTCTAGGCGGGTCCAAAGCTATCTGGGTTGGAGGGGCGTTTATGTATAGACAAACTATGCGACCCTGTGCGTCTTAACTATCATGCTACTTTGGTACAAGTTGTACTTTCTAAATGTCATTTGATATGGGGTCTGCATACGCCAAACCCTTGACCGTTCAGATAGATTACTGATTGGAGATTATAATATGAATTTTAAGTCCTTTACATGAGAAATACATTACAAACTCTCTTACCTAGCAAGGGGACTGGACTATCGTGCCTAATGGCCTGCATTTGCCCTCTTCCCATGCACATTAAAATGACCCCTCTACTCAGGTTAGCAGAAGCAGGTCCACCCCTTTTTCTCAGGGCATTCGAAGGCAGCTTGTATTCTGTTCACACCTTATGACAAAGGTTCTGTGAACTGATAGTAGGAGGCGGTGTGGTCGAGCTCTTGATCGGTGTAGGAAGAAAATATTGATACATACTATGTACATGCTCCGCTGAAAGAGCAGTTAATATTTCTGCTTCACTGCAACATTAGATTTACTCGTTTTAGTGATTCCCAGTAGCATTCGAATTAACGATAGCCATGAGTCTCTGGTAGCCTCGGTAGTCCTCTCCTTTCACGAAGGCTGTTCGGTTAGCATCCTGGTCGAGAGATGCATACCCGTATTTGTCAGACACATGGCAGTAGCAGAAGGGAAATCCTCTGGCGCTGGGTTCTATCTCGAGCTTTCTTCGCACCTGCGCGACAAGCGTTGGATCTGCCATGTTGTCCTCTAGATCGAGTAGGTCCTCTTGATGATAGTCCCAATGCAAGGAAAAGGAGGTGAGACGAGCCGGAGATTTCTGTGCCAGAGCAAAAAGAAGTTCGCTCCAAGACATACCTTCACCACCTACGCAGTCGCTGCAGCTGTAGCACTCTCGCAGCGATATTGACTCTAACGTACCAAGATGACGAAGGAGGAAATCTTTCAACTCAAGGCACAAATAGATATTGCCGAGAGTGAGGCCTCGCAGCCGTGGCATGTCAGCCTTCCACAGGGATATATTGTAAGCATGGGGTTGCCCTGCATCACCTAGCGGTGCAGACTCTTGGGGATCAAAACTGAATTCCTCGACAGATGTGAGATGGTTGAAGAACCACGGGCCCAGACAGTCTGGAAATCCAAAGAAACACTCGTAGGTATTGAGCATCCATCCGACACCGTTGTCCCATTGCTTCAGAGACATATTAAATCTCCGTAATTGCGAAAGAAAATAATGGAATTCGCCGGTGGAAAATACCGATATCGGCACAATATTGAGTGCCTGGATGGTGAGCGAGAGGGGGATTTGACCTCCTGGCCAGTGTTGAGAACCATAGCTAGACAGAATAGCGCGGAAACTTGCCGCCATCAGTCCCCGCCAGGCATTCTTTCCTTCCTCAACCACAGCTGCTTTGGGATCGTCGTTGAACCCTGAGCATCCAAAGTCTTCCATGAGCTCGTCGTAGTCGAAGGGAAACTCCACGCTAAGGGTTTGGAGACCCGTGAAAGAAGTGAGGTTGGAAAGAACGGTGTCGACCTCTAGCGGATAGATATCCTCGACTGGTAAGTTTTGCTGCTCTGTGGAAGGGCTAGTGAGCTTAATCGTGATATTGCACGTTGTGAGGGTGTTAATAACGGGCTTTCCACACACCTGGTTCACAGTTGGCGATGTAATGCAACTCTTTGATGCACCCAGAGAAGTTGCCATCGGCGATAGCCTTTATAGACAAGGCACTCTTGGCCGTGTTGTTTAGATATACGACCGCAAATATACGCGGAGCTAGAAGGTTGCGAAACCATGCACAAGTGCTACTCAGATTGATCAAATCACGGAGGTACAAGGAACACTTGGCGCGACTTCTGCCCTCGTCGTGGTCCTCTTCTTCGGCGTCACAAAGGATGTCAATTATCATGCACCATATCTCCACCGCCATAAACGGTGAGGGATGGGGCTGCAGCTCCTCTGTTCCAGGTGAAAGCATCATCGTGCGTTGTTCTAAGAAAGCTGAAGCACCACCAGGTCAAATTTATTTATATTGATTTCCTATCCGGAGGGGGCGGGAGGTCAAGGCTTCAAGACTTCAAGGCAGCAACGCGGGTGGAGCCTGGGGCCCAGAAAATTTCAATCACAAGAATTCATACATAGCCAACCGTCCAATGTACAAGACAATAAGAGACATTTGGGGATTCCTAACTTTTATTGCTAATTATTTTACAGTATTACTAGAGAAACTAGAACCGCTTAACTCGCACCACCTGACCCAAAAATAGAGTCACAGACCACACATCGAAACACCACACGGTGTAATTTGGCGCCCCTTATTATATAGTAGAAGCAAAGCAAGGATGGGTATCATGACGGGCGGCCTCAAGATTTCTTTAGGCTGATCTTCCGTACCCTAAATAGATAATAGAGAGTGATTGCCCCAAGGATGTTAAACACAAAATACGCCCAGAAAATGCCGTAGTTTCTCCAGCGATCTTCCCAGTAGATCCACCGCTGGGCAAGGTATTGGTCCGCGGAGTCCATGGCGCAGTACTCGCAACCAGACGTTGCGTTCTTATTATACAACTGGCCGCCGGCTAAATCGAGGTATTTGCTCATATAGTCACCGCAGGTTTGGCCGTCGGGCGGATCGAAAACACTGAGTTCCGTCGAGCTACATTGCACGGGACGGCCATGCAGGGCTGTGCTTCCAATGCCTCCGATATAGTATGTAAATGGGGACACGCGGTACATGAAGATCCAGAATCCGGGGAGGGCAGGGGGTGGCTGCATGACACCACTGAAGACGAACGAGAGACCAAACATCAGTGTGGCAATCATGGAGGCCAGTGCCGGCTCCCCGACCGCACATACCACGAATTGAGCCATGCTCGCGCTATAGATGAAGAACTGCACAATAAAGAGCATGATCAGAGCACGGCGCTCGGAATCTTGGTTGGCGCCAAAGACAGACCAGTAGAATGAGGCCCACGAGCAAACGCCGAGTCCAAATTGGAAGGGGATTTCGACAATCATTTGAGAGAGGATGAAGACCTTCCAGGAGTAGACTCGGGACGGTCGCTCACGGACTTCATAGAGGGCACGCTGGGCAACGAACTTCGGCATGATCTGGTTCACCAAAGTGTTAAATATCGTACACAACAAGAAAATACTGAACAGAGAGTTCTGGAAACCTTGCTGCGTGTTGTCAGTCTGCCAGAAGGAAAACCCAATGAAAAGGCCGGACACAATGCCCAGAATAAATTTGGAGAAAATATACTCCGGTTGTCTCAAGTATTGCTGAAACACACGGCGAAGGACATGATAGAGCTGACTGTGTAATGGCATTGCGAATTCATCGTTACTCCCTGCATCATCGGTAGAAGATGCGGAATCACTTCCTCCGGTGGAATGCAATCGATCGAGCTCCTCAAGTACGTCTTTATGCTCAGGGCTATCGTTCCACACTTTCACCCAGTCTGGTGCGTTCTTATCCACATCACCAGAAACTGTTTCAAGGATATACTCCGCTGGGTTTTCATGCTCCTTGCAGATTCGGCCGCCGTTTCGCTCGAAATAGTTTAGCAGAATGCGGGAGTCCTTGCCAATATCACCGAAATAGACTGTCCTTCCCCCTTTCGCTAGGAACAACAAGCGGTCAAAGGTTTGGAATAACATGGCACTAGGTTGGTGGATCGTTGCCAGTACCGCCTGGCCTTGGTTGGCAAGTTTCTTGAGAAACGCGCAGATCGTCCATGAGCTCTGAGAGTCTAAGCCACTGGTGGGCTCATCGAGGAAGACCAAAAGGGTTGGCTTAGCAGCGAGCTCCACCCCGATACTCAAAAGCTTTCGCTGCTCCACATTCAACCCTTCACCTAGTCTACCAACGACTGCCTCAGCATAGTCCTCCATTCCCAAGACTTGAATTACCTGCTCGACATAATCATACTTTTCCTGCTGAGACACCGATCGAGGTTGACGAAGCATAGCACTAAAGCGGAGAGCCTCCCGCACCGTAGTGGTCTCAAGATGAAGATCCTGTTGTTGGACATAACCGGTTCGACGAGGAAAATTCGCGGCTAAGCCCTTTCCATTCACAAAGATATCTCCTGTCACGACGCCAATCGACACTCGCTGGGCAAGTACATCCAGCAGAGTAGTCTTTCCAGCACCAGAAACCCCCATCAAAGCTGTCAACGTCCCAGGCTTGACCCATCCATTCACGTCATCGAGCAGACGCCGGGTTCCATCCTTGACCGGAATGTCATAGCAAACTGATTTCCAGGACAAGATATCCTTCTGCTCGGGAAGGCGGATAGAATCTGCGTCAGCCCTGACCTCCGCTGTAGGGTTTGTCTTCTCCACCTCAATACCGTCGCCGTCTTGCAAGTAGCTAGGAGCATGGCCAGGCCGAAATACCAATGCTTCTGCTTTAGACTTGTCTGCCGATATAAATTCCGTTGCAGTGAGGTAAAGTACGTGGAAGAAGATCAGGAATGCGATCAGGATGCCAAAGTTTCGCCACAAGTGCGAATAGGAATATTGGTAGTTCTGCTCAATGAAGGCGTCCCCAGAGACAAACCGTTCACCAGCAACTGCACCGACGACCGAGCAAATAAAAGATGTGCCAGTGCCATAAGACGGGATGTATGAAGCACATTCGAAATCCCGGCCATGGAATTCATTGGAAACGAGAGCCTCAAATGCATAGTAAACAGGGTTAATCCAGCGGATCCAGGAGAGCCATGGATGCATATAGGGCTGTGGCAACGTGAATCCCGTGTAGACTACAATACATAGAACCAGGATACCGGCAAGCGCCATGGCCTGCCCCACGGTCTGGGTCAAAGAAGCCAAGCTGCGAAACATTCCTGACATGGTGAGAACGGTGCATATCAGAAGTAGGTAGAAGATGAAGAACTGAGACGGCTCCCGGCGTAGGTTGGCTAAGAAGTAAAGGATGATACTGAACACGGAACAGCGAAGGACTTTGATCGGCAGATCAACCAGGGCACTCGCCAAGGCTTCGGTAAATGGATGCACAAAGGCATAGGCCGCCTGCTTTTCCACGATGGGCCGCTGGGCGTACAGTTGCATAATTTCACCAATAGTGATCAAAGCGTTCATAAGCACCGAGAAATATAGGACAGCGCCTTTCTGAAAGAAGGCATTGCTGGAATTGGGCGAGTTGTAGAAGACGGATCCAATGATCAGGGATAGGATGGTCTGGACAACAACTGTCGACATCGCTGTGGGCAAATCGTTGCGCAGACGCTGATAGGCCCGCCGGACACAGAGTCGTATCTGCATCGGGATCGACAGGAGATATGGACTGTTCGCCCGTGTATGGCGGGCTTGCTTTTCCTCGTGGACTTGCCGCAGGATTTGAGCGGCTTCACCATTCGGAGCGTGTTCCTGCACATAGTTGCCAATTTCCGTGCGAAGCTTCTGATATTCCAAGCTGCGCTTCCAATACTCCGAGAATTCCTTCGCACTCCGAGGCACCTTGTCCTCCATGCCCGGCCGGGCCCTTCGTTCCTGGGGGTTGGTAATGGCGGTTAAAAAGTCCGGGCTCACCTGCTGCTCCGGTCGTTCCCAGCCCATCCGCTGGAAGTATTCGACTGCCGCGTCACACGGCCCAAAATAAATCTCATACCCCTCGTAGAGGACCACGACCTTTTCAAAGAGGTCGTACATTGACTGGGAAGCCTGGTAGGCAGCCACAGCATGGCAGGAGTTACTCATATCGGCGGACAGGCGCAACGCTCTCACAAACTTCAGGGCTGATGCGGCATCTAGGCCTCTGGTGCTGTTATCCCAAGCACCTATCCGACAGTTCGACAGGAACATCTCGGCGATACTGACCCGTTTGCGTTCCCCCCCACTGACTCCGCGGATGAAGTTATCCCCGACCTTGGTGTTGACCGTGTGTGAGAGGCCGTACACTGACATCACCACCTTGGTCATGGTATCCGCAAAATCCCTGCGAGTCATACCCTCGATCCGTCGTCGAGGCGCACGGGCATGGGCGGCGAATGAGAGGGTTTGGCCCACAGTGAGGTGTGGAAAATGCTCGTCAACCTCCTTATTGTAGGCAATTTCTCCCCGGTGGTGTTTAATCATATCCTCATACCCGACGCCATTGTAGTGGATCGTGCTTGCCGGTTCGAGGGTCAGTCCCCCCATACGACCACATATCGTCTTTAGCAGAGTGGAACATCCGCTTCCTGGTCGACCCAGGACGAGTAAAAGCTCCCCACCCTCGAGGAGACCATCAAAGCCGCGCAAAATCTGACGGCGAGGGACACTCTTTTGTCCTGCGATCGCTCGGGAAGCCGTGCGGAAAGGGATGGCGAATGTGGAAAGTACCGTCTCCTGATACTGCAGCGCCGATCCTGACCCAGAGACCTGAAGATCCTTGAAGACGACACCTTGCTGTGGTGGCTCAATGCCGCATTCGTGCATCCGCCTCAGAACGAACTGAGCCCAACGACGGTGGTTGAATTCGGGACTATTGGGGTCGAGTTGGGGGTCATGTTTCGCATGAGTAGCCGAGAGGACTTGGCCCAGTCTACTGGAAGCGATGCGAGACAGTGACTGACGCTCCTGATCCTCATCCGACGACACGGACGAGGATGTGTCGGATAAGGTATCATCCTCGTGGTCGGGAGAAGTGTCGATCTGCGTCACCGGGTTGACGTCCGGAGCCACCTCGGACTTGGACGACATCCTAAAAAACCGGTCAGCAAGACAGCTTGATATTGGAGATGCCAATGGTAGAGTCGAGCACCCACTTCGGACACAGAGCACGGGACGACGCCTCTAACAGGCTTGTTGATGGCTATACTACTATACAGCGTAGTATGTATGTACAACGACAACAGAGAAGAGGCGTAGTTAAGGAGGGTGTTGTTCGTCGTCGTAGACCATGTAGAGTGAACGACTCAACATGATGAATGGGATCCCGTGGGCGGCGCATTATGAGTACCAGATTCTCTCTTTGCTTTCGGTACCTGAAATCCTGAATTCTGATACAATGCGGATTTAACGTTATGCTTGATTCCCGGGCTAAAATGTTCCGGCCCACACGTGGACCACAAACAATGAAAAATGTCGGCGACACGGCGTCTCGCAGGCGCCGACTTCGCGTCCTATTGGTGGACTTGATCGGAATCCGGCCAGCCTCCAGGCCGCCATCGTCGGTGCCTGAGGCTTGTGGAGCGGAGATGACGACCTTAAATCCGACCATCACGGAAGAGGCCTCGTCCGTTGAGGGCTATGCAATACATAGTACACAGTATACTGTACTATGATCAGTATGACCACAGTGTATCCAGAGGATGATAACGATGAAGTAGGACAATATACAGCTTTGCAGGAGCCGTGAGGAATGACAGATTATCACTTCCGTGCTCTTGATTCTCAGAATTTCAAGAACTCTTCCCATGTGTTCCTATAGAGCTCACATTAAATACTCTTGTTTTCTCAGGTTACTGTGATGGGGTAGTAATTCATTTTGGGTAGGCGGTGGTTCTAATCTGTCTCTCTCGAATACTGCCGGTAAACTCTGCCCTATCAGACCGCCTTTTCAACTATTAGTTGGTGAATGCCTTGATACCTGCTCAGGCACCATCGACAACTGCGATCCGCGTAGCTGCCTGGGGCTGAAATATATATATCTTGCAAGTTCCTCCCGTCCACCTACCACTCTACCTTCAAGTGTGAACTAACCGCTCCGCAAGGCTACTATGAATGGGATTTGCCAATAAAATCTTGTGATGCAATGGCTGTCCTAATGGGGTGTGATCTGGGCAAACTTGATATGACTACTACATAATACTGCGAAATGAGCTCGTCAGAAGGACAAGAAACAATGGGGGAACTATCACCGACACGCAAAAATTTCATCAGGAGACTATCTCCTGCAAAGGGAAAGTACGGTTACATTATAGCAGAGAATCGCTTTCGATTCTCAGCTCAGTGGTGCTTACAGGAATAATAGAGGATCCTCTGCGAGCAGGGCCCACTTGGATGCAAAGCCATTGATCATATTCGACTCAACGCAGCGTCTCAGCCGCAGCTGAAGGTTAAACCCATCACACCGAGGTAAGTCCGAGATTGTAGTGGCAAATGTTGGTCTATTGACCCGCTTTAGTTACCGGAACTAGCTTAACCCTATAATAGGGCTTTTAATCAGTATGACAATTCCTTCACTCCAATTACCAATGACCGAAGCAGGGCCGTTCAAGCAATCACAATAGTGGGTCAAGGCTGAGCTCACTTGACGTCCTGAAGGGTCACGACCTGCGGGATGTGGATCTTCTACGCTCTAGGCTAGGTTAATATCAATGGACAAGTAGGACAGATTGGCGGCCATGGAGATGACTACTATTAAACATTCATTGACTAGCATCCACAATCTTCCTAGCCTAGCTTATCGGACATAGGTTGGGATGTTTGAACATAGGACCAACATGAATATCAACAACAGTTATGACACCATGAGTAGAAAGGAAGCTCCATCCAGAGCGAAAGGTAATAGGAGCTTAATACCAAAGCAGGATATTGCAAGTACGTCTAATACTACGATCTTTGGGTTGGAATGTTGCAAAGAAAACCTGCCGAAAGAAAACAAACTAGAATGGGGTTTCTTAAATGCGTACACAATTATTGTGAAATTTGATTTCATTCGTTTGGGATTCATGGTCCAACGCATGGCGTAGGTTACATTGTGTCTTAAACCCGATGCAAAGTGGTTCTCACGACAGCTCGAGTCTAACCGGCCTATTACTACCCATTGGAGGAACTGTCCTCTCGTAGCACGGTGGTAGTGGGGGGTCTCCATTGATTAGACAGGATACTAAATATTGAGATGTGCTGGGAGTTAGTAGCTTACTAGAAATGACTTGAAGACGCTCAATATGTGATGTGATAAACCCCCGTGTCCAGTAGAAACAGGGTTGCCACCCTGTACAGGAAATTAGCGTCTATTTATTGCAGTAGCTCTGATGATCCCTACACCGTGTCATTCCCACAGAGCACTCCAGCTGAAGCACGGCTCTAGTCGAAACCCAGACTCACCGGGCTATCTCCTGAGGTACGGTTAAAACTACTTCAAAACCAAATACTTGAGCAACCATCTAAATTGCTTATAACGGGGGATCTCCTATAGTGAAGTTCCCATATAGACTAATCATAACTTGGCTTCTAGAAACTCTATTTCGTTCATATTAAATGATAATTGGTTTTCTGTATCGTAAAGGGTATTCGATAGTATTTTGTAGCGTAGTGAAGGAATATATACTGATGTTTTTCATAGTGGTAGTACTGTACGGTAAGGTTTACCACTAAAAGATATATTATTGGCCGACAGAGCCCATTCTATTCCCTTATAAGGAATTTTGTGTGGTAGACACCCGACTGGATTATTCATAACGCGTAAATGCCCTATATCGTGGTTGCTTGTAGACGGGGTTTACCGTACGGTGCAGAAAGATCATGTGGATCCCTGTGGAGGGGTTCGCTTACAGATCGTGAGTGAAAAAATTACCAGAACCGCTGCGGTAAGAGTGGGCGTCTTATACTATTTTGTATACAGCTGGAATATTTCGTAAAAGGAAATGGTATGCGAACACGCCGCAGATATGGCACGATCCTTTCGCACTCTGTCACTGAAGCTCTGCTTTGACGAATACAGCTCTCTAAGTTTTGATAGAGTAAATCTCGATATACTTCATAAGCAACTCAGGTATAAGAGATTCACACGATACAGGCAATTTGGGAAGCCAGATAAGTTAATTATATCGAGGTTGTACTGCAGCTTCTCAACTTTAGCCCCGGCGTAGTACCCAGACCTCCTGTGGGGACTCCTCGAGAGCACTATGTCCGGCCTTGGGCCTTTTTTGGTGACGCAGCACTACCCAGAGAGCACAGGTGGGTCTTCCGCTAGACCATTTCCCTACCCAAGGCGATCATATATAAGAGTGTCGAGACCATATTGTACAGTACTATTAACTCATAATCCCTCTCTTCTAATCGAAGTAATCGCGCACCCTACAGGATTACGTAGATGTCACTTGGAATTCGAGGATTCTAATGCACCCGAGATTCGAGACATCATGGAAAGTCCAACCCTTCAGTCAGGGTCTCTACCCTCTTTCAAGCCTTATGTTCTCTCACCTTTGGATCATGCTCTGCCTTGCTTCTATCTGACAGCGACATTCACTTTTTCATTACAAGATTTGACAGAGGGCATATCAGCTCTTGAAGCAGCTGTACCGCAATTAGTATCCAAGTTACCATTCCTCAGTGGCAATCTGGTCTGGAAAACCCACCCCGACAACGCCAAGGTAGTGGGAGAGATTCACCCACCCACCGCAGCTACATGGAACACATATCCCATGCTGAAGGTCAAGTATCATGGCGGTAAATACACCCCCATATCATACGGAAGGATCAATGGCCCAGGTCAATCGGATGTGGTCTCTTATGATAACATCTTGCGTGAGGAGTTTTTGCCATTGCCTTTCGAAATCGTCCTTGGTGAAACAAGTCCTGTGTTACGATTTCAAGCGAACGTCCTCGCAGATGGTATCATCCTCTGCGTAAGCTTTCACCATAATGTACTAGACGGGAAGGGAGTGAATACTGTCATGGAAGCATTGGCCGCATGTTGTCGGAATCCGACAAACGTACAGCAGAATGAGCTTCCCACTGATCCTATCAGTGAGGCCTTGTGCCGCAACCGTCTCTCTGCTACCACCTCACCACCTCCTGATGCATTTGTGGTACGGAGAGGGAAGAATTGCCCTATCCCCGCTGCACCTAAGCAGGGCCTTCAGGCGCCCATCACTCGGTTGCTCGTCTTGAGCGGGGCGAAGATCATACGGCTCAAGAGAATGTGCAATGCAATTGTGCAACATATAGCTCGCGGAGAGGTCCAGTCTTCAGAAGTCAAGCAATCGATCCCTGCATTGTCAAGCAATGACATTATCTCTGCCTTGATGTGGCTTTGCGTCCTTCGATCACAAGCCGCATCGGACTCTCGTTTTCTGAAGCGAGGAAGATCCTGCTTTTCATTTCCGACTGACGCTCGTATCATCTTCACTGATGGTCTCCGGTCCACGTATATTGGAAACTCAGTCGTTTCCGCCAATATAGAATCGCCGTTCTTGATTGAGGATGCAGTCCACTCCTCCTCTGCCACCGTCTCCTCGCCGGATGAATTCAATCTATCTTTAATCGCTCGCCTAGCCCTAGTGATCCGGACCGGGTTCAGATCCGTTGACAAAAAGTATGTTGAAGATGTTATTTCTTCTATTAGCACAGGAGACCATGCTATGGTGACCGCAAGTAACGCCGACTTCGCCCTGAGTAGCTTGCGCCATATGGGATTCTATGGGTTAAACTTTGGTCCGGTCCTGGGTAAGATTGCACATGTTGATTTGCCGGATCCCCGAATGAAGAATCAGGCATGGGTTCTTCCCGATAGGTATCCTAGTCCTGGTGGAAGGTCATCCTGGGAGATCCGCATCACATTGGACCCTCCGGTGATGAAGCATTTGGTTGAAGACAAGCTGTTTCAGTGGATGAGAGACACAGACTTATCCAAGTTATGACAAGGCTTTCGCTAGATCCGAGTATTCTATAAGTAACATCAATCTCAGCACAATGAGATAGTTGAATGAACGAACAATTGCAAAAACCATCAAAAAACATACAACAGGAGGGATTCGCTGGTGGTCACCCACCCAACTACTAACCTCCCGGCGTGTGGCTTAAGTACGGCTGAGCGGACGGGAAGCCCTGTTCTCCACACCCTATGGTCGTATGTACTTGACTGTACTAATTTGAAAAATATATACACTGTACATGTTGGCCAAAAGCACGTTCAGGGCTTATGCCCAGGGGACAAGGACTTGAACATATAGAAACATCTCTCGTGGCCATATGTAACTTCAATCCAAATCATATACACATAATATGACAATTGCTAACTCGGAAAATCCCTGGACGTTGTCTCTATATCCGTATCATTGAATACTTGTAGACAGCATATGGAGTTTAGGCCCTAGCCATCTGCTCCCGTGACAACTGCCCATTTCCCGGCCGTGTCGTTTCATCATCCACTTTATTGATCCACTGTCGGCCTGGCTAAATCCAATATATCTGCACAGTAGAAACATCCTACTGTGGGACAAGGGATGCCTTTGGACTTGGGGGTTGAAACCTTCTGGTTGTTAGTCAGGTCTTGGCCAGCGAGAGAATACCCTAAGTTACATCTTCGGCAATAGACGACAATCTCCATTGCCGAACGTACTTCAGACATCGATCAACAACACTCCCACCGCGATCTTGCTTTTTATGGCGCGGACTGTCCGACACAAACGTTAAAATAGCCGGCTGATTCTCTTCATATCTAATTATGATTTGGATAAACAATTTAACCTCAAATGCCACCCCGCGTGTGGTTGATGATCACCGGAGTGTGGATCTTGTCATCCTTGCGGAATGACTGCCGAAGGATATCAATTGTACGTTATTAGTCTAAGCTCTGGGTAATGGTGGTACTGGATATAGAGTAGGAAGTACGGGGCATAAAAGACGACGAAAGCTGTCTCCGTCACTGAACCCACAATTCACTCCATTAATTCTCGATTCCATTTATTATTACCCACGTAGAACAACCTACTCCTCACTTATTAACCATCCTTTTCAAGACCACGCTACTACTCCCTCAATATGCGTCCTACGTTGGCCTCCTTCTGCGTCGCAGCTGCTGAATTGGCCATACATGCCGCCGCAGCTAGCTCCTCTGGATGCGGCACAAACCCAACCCTCAGCAACGGTCTCAACTACATGGACGTCAATGGGCAGCCTCGGGAATACATTATCCAAGCCCCTGACAACTATGATGCCAGTACCCCTCACAAACTTGTGATAGGTTACCACTGGCGTGATGGTACCATGAACAATGTCGTCGAAAACGGATTCTACGGGCTGAGCTCCCTGGCTGGGGATGCACCGACCATTTTCATCGCCCCCCAGGGACTGGGCAACGGCTGGGCCAACAGCAACGGTGACGATATCACATTCACCGACCAAATCCTCGAAGCAATAGAATCCTCCTTCTGCATTGATCAGGACCGCCGTTTCGCCACCGGCTGGAGCTGGGGCGGAGGCATGAGCTACTCGGTGGCCTGCTCGCGAGCTGACGTCTTCCGCGCTGTTGCAGTTCTTTCCGGTGCTGAAATCAGTGGCTGTGATGGTGGATCCCTTCCCATTGCATATTTTGGTCAGCATGGAATTAGCGATAGCGTGCTGGGTGTCGAGCTTGGCCGCACATTGCGAGACCACTATGCTCAGGTGAATGGCTGTGATGCTGCGACTCCCCCTGAGCCCGGGGTTGGAAGCGGAACACATGTTGTAACTGATTATACGGGTTGTGCTGAGGGCTATCCTGTCCAGTGGGTTGCTTTTGATGGCGATCACGAACCACTTCCTTCAGACGGAGGTTCTTCGGATTCTTTTACCCCTGGTCTTATTTGGAAGTTTTTCTCTCAGTTCTAAATTAAATCAAGGAGAGCAGCTTTGGAATGGTATTTTGGATGATGGTATGGTGGAGATGATCTATGTAGTGCCTTCTATCTTCTAACTATATTGTCTCTTGATGCATGTGTTAAGGCCATTATTATTGGGCCTTCATATTAATTGATTATTTGATTTATATGCTGAGAACGAAAAGGTTTATATAAAATGATAGTGAACTGTAACATGTGACCGTTTCCGTGCTCTATCATAGTATAGACAATTCATTATCCTTAGGATCGGCCGAAGTCATACTCCTGAGGCATGGATAGCCAAATATACGCCGTACAGACTAACGGTTTACATTTATTTTATTTGAATAGTCAATGGGTATAACAGCTGCTAAAGAAGATTGAAATAGGCTCGAAATATCTGGAAAATAATCATTGCAACGGCTGTTACTAGTGCTTCCATCCACACACCCTTTCCAATTTCAAGCCTTCCATGACTGACTCGGCCCGTACGTAAGATTTGCTAGGTCATAGTAATACTCTCCACCCCTCACCAAAGTCACTACCAAAAGGCAATGAAATAATCATTACTTTAGACCTGCAGTGTCAGGAGAGCGGGCCTCCACGGCAGCAGGTTGTAATCGCCACTGGCGTTAGGGTCCCGTCCTTGGTAGAGCAACTGCAAATTGCAAGGATCCACGGTCATCGTCTGATCGGGGTTGTTGCGAACCAGATCACCGTGACTGATATCGTTCGTCCAGGTGGCACCACTGTTGGCCTTGCCAGCGAAGGGCTGGCTCTCGGTGCCCGCCTGGACAGTCCACTCCCCACCCAGACTATCAGCCGTGAAGGAGCGGAAATAGCGTCCATTGGTGCCCATGGCCTCAACAATCATCAAGTACTTGTTCTGGCCGTCGACAGTGTAGACCTGAACCGCTTCGAATAGGTTCTCCTTCGTGTCACTCAGAATGACCTCGGATTGGGTACCGAAATCGCCTGGGAAGTTATCAATGGGCATGCTGGCGCGGTAAATCTTGCCATTATCACCCGCAAAGAAGAGATACATGTGCGTATCATCGCCAATGACAGTTTGGTCGATGACTCCCGTGTCGGAGCCGGAAATAGTTCCCGAGAAGAGAGGCTGGGCCGCTGACCAGCCATTAGCGTCGGTGGGATCACTGGAGGTCTTGTAGGAGAATGAGGTCGGACCCCATTGATAGGCGAGGATCCAGACATCCTTTGGCGCAAAGTAGAAGAGTGTGGGTGCAACTGTTCCCTGGTTCATGGCGTTCTGGCTTGCCGAAGCCATCTCAGGCCAGTCGCTGAACGGACTGAAGTTCATCGAGCCATAGCTCCCGGAGGTATCGGTAGTTGATGCATAGACGATATGTTTGCCGTTGAACACAACATTGGTGGAATCCTTGATTGAAGTCCATCCTGCCTTAGGTTCCGCGAGCGCACTGGTTGATGTCCAGCTATAGCTTGATGGTAGGGCGCACTGTGCCGCGGCACCTCCCACTAAGGCAAGCAATGCTGTGCCGCATAGGGATTGATCAAGAACTTTCTTTGCAAGTTTCATTGTGGGCTTTGTATTCAATGACAAACCAAACAGGAGGAAACAAAAGTGGAGCAGAATGTTGTAGTAGCAACTTAAAACCGACAAGACCAGGCCTGATTTATAGTCCCAATGCACCCTTGATTTAATTCCTCTTTTGTAGCGCCGGCTAAAATCCGAAACCATTCAGCCGCGAATGTGTTTCATGTGTTCAATTATACCCTAGTAGTTGCACGGAGACCCAATCGCTTTGCCGACAGAACTGCAAGCCACAGGAGCACATATCGGACATTTGCCTTGCTCGTTCATAGTGTACGCTTCATTTGGACTAAAACAATACCCCAGCCGACCGATCTGCAAGAACTTCTGCACCCCACCCTGTTGGACGTACTGTTTCTGGCCTCGAATGTGGTGAAAGGCCCACCCAAGCCAAGGCCCCAATTGATCACATGACAACCATCAGTGGCTTTCGTCTGATAGCCCTTTTTCAGATCGTAACGTATCATTAAGTTCGTAGAACTAGGAAGGTCAACAGATCATTCAACATATAGCCCTATAAAATCGTGAAGTTTTTCAAACTGTATATCAATCCTTATCCACTGGATTTCATGGTGTTCTAGGGTCGGGTTAGGGTCCAACATCGGGAACGTGACTCGACCCGCGGATTTAGACTAAAAACCTGCCAATGAAACGAGTCAGGTCCAACCCGCGGGAACTGCCCGCGGGTTTTGGCGGGGCTAGTTATAAATACGAACAAAATAGATTGTGTCATGGATATTAGACCTGCCTTCTCCTATTGCTTTTACTAGAGACATGCCCCCTTTGGAACGTCTCCTAATATGGCTTGATCCCTACGCGCAGCTTTGTTTTGACCTTGGAGGAGTGCTCTTTTATCAATATACTATGTTGTATAGGCCTGGAACCTACACAGATCGCCTAGGATCTATAGACCTTATCGCAACCCGCATAGTATCTACAACGCAACCACCAGCTCTAACTTGCGTAAGTTCATTAGAGGCCTAGGTGTGAACCATATAATGGCCTATATCTATCTTAATAGTGATATATACCAGATACCTTTACCAGAGATAGTAGTTTAGCGCTGCACGATGGCAGGGCTTTGCGGTGGGTATTAAACGTTGCCACGTCCATCTATTTAAGCGGACCAATTACGAACATTGCATATTCATCCATCTACAGTGTTTTGCCGATTTCTTAGCCTGGTGATCCCATTGGGATAATTTGCTTCTAGAGAGCCAAGGGCAAGAATTTATCACAACTCCGGTGGGGTAGTCTCACCAAGTCAAATTACTACTAGCTACAGAGTACTCATATTGTTCTTGATTAGTGTTTTATCGACAACAGAAATTCCCTTCATGTGACATTGTTGCCTATTCACTCTATCCCTCATATTGCGCGACGATACATTCTACATTAGAAAGTTGGTTGGACACCGCCAAGACACTCAAGCTTTCTTTGGCACCATAGATAGAAAAACCATATTTTTGTTCCTTTGTTTTGCTTTCTTCTTTTTAGCATCTTCACCAAACCAGAGAATCTTGAAGAGCTATCATGAAACCGAATATTCTCCTCCTAGGGCCATTGATGAGCATGGCTACTAGAACAGTATCCCAGATCTCGAATCCAACTTTTTGGGAAGATTTTGCGGACCTCGATATAATTCGCGTCAATGATACATTCTACTATTCTGCCTCGAATATGCACTACTCCCCCGGTGCCCCAGTCCTTAGTTCATACGATCTTCTGAATTGGGAGTTTGCTGGCCACTCCATCCCAGAGCTTACGTTCGGTCCAAATTACTACCTAGAAGGTGGTAACCACGCATACATACGTGGTACATGGGCTTCGACATTGAACTATCGACCAAGTACGTCAACCTTCTACTGGATGGGCTGCATTGACGGTACCACATACATTTACACGGCCCCCAACGCCGACGGCCCATGGACCCAAGCCTCAACGATCAATAAATGTTACTATGATTGTGGTCTACTCATTACAGACGATGACAAAATGTACGTTGCCTACGGGAACAGTGGGATCTCCGTTGCCGAGCTCTCTGAAGATGGGCTAAGCGAAGTGGGCTCGCAGATGGTCTTTCCTACCGACGATGCTGGATATCTGGAGGGATCCAGATTCTATCAACACGATGGGAACTTCTACATCTTTGTTGTACATCCCGCCAATGAGGAGCATATTCTTAGGTCGACCTCCGGTGTACTCGGTCCTTATGAGCGTCGCCTATTGATTTCCAATGCTGGCAATCCTGTCCCAGGGGCGGGATACCCACACCAGGGAGGTATTGTGGACACCCCGAATGGGGATTGGTATTATATGGCCTTTGTCGATGCCTATCCTGGAGGACGAATACCAGTTCTCGCTCCTTTGACCTGGGGAAGCGATGGCTGGCCTTCGGTGGAGTTGGTTGATGGTGGATGGAGCGCAACTTATGATGCGCTGAACATCACTCCCCCGTCTACCCCCATCTCATCATTTGAACCTTACACCGATAAATTCACGGGAGACATCCTCTCACCACAATGGGAATGGAATCACAACCCTGACAATGACAAGTGGTCGATCAACAATGGGGTCACTCTTACCACTGCCTCAGTAACCGATGACCTATACGCAGCGAAGAATACCTTAACCCATCGAATTCTAGGACCCATCTCGACTGCCACCATCCACCTTAATACTAGCTCCATGTTCAGCGGTGACCGTGCGGGCCTTTCACTTCTCCGTCATTTCTCCGCCTGGATTGGCGTAGTCAATGATGGAGGTACCTCTCACATCGGCGTTACCACGGGACTGGAGATGGACTCGGAGTGGAACACTGTTTCTACAGGAACTGAGAATGCTACGGCCGAGTTCTCTGGTAGTGAGATATGGCTTCGTGTCGAAGCAGATATCACTCCGTACGCGGGCAGCGGCCAGTTCTCGTACAGCTTGGATGGTGTGACGTTTACGAACTTGGGGGATATCTATGAATTGAACACTAACTGGGAGTTCTTCATGGGATACCGCTTTGGTATATTCAACTTTGCGACTACCGAGGCTGGAGGAAGCGTGGTGTTGAACTCGTTTGTCTTGTCATGATTTACCACCTTTTCCCTGCCACATGTCAACCCATTAGCATTTGGCACGTTGTATCTGTGGAGACAGGTTTGCTTTCGTATAATGTTATTGTGTATTCTCTATAGTATCCCTATGTATCTGTATAATGAATGTCAGTCCATTTCCATCTACTGTCACATCGATACTCGCTGAAAACACGTTGATACAAGAGGGCACAGGGACCTGAGTTCCAGATTGCACTCAATGTGGGCACTCGATGTGGGGACAAACGCATCAGTTCCACTTCACGGCCATTAGTTTGTCTCGGCACACAGGGTCCGAGCACTGTAGAAAGATGGGTCCAAAAGTCAGTTATCTACGTTACATTGGGTACTGAGTGCTAATGTTCGGCAAAAGCGATCTGAAACTTGCCGACTTCAAGTCAATGCAACCGGTCTACCCATATACTTCATGCAGAACGGTCACTATTCCGACCCATCGGAAGTATACTTTGGAGGAGGCAAAATGTAGAAATCGCTGCATATATTCACGGATATATGCTGATCAATGCTGAAATCGATGACATGCTGATTCGGCTGCGCCCCCCACTCCCCGGAATTTAGGCTATTTAAATATCTTCACGAAAACTGGCAGGGTTCCTGCATGCGATGTCTCGAATGAGAACAAGGCTAACTCTCCGAGAACCAGCCTTATGATTCAGTGGCTTTGCGCCCAGCTTGGAGGTTGGTCTGTGCCGAAAATTCGGAATACGTTTGATTTCTAAATGCCGATTGTGCAGGCTGGCAGCTGGTTGGCTCGTATGGTACATTGTGCCTACCCCTTTTCTCCAAAGTAAAGTAGTGCTAAGTTGAGCTAAATACCCTGCACCACTTTCCTTCCTATCGACCGATATGTGCGGGGCGAGATGCTCTCTAGACCTTGCTACTGGTCGGGCTTGGGTCCAACATCAGGAAACATGCCCGACCCGCGGGTTCAGATCCTAAACCCCTACCTAAACTATACACCCACGGGTTGGGTGTATCAATCCATGGTTTACCTATAAACTCACCAAAATTGTGTTTAGAATATATAAAAATACATAGCTATTATAGATGTGTTATTCTAGCCTGTATATGTCTAGTATTTGCTCTATTTAGACGTTGACAGGTAAGTACGAAGAACCCATGTGTTTAAGATCTAAACCTCTGCCTATCCCGCGGGTTTAGAGCAGGGGCTGAGAAATTGCCAAGAAACAGGTCCGGTCAAACCCGCGGGTTTTGACGAGCCCTAATGATGTGCTATCTTGCCGAGAGTCTCCCCATCTAGTACTCAACAAACAGCTTCGAGGCTTTTTAGTAGGACGCAATAGGGCTTGGTAAACCTTGGGGTGTCTCATATCCCAAGGGTCCTTTAGCCGTCAATGGAGCCCCACAGAGTGATCCTTGAATATCAAACACAACATCCATACATGCCATCCTAATGCAACATACTGCGTAGTACGCACCTCTACCATATCCAAGTCTCCTTCTAGAGTTTCAATACTTTTGCCTAAATAGCTCACTGCGCCGAAGAAATACCAGATCGGCAGCGAGATACCATATATATATCCCCCTAAGTCAACAATCATCATAACTTCTCTTGAACACATCCAGTCTCTATTTATCACTCTATCTTTCTCGTTCCGACTTCAAAATGGTCCAATTTCCATCAATCGCTCGGTGTACACTCCTTGCAACTGCTGCATCGGCGTACGTGACTAGCCGACAGGCAGCGCAGAGCGTTCACGATGCCTTCACCGCAGCTGGGAAGATGTATTTCGGGACTATCGCGGAGCAGGCTCTGCTGGAAAACCCTCAGAATGAACCCATAATTGCTGCGAACTTTGGCGCTCTAACTTGCGAAAACAGCATGAAGTGGGATGCCACTGAGCGTATGTGTTTTCTATACTGCTACTGCATGGTTAACAATGCTGACGCCAAATAGCTACCCAGGGGGGCTATACCTTCGATGGAGCTGACTATGTTGTATGTTGCTGTTCTTTACTTCCTTTCGAGCTTTGTTAATGGGGTGTAGGTCAATTATGCCGTGGAAAAAGGAAAGTTGCTTCGCGGACACACACTTCGTATGTTTCACCCATCCTACATCCATTCGAACGAATGTATTAAGCAAGACATGCCGCAGTCTGGCACTCCCAGCTCCCCTCATGGGTTTCCCAGATTAGTGACCCCGCCACCTTAACCGGCGTCATCCAAGACCACGTCACCACCCTGGTGTCCCGATGGAAGGGACAGATCTACGCTTGGGTATGGCACATATCATTCATCATGGGACAATTCACTAACAGCCATAGGATGTGGTGAACGAAATTTTCGCTGAAGATGGGTCCCTTCGCGAGAGTGTGTTTTCAAACGTCCTTGGAGAGGACTTTGTTCGGATTGCCTTTGAAGCTGCCCGTGCTGCGGATCCCGACTGCAAGCTTTACATCAATGACTACAAGTGGGAAATTATCACCCTAGGATATGTGACGGCATGCTGACTACATATTCTAGCCTGGACGACGCCTCCTACCCGAAGACCCAAGGGTTCGTGAGCAAAGTCGGTGAATGGATCGCTGCTGGAGTTCCCATTGATGGAATTGGTGAGTGGCTCGCATAGCTACCCAACCACGCATAGTATAAACTAACCTCCCTTAGGCTCTCAGTCTCATTTCGGGTAAGATCTTTATAACTTCATAAGATAGAATCCAGCCATACTGACCCTACATCTTAGTGCTGGAGGCTTCCCTACATCCGGCGCCCAGGCAGCGCTTGAAGCGCTTGCGTCAACTGGTGTTTCTGAAGTTGCCGTTACCGAGCTTGATATTGGAGGCGGTACTTCGGAAGATTGGGTCAATGTCAGTAAACCTGTCCTTCTTGCCAGCTGAGTAGTACTTACAGGAAACTCCAGGTCGTCAATGCATGCCTGAATGTCGAGAACTGCATCGGGATTACCGTCTGGGGTGTCTCTGACAAGGTAATTAACTGCCTTTTCTTTCCATTAGATGTACACTTGGAAGCTAACAACATCTAGGATTCCTGGCGCGCCGAAGAAAGTCCCCTTTTGTTCGATGCGAACTACCAGCCAAAGGATGCTTACGGTGCTATAATCGCAGCGCTCTAACCTGAGCTTGATATTTATATTGGTTCTGTGACGGGCATAAGACCAGGTGATGGTGGAATTTTATTCAGCTTCGGGTATAAGTCTGTCACTCACGTAGTACTACTTGAACCTTGAACCATCAGACTATACACCAGAAAACGTATTGTCCGACTTTGGAACGCTTTCGCAGCTTATTAGACATAGTAATTTAAGTTTCGACAAGGTATTTAGGCTGCCTATTGTAGTACTCAATAGGATTATCGATATATGGTAATCTGCGTTTTGCCCAATATTGGCCGCCATCCCAGATACATACACGCAGGTGCCAGGGCACCATCAATCCAGTATATGTAAGTATTCCCCTACTCTGTAGTATATGGTGTATGGGGCATGCTGATTGGCTACATTTCTATGTTCGTGCATGCCGTACCTGTTGCCTATCTCCTAAATATCCTGATTGAATGCAGTATAGGGTCTCTCCCTCTTTTTGCTTTTCCAATACTCTGAAGGTATCTTGATAAGCAGATACCTCCTCTTCTTTGTCCTCTTCTACAGTCCACGCGGCGGCGAGTAACTTGTCACTTCACATACAAACTCCAGCCGCACTTTTCCCGCCGTGAGATTCGATTTGACGTAATATATATTGAACACTGTATGAACCTCTTCAGTATTTCTTCTATTACTCCGAGACTATCTTAACAATATATATTATCTCTCTCTGCTCAACCACTTTCTGTTATCTCATACTGAAAAAGGGCGCATATAACCGCTCTCATGTGTTGGCACTTTGGCGTAGTCACTGTATGACTCGATACATCGCTAACCGTAACTATATTGCAATACACTAATTCCGATTTTACTCCAAAGATCCATTCTCAGTAATTCAATTTTTATAGAAGGAGCTGTCAGTGATCCTATCCCGATGCGAAAAAACATATCCAAATCCGTGAAAATAGTAATCTATGGCAAGTCAGTTTTATGACTCAACAATCTTTCTCGGTAGACAGAATACGATCTGAGAGCGCCGATGAATTATACAGTCGCTTGATATTCTATCATTGGGAAATTTGGAGGCATAACTTGTCACATATTGCATGAGCTTTAGGGGCCTTGGAGTACCAGCGGACGCAGAAAGTGAAGTCAAGTGACTGTTTGCAAAAAGCAAATATTCAATCCGTTCAATTCCGGGAAGGATAGTTGGCCCATACTAACTTAGTATAGTTGTAGTAAACTATCTCGGATTAGAACAGATGCAAACTTCCGCACGGCAGAGCAAAATATCCGAGATGATAACCATAACCAACTGTAGAGGAAAGCTTCTACATGGGCTCCATGAGACATTCTAGATGGCATAGATCAGAGCTATTGAGTTGCGAGAAGAACTCCTCTCTTTCCTCTACTTTATGTTTCGCAGTGGATGCAAGAGGCTTGCGGTTAGCTATGACGATTGGGTTTGTTTAGAGCAGAAAGGGCGAGCGGCGCTACTCAGCGTAAGCGTATGTATCTAAGGCTGACTGGATTAGAGTCAGTTGGACCATCGTCACTCGGGCACCTAGTACTCACCCTGAGGCTTTCGTGACCTCCTGGATCGACCCATCACGTTCGAGAACAGCGACACCAATGACGGCTTGCCGCAGTATAAATGCTGTGTTAAGCCCTACTGGCCCGGCTCCAACAATAATAACGGTGAAAAGCTTAGCTTCTCCGATATATCCATGTTACTCTTTTGTTCCGTGCGTATCTGTAGACGTATCCTTGGGCAAATTTGATGACATTGTAAATATCCCGTTTAGCTTCCTTGCGAGGCTCAGGTTGCATTTATCAGCGCGGCAGTCAACAGTCCCTCATCGTGCGTCAATGTGGGACCCTTCTACTCCGCTTTGTTCAAATATTCCCGGAAAAGCCGGCTTATATTTTACCATACTCAATACCCTTTTTACTGGCCTCTACAACTTGCAAAAATCGCCCGTGGAGTACTCGGGCGTAGGGATGTCCAATGCCGACATTCGAGCCTCTCCCCATGGATTTACTGTGTATGAACAGCGGTCGGTCTTTGCAGCATTTACCAAAACCGATATCTTGATGTATCGACCAAAGCTGCAATGTTTGGTGCTTATACCATTATCTTACCCCTATACCCTTATGTTGAGACAGATTTCTATTTATTCTTGGCTACAAATTTCCTTCCAGCCTGGTCCTGGCCACATAATTTGGCGAAAGGCATGGGTTTGGTGTAGGTATTACCATTGATTGAATCAGTGAGACCGGTATAGGACGAACAGGGCGGGAGCTTCATACCAAGTGTGCCGCATCAACCAGGAATAGTTAAGGAGCAAGGAAACAGGTAGCCGCCAGGTGTCGACTGTCCAGCGACAGAATGGACTAGTAGCTTCTGAAGCTGCGAGTTCGAACAAGAAGATCTTGTCGTCTATATAGGACGGACCTAGTCGGGTTTAGCAACTCAATACACACTCTAAGAAGTAATATATTCCTTGACATCGAGCTACACAACGTGTGACTGGCTATAGGATAGTTTATTATGAGCAAGGCTATGTTTCCATGCAAGACGGGAAACGATAACAATAGTCCATCTGGCAAGTGGTCTCGATTGGTGTTAAAGACCCATGTAGAGTCACTATAAGTTTCACTTTAATGGGGCGTACTGCAGGCTATATATTTGGTGAAACACTAGTGGAATATATTGATGGGCTAAATGCAAGACAGAATGGAAGCCTTCAAGATTTCTGGTGACATCGGACCACAATCATGCAGGACTAAAGTATACCCGGTATGTCGGGTTATGTGGCCCCAAGTCCGATATGGGTCAACGCGGTAGCCAAGCAGCAATATGTCTGTTGTGGTAGGAGCCAGATCTCGTGAAGAATCACTCGTTATAATATACTTTTGCAGTTGTCTAGCCATATGCGTCTTCACAACGCCCTGGCTAGGCATGGAACACTTCGTTCGGAGTATACTAGAGGCTTCAGTACCTCGCCTTGTGCTTCACGAGCTAGTCAGCGGGAATGCAGGTTCCGGGCCGCGAGGGTGAGATACGCCATCAGAGGGCATTGCTGTGCGGAGCCATGATGAGCTCTCGGTTTTTGGCTGGAGCCGAGGATGGCCGCGGACGAAACCAAACCCCGAGCTCCGAGAACGGGATGGAGCTCCTGTTCAAGCCTCAACGATCCGGCGCTGCGAAGTAGAGGAGTACACGCAATCGTTAGGATCCTGCCAAAGTCTATAGCAGTCATGGCATCGAAGGGCAGGGGTATTTAGAAGTGACTTGGAGCTAGGAACGTAATTGACCGGAGTTCTCCAAGCTGCTAGGGCTTCTTCCTTGTACCACTCACAATTCTATCTTGCCATCGTCTTCTCGGAAACCAGTGGTCCAACATGACCTACAAAGACAGTGTTTCAGTCGCCATCATTGGTGGTGGAATTGCTGGGATGACACTCGCCAACATCTTAGAACAGGCAGGTATCTCATACATTCTTTGGGAAGCCTACCATCAAGTTGCACCCCCGGCTGGCGCCAGTGTTGGACTAATGCCAAACGGTCTACGGGTTCTCGATCAGATCGGGATTCTCGATGAGGTTGAGCACTATATGGTTCCTCATGTGGATTGGGAGCATCGCGATGGCGATGGCACCCTGTACTGCACCCAGAGCGCATTGCGATTGTTACCGAAGGCGTGCGTTCTAGAATACCAGTATCGTAAGTGATGAACTTCTTACTGACCTGGGTGCAGGCTCGGATATAGCACTATCTTTATGGAGAGGCAGCGACTTCTCGAGATATTATTCGACAACATCCGGGATAAGACAACCGTCTGTACCGGAAAGCGCGTGTCTCTAGTAGAGAACTTCGACACGCATGCTCTAGTAACCGCCACGGATGGAACGCAGGTACGCTGCCAGTTCGTTGCCGGAGCCGATGGCGTTCACAGCGTGGTCCGACAAGCAATTGAGGCTGCATGCCTTGCTGACCTTAGGATTCCAGAAGATTGTACGTTAGCGCATGCCTCGTATTGCATGTCAGCCTTGCACTAAATGAGAGAACAAACCATGAGCTTGCTAACACTCCCATTTCCAGACTTTGCAACCAAGATCTCTTGTGTCTACGGCATCTCAGACCCACTTCCACCATCGTCCCGTATCACTGCCGGCCGGAACTTTACCATCTACCAAGCCTCATCCTCGCTCTTGCTTTTCACTGGTCGAAACGGGGTTATCTATTGGTTTATCTTCTCCTCTCTGGATACCACGATTCCGTACAGCGAGACCAAGCGTTATGGAGATGGTGACATCGAAGTGGCTTTTGCCAGGGTCGCTCACATTCGTGTCACACCAGCCGTGACCTTCGCTGAAGTATTCCGTAACCGACGCACCGCTGTCATGACGCCACTTGAGGAAGGTATAGCACTACGTTGGGCAGCCGGTCGCATGGTGCTGATGGGCGACGCAGCACACAAGATGGTGCCTCACGCAGCCATGGGTGCCAACCAGGCCATGGAGTCGGCCGCCTGTTTCGCCAGCCGCCTACTAGAACTGCGCGCACAACTTGGCGGTTGCAATATATCCGCTGATTTGCCGCCTTTGGTCTCTCCTGTGCTGGTCGAAGCGTGCCTGGAGGGCTATGTCCAGAAAAGGAAGCCTCGTATAGAGCACGTCGTGAAGGGTGCGAGTCTCTCGTGCCGCATACAGCTTAAAATAGGGGATGCTGCGCAGAAGCATATTCCTAGGCTGCCTAGCTTGGGGGATGAGCGGTGGTTGGAGGAACTCCTCAAAATGCTGTACAAGGCTGAGAAGATTGAACCTTGGGATGTGGACAGTGAGCGTATGCGGTACTACTCTGAACAGGCCCAGAAGAGATGTGGCAGTGTGAAGCGGATCTTGGACAATTGCTGATGAATAGCGGCGGGAGGGGGACTTTAACTCGGCCTTACTCTACCCTCCACATGGATACCTAGCTGTATGTTAAATTGCTTCCACCTTTAACCTTTCTATTTATTATCAGCGCGAAAGTTACTAGCGAAATGTGAAAACGTTAATCTTTGTACTTGTTCCTTTGGTTCGTGGCAAAAGATGCTTGTGTTCTAAATATGTTAAACCCGACTCAACCAAATGCGAAGGTTAGCCGCAATGTAAATTGAACCAAGCCAATGTCATATCAGATGAGTTTCTCCATGTGCTTTTGCGCTGGAGACCTTCTCATGTTTACATGTCATCCTAGCGCCCTTCCCAATAGGTTTCCTCTGTTTTTTATTCTTTTTTTCTTTCTTTTTTGTTCTTGAGGGCCTTTCGAGACTCTCCGGCTGATTCAAGGCTCTCCTATGTAAATGGTTCAACCTACAAGGCTCTATGTCTTTCCCATTATTGGCATGCCCCCTTCTGGCCTTGGCGGTTATGGCCTAGGCCGCTAATGGAATACGGCATCACTGTCCCTCAAACATGATAGTGTAGCCATGAAGCAGTCACATAACTCAAAGTAGGGCTGGCCAGGTTCCCCGAAACGCCCGCCCCGAACCTGGTAATTTCCCGGGTCGGGTCCTTGATCCAGAACAGAACCTGCTTCTAGGAGTGGACTTTAGTACTGAAATCTATTCTAAATTAAAAAATTGTCTAGATTTTACTTGGTGTTATATGATTAAAATTCTATATTTAGATTATATATATAGAGAGAGAGAATGATTAGAGATATAGAGCATTGAAAATTTTAATCTTAGATCTGAACAAATAAAGTATTCAATCAATAAGTAGTATCAATACAGTGAGGCTTTTAGTCGCGTCCAAAATGAGTGGGCTGGCTCACTCACTTGTGGAATACGTTAGCTAAAGCTACCATTCATAGAAGACACAGGTATGCATGTATTCTGTTATGACGCCACTATCAGTGGTAAACCACTCGCACGTAATGATATGTACTCGTTATCGGTATATTGGTAGGCATTCGTGCTGACATACATATCGTATGCCGCAACAAAGTCATGCCATCATCGGACTGGTCGAGCCTATTCAAACTTTATCTGTTTAACTTTCGGATGCAACGGAATCGCTGAATTTCTAAGGTTGTGGTACGATTACAACAGCTAGAGTATTAGTATTTTCAGTTAATGACACATCCAAAACAATAACTAATATACTTTCCATAAGGACTTTCCAAGTAGATCCAATTTTAACCATATAAAGCGTGTTCGATTCATGGCATATATTACTACGCGGAAGTATTTCCCAAAGCGCTATATCCTTGGTTCACGGGTCCATGGTACCTTGTGGATAGGTTAGTCCGAAGTATGACATAGTGTACTATGACAGTTCTACTTGACATAGCCGGAGATAGTAACAGATGATTGTCCATAAACGAAAACGGCTTCTCCTATGGCATGTTTATAAGCATGTTACACCAATCTATGGATATAATGTCATTCTCAGGTTATAGAAGGGACATGTCTCCCTGTCTAGCCAGTAGAAGAACAGTAGAGACGTCATTGTAGGCAATTATGACTTTGGATATGATGCTTCCCGTTTCCCTATTGGCATAGATAGGGTTCCAGGGCTGTAAACATACGTCTTCATGATATATTCATGAATTTAATCTGGTCATATGATGAGACAATTCTGACGATGAAAGGCCAGCATACACTGTCGGTGTGTTTTCGGCTTCATTTACACAGAGCCATGTTGCTGTATACTTTCGATCCAATCCGACCAAGTCTTGCCCCATCGAAACCTATATAAAGGCGCAACATTCTACTGTATCCCATCGTTTGGTCCTCAAGTCCCATCATTCTAATATTTTATGATCAGGCTCATACCATACAACAAAGACCAATCCTCTTATACCTCTTAAAAATCTCCATAGAACACCCTGGCTAATATGCTACCCTGGGAAAAGGACGGACCTTATGGCGGCCGTGGGGGCAGTCCCTATGATCTCAGAGATCCCGAACACAAGATAAAGCGTATTGACGCCTGGGACGCGAATTGGAAGAACTACCCTGTCCTCGGTGCACTCAGATTCCAATTCGACGATGGCCACCAAAGCGAGCGTATTGGGGGCAAAGACCCTCACACCGACTATCACCTCCATTCTTTCGAATTCTTGGACGGTGAAAGAATAAATCATATGACTGTATTTGCAGGACATAACGACGGTTTTTTCAACGGGTTTCAGTTCCACACAACCCTAAACCGCCACTGGGAGGTTGGGGGACGGGAGGGGGAAGCAACTGACCTGCCAAACCTTGGTAATGGTGAATGGGTTGGGGCTACCGGCAGAGATGAAGTCAGTGGTGCTGATGCCGTTGTGGACAGCATGTGTCTCTATTTCAAGAAGGAAAGAGAAGATACGTTTTCGGGCTACTAAATCACATCCACATCATTGAGAATCTAGTACAATGTTAACAATATAATCTGTGCTATAAGGTCAACACATGGCATAAATGCCAACATTGCCAGTCGGGTATGGATTGCTAACATTCTGTCCACTACGTAAAGACCTTGCCTTGTGGTGGAAAAGGTACACGGTAGATTTACATTAAAAAAAATTCACTTAATCGCCTCTAAAATCTCTATGTTTTACTGGTTTGAAAGGTCTATCAAGGGGCTGATGAGCCAGGGTCTAGAGATTACTATCATGTCAATAATTCGCTGGCATTGGTTTGATGGGATAGAAGAAGAAGAAAAAAGAAAGCCCATGGATCTACTCGTTCGACGAATGGAAACTTCTATCCGTCACTGTATCACAAGAAGGATCGTCCACACCAGGCATATCCTGCTTGATGTTAACTCGTTCTGACCCAGAAGTCCCGCAATGCACTTATAGCTTTCCCTCGAGCCAGGCGGTATCCGGAAGTCAACCTGCGCAGAGGGTACTGTCGAAGTAATACTATCGCCGTCAGATATGACATCCAACCTTAACAGATTCCATTTATCGTCGACTTTCTGTAGGCGACAGATGAATCGTTTCGATGGAATGTAGTCGCACTGTTGTCCTTCATAGGAAAAGCGAATCGAGATAGACCCTGTTGATTCAGTGACAGCTTGGTCTCCCATCCGGTGGACTTCAATGGGACAGATTGTTAACTGCTCACGTCCCACCAGAAGTCATGGTTTGTGAGCCATTCACAAGCCCATCAACATTTCCTTGGAACCTGTGGAACACCTCGGAATAAGAATCGGAGGAAGATCTTGGAGTTGAGTTATCCTTACCATGTACTCTCAATATGAGCTTTCGTGGGATCTGGATGGCAGCAGTTGTGAAGCTCTTCCCATTGGAGGGTTTCTTGATCACATCGCTAAAATTTAAGGATTCGATGGAAAGCTCAGCCGAAACCTCCATGATTACCCAACCCAGGATCTCGTTTTTGCCCCAGACCTGCTTGATGTACTACACGTTAAAGCTCAAGTAGACGTCGAGGCAGAAAATAGAACGTAAACTCACAGCCCAATGGATAATTCTAACCTACATCAGCGGAACAGTGACTCACTCTATAAACCTGGCAGCTAAATGGGATTCACCATCGGCTATGCGGATGTTGGCCTCTATATATGTCTGTCATAAGCGGCAGAGTGGGTGTGAAATGTCCAACCAAAACAGTCGTATCAAGGCATCTTAATAATAATGGGAAAACGGCCAATAGACCCAGAGAGCTAAGATTAGCCGAAGAAGAAATCAAGGGTGTGGCTGATGGACTATACGGCAGATACCGCGAATGATACAAATCGGTTTAACTTGATGTTTTGATTAAGCAATTCGCTCTATTTGACTATCATGGTCCGACTAGGGTGGAAGGTACCGCATCTCAGCTTTCCGACCAGAGGCATTATGAAACTACACACTCATAGGCGAATCAAAAACACCTGTACAACGAACCCGTACCCTGGAGGTTCATCCCAATACAATGGGGAGCCAGAGGAACTATCCCAGATTCAACGCGTGAGCTACCTGGGAAGGCTGACTTTTATCGTGCTACAGCTTCCCCGGTAGACAACCAAAGTCCATGAAACTCTCCCAGTCCGTCCATCAAAGCAATTGGTATCGCAGTAGGATACTTCGTCCAGGGATCTAGCTAGATGAGATTGATGTCGTGAAGCTCAGCCGAGGGCAATGGCCTATTTAAGCGCTCAGTGTGAAGGCACACGGCTGGATCCACAAGGGCTTTGTGAGGGAGCTGGAGCATCACAGCATCCTTCGCCTTGGTATCGAAGAGAAGCGCGTCCGTTCGGTCGCGAAGTAATTGGATTATTTGTTGTCTGGGTTCTTCCACATGTTCGACACCGATGCCCCGAAGTACTATATCCCTCGGCCCCAACGTGACAGCCAGCTGCTATGGTAGGCACCATGGCCCCAATTCGAGTGCACAAGTGAACAACACTTGTGGCGCCACTCCACGAGCCGAATTGCTTCTAGAGTGCTGGTAGGATTGTCGTGTTTAGATACTGCCTCTGTTGTTCCCCAGAGGATCTGCCGTCGGCAATGGTCGCAAGAGGGGTCCTTCCACCGTAGCTGGGTCTGCTGAGTGAAATCACGGGGACTGTCGAAGCTCGTGCGTCGCGCGCAACAGAGTGCTGTGAGTCAATTTCAAAGTACTCTACATCATAGCCGCCTCCGTGCACGCAGATCAACAAGAGCATGTATCTTCGAACATTCGATGTCTGCTGAGGGCTGTATACACGGCCAGCCAGGTTGTTGCCATCAGGCAATTGGAGATCGAAAGGTTGCATCATGACGAGACCGACTGGGCGAGCTGCCCCTGCGACGGCGATGTTGGATTCTCTGTGAACAGAAGTGTTACCCAGCAGCCTGGGGCCAAAAGGATAGTTTGCCAACGTTGGCACTGAGCAGAAAATAGAAAGAAAGCAGCTAGGAACCGTGGATGGTAGGATGGTAGCAAACAATCTGAGTTTAGAACTTGACCTCTATGTGCTCTCGCCATAACGTTTCTCGTTCTCCACTTTCTCTCATGGGCTTTACGTGAATTGAGGCTCGGAATTACCGATGGTAAGTTTAGTTTGATGAATGGCATAGGAACTGGAGCTCCGGACGACGATCCTCTGTGATAACAGCTCCACCCGGCTGATCGTCAGTTTGCCACTTCTAGATTGCCCAGTTTTAAGCGTTGGTTTCGATATGTATCTCTCGGTGGCTGGAGATGGCAACCAGTGTACTCTGTAGCGCTAGTTCTCCCACAAAACTGTAGAGTAGGGATGGCAGTTTTCGGGTAAGCATACGAGCCTTTCCAAAATGCTGACAACCAGCCGAGGCCGAGAAACAAATTATCCGAAAGCCCCGAATGTTGTAAACACCAAGCCGATCAATGCTGGCATAGCGGACGTCATTGATGGATTCTAGTATCACATATGTTCTCGCGGTTTGTGTTTCGCTGAAGGGTCCTTCGCGAGACGTTCAGGAGAAGGGTGACGAAGCAGTAAGTAGCCTGTTCACCCTCCTGGGAGGACCTGGTGAAGGAAAAAGAGGTAAGCTCCATAATGCTCTTGATACCACGACGGTCGAGGCTGTCCTGAGCTTCACGGAAGCATATTAGCGATTCCAAAGCCGCGCTACCTGAGGGCAAGATATCAACGGCGAGTAGGCCACGGCGAGGCTCTCTAAGCTCGTCTAAGAATCATATGAAACGTAGACATAAAAGAATACGCGCAGTTGTAGTGGCCTGTATATGGCCTTTTGTGAGGGCAGCTAGATGAGTTCAACCAACCAACCGACTGTACTAGCGAACTTACGAACTTTCGATCGTTTCTTGAACGCTTATTGCCACTTGTCTTTCTTAGGGCGAAGGCCCAGAGTATTGATATGCTGGCCTACAAAATCCCTAGCTTTGGGCGTAACCGTCAAAGATAGCCCCCGAAAACGAGGTCCTTATGTATGAGCTAAATATGAATATCCAGTTACATACTTGAACATGCATAAACGTCTGTGTCCGTGCTTCTTAGCGTTCTGACTTCTCAAAGTGCCTTGGGGCAATACCACTCTTACTTGGAGCACCTCTGTATCGATTTCTTCCTCCTCTTCCCGGACAGAAAAAGGGAGACAAATTCGGCCGTAAATCATACCGATCGGCGCACTCCTAAGTAAAGACCTGCAGTTCAATATGATGAGGTGCCCGCGGATATATCTCACTAGTAACCTTCGGACTATCTACGAATGCTGCCTTGTAACTCTCCAATAGTTCAGGAGAAGTGCTCGACAGCCCATCCAACTCAGCCAACACATTCTCCCGGTTTTAAGCTAACACAACTGCTTGAGTGCCGACAAAACGCAAGCCCGGCCGTCTCCACGGCTGTATTAGATCTACCGTGGGTCCGTTTCCAGGCTGCGGTCAGATTACGTTTGACAGTATGCAGTACACAAAACTCTGAATCTGCACGACGATATCCCACAGCGCAATTAGCAGTCACTTATCATTTCTCTGGTGGTGCTACTTACCTCTCTATTACATTTGATTCAATTGTTAGACAAACTAAGCTCATTCGATAGAAAGTAGTGGAGTGGCATTGTAGGTTTACCCGGTCAATATTTATTTAATACCTAACTATCCGGATACTGGCCATGCTTCAAAAATAGTAAGTATATTAGCTTTGAGTGAAACGCTTCCCACGTAAAACGATGCCTGGAAATCTGGTAGGTTGACAAGTCTCCTTTACCCTGAGCCCCACCAATTACAGTGATATGCAAGCAGTTACGACTATATCTATCCTAGTGTCTCTATTAACTATTATACAGGATGGCATCTCTGAAGGCGAACTTTATGTCTGCCCTAGGGCTTTACGGTGGCCGTTTTCTTTCGCTTCTCACGCAGGCCCCCTTTGCCAACCGCTTTGCTACTTACCGTCTGTTTGGACCTTTATGGTTTGTGGCCATGAGAGGACCTGCAGTATTGCGTGCATCAGACCATATGACAGGGTGGACACAGGTACCGAGGGGAAATAAATGCATACACAGTAGCTAGTTCTGTTTGAGACCCAAGATGGGGTGCAGCATTGCAACAATAATGTGTGGACAGATGTCAGCGCTCAGCTTGATTGATGCTTAACGTAATTCTTTCCAAATAGTACGCAAAGTCCCAATTAAGTCAGTAGGTATCAGTGAATGTCCCTTACAGTTGCGTGGCAATGTCGCCATATAGGGAAAGGAATAGAAATTAGCAACAAGCAACCGCAAGTAATGCTAATACTCTCCATATGTCGTAGTACAAATACAAACATGTAGCATGACATAACAAAAGGAGTTACACCAGTTTAGCTAGGTTCATGGGGAAGAGATTAACTGATCCTATCCTTTTTACCAACAGCCGTAAAATATCATGTATCGTCGGCTACCCTACTCAAGCATTTCCAATAAGGTCTCACTGTCCCGCTCCGGCTTTCCTTCATCGTCAGTTGGGAGCCTCTGCGAAGCAAAGGCCAGAAACACTGCTTCCCAGTGTTCGTCGTCGAACTTGAATAGTAGAGCTCCATCCGAGTAGACGCCGTTATCAAACTGAGGAAGACTGCCCTGGTTCATATGAACATTATGGATTCCAGATCCAAATGACGAACCAAAAATAAAAATAGTTGCGGAGTTGTCGATAGCATTATCAAGAATGGGCCTCATCTTGTCCAGGATATCATTGTCCCGGCCCGGAATATTGTCTGGCAAGACCAGTGCAGACCTGAAATCCAGAAGGCCCGTCATGCGATAAAGGTCAATACCGTGTAGATCGGGGTGTTCTGAATGATAGTGTCTGTAACGATAATGGTAGTCATCCTGGACTAAATAAAAACCGGGGTCCAACTTCGAGAGGTTGTCCGTGATGGAAGGGGTGAAGTTGTCAGAAGACCAAAATACAAGGCGAGATTCTTTACCACGAGATTTGACATTGATTGCAGCCCTCCGCTCCCTCGAGGAGTCATCGGTAAAGAAGAGCTGAATGTGTGGAGTGCGATCGTGCGGTCCATCAACAGTATACCTAGTGGGTTTACCAACCCAGACGCCGTAGTGAGGGACAGGCATCTTCTTTAAATCGAAGTAAGTCGAAGTTCGAAGATAGGAGGCAGTATGGAAAGAGAATGGTGGCTGTAGTCTACAAGGCCTGACCTGTCCTGCTTTGGCCCTTGAGGCGCTGCTACTTATGTTTATAGTGAGAGTAAGCATAAGTTATCTCACGCATAGAATTCTCCATCGTTACCTGTTGGTTTCATAGACTAAACTTTCCAGCGAGATCACGCCACTACACCGACACTTCCAGTAAAATTGGAGAGAATGGACTTAGACAGGTGATCAGATCGGGACAGACTGATCTTATGATCTGTAACATCTGGAGGTCCAGGCTCTGACTGAGCAGATGGCAGCCGTTTGCAGCCAACGACCGAAACAAGAGGTCCATGCCGCGCAATTAAGCTTTGCCATATTTTATCTTGGCATCGTATTAACACCAGGCATGAGTCGGCTCTAGACTTTGATTATTAGTAAATTGACAGTCGGCTCAAGCAAAAGTAAAAGTGGGGTCGAAGGAGCTTCCAGGTATACTGCTGCTATTGGAAGGGCACGGCGGATGTATGCACCTCAGTGAAAGAAGTGAGTACATCCCGAAATCCCAATGCGGGAAAATACGAGGTGGTCAGTTTCCAAGGACCATGGGATTAGGTGCTCGGAAGGTGGGAGAATTCCCCGACATCTATGATGTATCGTTCATGTATGGAACTGTGGATGGTTGTTAATCTTATTTCCTAGGGCCTATCAGATAGTCTTGTTACGTGTCCTTTTTCATAGCATAATCTAGCCCATTCTGACTCCGACAGCAGAATTACAGTTGACAATAGGTTCAGTCTAATTCAGTTACTGTTTAGCCTATTGTTGTTCTTCCTGGCTGTCTTGCGACACCAGGTATTAAAGATGTCTACCGAATGGCATAGCCTAACCTAGTTAACTAAGCCATAAGCTAATCCAGCTCAACAACGACTAGATTTCAGCAGAACCTATGCAAACCCGCACCCAACCCTCCTCTCAAGGGTTTTAGGTTCCTAACTATACCCCACAAACCTAGCGTCGACTGAGTCGATGGAAAGCAGTCATCGTCATGAATGTGACTAAAAATGATAGGTAGAGTAATATTAGAAGAATATACTCACTGGTGAGTCAACTCCCACAGCCCATCACTTATTTATGTCAATGTCCGAGCGCTGTAGGGGGGGATGGTTCACAGTGACATATACATTTTGCTAATTAAGCCTTAATACAAGCATCAAGTACATATGCAGACAGTCGGCGTCCCTGAAGCAATGATTAATGCCTCTCCCATTGTGTTGAGCACCGCTATCTGGACATCCTCTAGTTGAATTAGAATGCTGTGGCCGTCTCTGGTCGGGATGGGGAATTGCAACTTGAATACGTCGAATTCCCAATCTCCGAGAATACCCACTATAAAGTTTGACACTTGTCGATAAAGTTCATTGTAGAGTTTCAGTGTCATGTTTGATAAGTTATTTACCCAGTCTGAAACGCCAATAACGCGCTGTTCAAGGGTATGGCAATCTACCCTCTGTATTCTCATACAGAGCCGCTCATTTTTGATGATTGCATAGAGCGTTAGGTCAGCCATGCCCTTTACCTGCGATTCTTGATGGTAAGGTTGTGTGACATTGGATGTTGCTTCCACAGCTAAACGAGCCGACTAGAAGTCCTGATCAGAATACTCTTTACTGCAGGCTTATGGTCAAACTTACCATATTCCTCGAACTTTCATGCATAATGCGAACATTTGAAATTGGTCCAGAACTGACATGTGTCCTAGCATTATAGATATTTAGGAAACTAATGCCCTTAATTATGAAATACCCTGATTTCCAGCCATGGTAAGGCGAGCTGCATCTACTCCAATAAATGCACCAGCCGGCATATTACAAAAGGAGTTGTCAAACTTAGAGGTAAAGGGGTGGATATCTGACGAAACACTGATATCCACTAGATGGATGGCCGAAGTTAAGTCAGGCTGCCGTAAAGATGAAAAGATGTCTAGAAGGACAATACTTCCGCATTGCCATGTAGCAAGGGCTTTGTGGGAAAAGGAGTGTCTGGTATACATGGTGCTAACATAAGTAACGGGAGACCATTATTCAGTAATTTACTTCTCAGATACTCTATTCTGTCATTGATGTTGGTTTATCAGGACTGTCAACTGAATAGTCTACATAAGAGACACCAATGTCCTCAGTATATAGTGAACCACCATACCACCTGCCACTCAGTATTTGTGGCTCTTTGCAATCCACCTAACATTTCTTCACCCTAATTACTTGCAACCCTGCTTGGAACACATCTGATGAAAAATTTGGGTGAGGAATGGTGTTTGCTGCTAGTGGTTCACAAGCCTCGGCTTGGATAACTACAGCTGTATTTTTTCTGTATTTCATCTTTCCCCGGGCCCTTATTCCTGCTATCATTGTAGTTGTGTTTCTTTCACCTTCATTTATTGCTCTGAGTCTTATCGTCCTTATCGTATTACGGCAACTGTTCTTATGGCTCACAACGTGCGTATGGAACATGCTGTTATGGTACCAGGATTATATTTTCAGATGCGCTGGATAGGTATATCGTTAACAGTCGGTCTATTGTCTGGTCTACGGACTGATTTATTGCGCGGGGCAATTCTGCAAGGGTCATCCCCCGACCCGATCCCAACTCTAGTCATGATGGCCTAATCAATCAGAGTACATCCCGAATTGGATGATTATCGCATATCAGATGGGAAAGGTGATGTTGAATGTTGCATTCTAGATGCTCCCTTTATAGTGCTTGCTACCAAGATTACACCCATTGGAGATGGCCTTATGGGAGCCTGGAGAGTGAATACGCCCTCTTCCTACTGGGTCGGTTATCAAGTATTGACAGGCCAGGGTATTTACAAGGGCCAGCGATAGTCACACGTCTCTATTCCCGGCGTCTTGCCCAAGGCTCACATCTGAAGGAGCCTCCATCGTTGTACTTTCCAAACACTGAGTGAGCCAAGTATATACACAATTAACAGGTTTCAAAGTCCCTCCTCGCGGCTAGAGCAATGGTATCTTCAACAAGGACTCGAACAGCTAGCATTGCTAAACCCTTGGCAGATTTGATTGCAATGGTATGAGCTTCCTCTGTTGCAGCCGCTGTCGCGAAATCTGGGTTATGGCAAGCGACGCCCGAAGATACCGGGATGGCGAAAGCGCCGTGGAAGCTGGGGACCACATAGGATACATTGCCCATATCCGTCGAGCCAAATGCTTTCGCTTGAGCCTCCCGAGTCATGATATTCTCATCCAGCGCGGCCATTTCCGTTACATATATTTCACTAAGCGTATCGTTTACACGGAGGTCCATATATGTGGGAGACCTAGCATGATTAGTCGTGTATGGCCTTGAAAACTTAGAACAATACGATTACTCACGGGATATAGCTGGTAGCGCAGCCAGCAGCCGCGGCGCCAGCTTCGAAACATTTCTTGACACGATCTAATAGTTCGTTCGATCGCTTCGTTGTGGCACTTCGAATGCACCAGTTCATTCGCGTGTACTCTGGGATGACGTTCGGTGCAGCGCCGCCGTCCTCAAAGACGCCGTGGATCCGTTCGTCCGGTTCAATTTGCTGCCGTAGCAATGCCACATTATTGTAGGCTGCCACGGCTGCGTCTAGTGCGTTACGACCATGCCATGGATCACCGGCCGCATGCGCCGTTTTACCTTTGAACTCGACACGGAGCTTTTGGCTCGCAATCAGTCTCCATCCAGCGAGTCCGGAAAAGTCCCCTAAATTGAGTGACTCCTTGGACATGGGGTGTATCATGAAGGCTCCCGCGATATCCTCTGGGGGGCTGAAGGCGCCGGCTTCGATGAGCTTCACCTTACCTCCGCCCCCTTCTTCCGCCGGTGTACCAAGAATGCGCACACGCCCTGCGATCTTCAGATCTACCAATGCGCGGGCAGCTCCCAGGAAAGCGGCCAGAGACGACGTGGCGACCAGGTTGTGACCGCAGGCGTGTCCTATACCAGGAAGGGCATCATACTCGGCGCAGAACACGACCAGACGGGCACCACTGCCTACCTCGGCTTCAAAGCTAGTGTCGATATTATATGCCTTTCTCGTGACTTTAAATCCACGCTCCTCGAGATAGGATGCGAGTGTGTCGTGGGCGATAAATTCCTTATATCCAAGCTCTGGATTGTCGTGGATGACTTTGTTGACGTCCGTGCGCAGAGATGGGCTCAGGTCGTCAAGCTGAGCGTCGATGATGGCACGCGCGGCATTGATCACTTGATCAGTTAGCATACCGGTGGCCTCGTCGCTGTGTTTGATCTCTGTCATATTGGGCTTGGGTGACGGTTTATGTCCTGTGTGTGTGTGAGAGAGGGCAGGCTGCGAGGAAGGACCAGAATGGCATAAACAAGTGAAGACGGCTGGCCGTTTTAAAGGTCTATTTCGCTGCCGGAATGACCACAACATCCCTCGTTTCGCGGGCTCAGTGAACCCCATCTATCCAATGTCCTGGTGGAGGCAGGAGACTCCCACGATGAAGTATCACGGCGTTCCCTTTTAGCCGACCGCCGGCTATCTCGATGAGTCTATCTCAGTGGCCGCAGAAGCTCGAGCAAGCGACTGTCGGCTATCCAGTTATCTGTCGTCGCTGATTGGAGCGTAAAGCCGGGGTACAAGGCAAAGTTGAACTAGATTGTTTTTTGGGACCCCGCAAATTATTTCTTAATCCCGTATAGCTCCTGAAGGTGCGTCTGTTCACCGGCTTGGCAGGGTCATCATTATCATGGAGAGGCTGCCTTTTCAGCCACGCACTTCAACGCAAATCCCTCCTCCCCCCTCCTCGCTGTCATTGTCCAAGCAACAATCGAGGTTCACCCTTGCATCCAGTTTCCACTAGCCCTTGGCACATATGACACCATGGATTCGCCCTCAGACCCTCACCGACAGCCGTCGTCGCCCCCCTCTCCCCGTTTATCCGAGGGGCGGCATGCACCACGGTCACGTAGTGGATGCTGGACCTGCCGGACCAAAAAGGTCAAATGCGACGAGGGAAGGCCACGGTGCCGGCGATGTCTCCGGCTGAAGCTTCTCTGCGATTATACGCCACGGCGGAAGGCATTTAAGATCGGACGGCAGATCGTCCAGTCACAGCGCCGGCGCCCTGCTGCAGGCACCGCCGGTCCCGACACCGCGCCCCAAACATCGCCCACAAGTGATTGGTTTCAGTCATTGTTGCGGCAAGACGCAGCAAGATCCATCTCGACCTTTTGCATGCCGGTGCCCGCGATGAGCACTTCCTCGGTGGCACTCACCGCCAGCGACCATGAGGCCATCCGCTATTTCCGGACGACTTTTGCCAAGCTCCACCACACCAAGAATCCGGACTATTCCCTTTATTCCCTCATGTTCAGAGTCGCCGAGATAAATCCGGTCGTGATGCACATGGTGCTGGCGGTGGGAGGGCGAGAGATGGAGTTTCAGAGGAATCTACAGAGCGGGCATGAACTCGGGCTCGGCGCCGGTTCTCCTCTCTGGCATTACGCCCACGCCCTTAAGCTGATGGCCGACGTCATCGGGAATGACAGTTCTCACCAGTTCAATTTCGACTCGACCTACACCGCATTGTACCTCATGCTGTTCTACGAGCAAAAGTACGGCGACGACAAGTGCGCTGGACTGGTGCACCACCTCAACGGCGCCGCGCAGATCCTCCGGCTACAATACAGCGACAAGATCAGACGTTTCCCCCCCGTTGCTCGAGCACATCAACCATGGACTCTCCCCTCCCGTGCCCATGGACTGGCACCACACGATCACCTGTCACTTTATGCTGCCCGACTCTTAATGTGGATGGTTAACTTTGACACGTCGGCGGCCGGCTCTGGATTGGATAGTCAACTACATGCCACCCTATACGAGCTCATGAGCACAACCGCCGTGGACGGCCAGGCTGGTCACTACAGTCAGGCTTTGGAGACATTCGAGCAGTTGCACCATTACTCCAGCCCACTCTACCGGATCGTATGGGGCGATGAGTACCCCCAAACCGAATTACTGGATGATGTTGAAAATCGAAACGTGTTCTTCTTAGAGGGTGCCTGTGTACAACTGCGATTGATGGTAGCCCAGCTGGCGAGACTCGAGGACGGAAAGACCGAGGCGGCGACCCGGTGGGCCTCCGACGTTGAACGTTCGATCGAGAGCACTCGCAATAAATTTTGCGATGTGATTGACGTGGCGGCGGGGCTTTCTGTGGCCACAGACAACTCGCATCGGCTCGTTGCCAATCTCCGCCGGGTTGTGCCACTGTTTTACGCCGTGGTTCTCTATTTCCTCCGCGTCCGCTCGGGTCTCACCCACTCTCTGACCTCGCAACCGGTCGACTCGTTACGCCATATCATGAATCTGGCATTCCAGGCACACAAATACGACGGCGAGAAGGCCATGGTGCGCATTGCGTGGCCATTGTTCATAGTGGCATTGGAGACGAATGACCACCTCCACCGGGAGTGGGTCCTCAGCCGATTCCATGCCCTCCGTCCCTTTGGCCTCAATTTCCAACGAGCGTATCAGTTCTTGGTTCATCTGGTTGATCTGCAAAGCACGTCGGGGGAACGTGTGGATGTGCGGGGTATCTTCGCGTCTCGTGATTTTGGCTTGTTTGTTCTCTAGGGTTTATTCAATTCATACACCCGGGAGTCTGAACTTTAAAACACCGCCGCTTTGACTGAATAGCCGACTATCGCTTATTCCACTCCCTCTCTCTCGTAACTCTCTCTCTCTCTCCTCTTCTTATGACCCTGACATGTTGCACGGGATGCTAGAGTTGTGGCGCTATGGCCATTCGATATCCAGTACTGGACTTCAATTGCGGGGAAAAGGTTACCAATGGCCTTGAAGCGGCACTTCAGTGGTTCTGTATATATATAAATGTCTCCAACCTAGCTTGAGGCCCAGTTCAACGCTTGCATTTCACCAAGTCGAACCTTGCCCGCACAATGGCCGACACCAACCAACCAATTGAACCGAAGGTATCATGTCCGCATGAAACTCTCAAGGACGTTGAGCTAGGAGATCTCGATGTGCAGTCGCTTCCTCTGGAGGAGGACAAGCGGATTCTGCGCCGGATTGACCTCTAGTAAGTTATGTCGTATATGTGATGGGATTGCGACGTCGCTCATAACAACATCCAGCCTGCTCCCAATGATGGCGGTTTCGTACATGTTCCAATTTCTCGACAAGTCGGCGATGAGTTTCACGTCCATTTTGGGTTTGACCGATGATCTGCGTCTTCACGGAGAGGATTACTCGTGGGCCAGCAGTATTTACTATTTCGGCTATTTAGCTGCGTCTTATGTTGCAGCGGTGTTGCTGGTTCGGTTTTCCGTTGGCAAAATGATTTCGACATCGATGTATGTTTCTGGTGGCTCCATTCCGGGATACTGTCGTGCAGAGATACTGACTGGAATTCCAGCATTGTTTGGGGGGCCGTGTTGATGCTGACGGCAACGGTGTTCAACAGCCCAGGCCTCATCGCGGTGCGCTTTTTCCTCGGTGCAACTGAAGCCGCCATTGCTCCCGGTCTCAGCGTTGTCGTTTCCATGTGGTACAAAAGATCCGAACAGCCCTTTCGCCATGGGGTCTGGTTTCAGGGAATTACGATCGCGGGGATCTTTGGAGGGCTGGTTGCGTACGGGATTGGTCATGTGCAATCGATCGCTCCATGGAAGGTAAGCATGGTTGATGTCTTCCTTGATATGTGCCCAGGGACGGATTGATTGGCTCTTGCAGTCCTTGCATTACGTTCTGACTTTCCCTAGGCCGTGTTTCTCATTTTTGGTGCTATCACGATTGTCTGGGCTTTTATTCTTTTCTACTGGCTTCCAGATACCCCGATGAACGCAAGGTTTCTCGGTGAAGATGACCGACACAAGGCTGTTATGAGAGTCCAGGAGAATATGACGGGCATCAAGAATGATGAATTCAAGGTGTGCCAATTTATTGAGGCACTCTGTGACTTGAAATGCTGGGCATTGGTCCTCATCCAAATCAGCTGCTCCATTCCCAATGGCGGGGTGTCCAATGTAGGCTGACCTGGAAAGCAACGAAGATATCACGGCGCTGACAAAGGACGGACCAGTTCGGCTCGATCATCATCGAAGGTTTTGGCTTCAGTACGCTGAATACACTGCTTGTTCAGATCATAACCTACGTGGTCCAGGGTGTCCTCGTCTATGTCTCCACCGCCGGTTGTTCTTGGTTTGACAACAGCCGAACGTATTGGATGGTATGGAACTCGGCCCTTTCGATCGTTGGGGCTGCGATGGCTCGGCAAATATCCCCCGACAATGTTTGGACTCGATTTATCGGGTACTGTCTAGCGGGCGCTTACGCCGTGAACTTTCCGTTGACGCTGTCAATGTCGACGGGCAACATTGGAGGGTTCACGAAAAAGACCACGGTGAACGCGATGGTACAAACGCCCCCCTTTGGATCATGTCTGAAGTGAAAAGTTCCCTACTGATCTCTTTCAGGTGTTTATCGGATACTGTGCTGGGAATATCATTGGACCGCATCTATTTTTCCCCGATGAAGAACCGTCGTATCCATCGGGCTTCCTCGCGATGCTGATATGTTTTGTCATCTCGCTGGTACTGTCCCTTTGTCTGCGGTACTATCTGATCTGGGAGAATAATCGTCGGGATCGCCTGGGGCATGTGGATGGTGATAATTCGTTCGAGAATCTCGATGCTACCGTCCTGGACAAGACTGATAAGGAGCTCTTGCAGTTTCGCTATGTGTATTAAATTAAACTATGTTTAGGATGAAGACAATCATTGTTGGATCACAATGGTTCCATGTTTATCCAGCCCTAAGGTATTACTATACATGGTCTAAGTTGGCACGTATAACAAACATTAATTAAATAGACGACGATGGCGTTTGACGGGGCCGGAGAGTCTGCCGTTGAAGCCAAGCAGGACGCAATAAATGCGCCAAATCTCTGCAGGGATCTTCCATCCGTCCTAGGATGTGCATGGTCAATCGACATCGACCTACAGGGCTCATGGCTGGCGGGAGGTGGGAGGAGGCAGAGTACTCGGATGCTTTTTGACTTGACTGAAATTTAGAAAAGCCACAGCCATCGGGTTATTAAATGAAAGTGATGCGGTATGGTATGCTTACTGCAGTATGAAGTGACGCCCAGGGATCCGCTCCGCAGCATGTTCGTATTGATTTTATTGACATCAACATCGCCGGAAATAGGCCTTCTAGTCGTCCTTTGTGAGCTATTGTTGTTTTATGGTTGTTCTATCTTATATATTCATGTGTGATGCTAGCCAAGGATTTGTAGTAAAGACTATTGCTCCATTTGAGACTAGTTATTGACCAGCCAAAACATGAAATTAACCCAGATGTAGGTTCTAACAGGTTTATAGGACCATACGTTCGTTGACTATTAATTACTAGGCATGTATTCTACCTCCTTGTCGAGCCCTTAGCCCCGGCTGAGTCCAGCTCCGATACGGGGATGGAGTATTGACCCAGCTCTGTGGGGGGCGCGGCAGGGACTGGAGCATAGCCATGACCATGCTGATAATTGTACCCCATTCCACTTGGTGGGCCAGCGGCAGCAAGGCTCGCCTTCAGCGCCTCTAGCTCCGTCTTCGAAGCAGTCCTCTGTTTGCGCTCCCATGCTCCCCAGATCAAGACCGAACCGGCGATCAGGCCCAGAGGAATACCCAAACCTAACCCGATGGCGAGTCGCGTCGATCGATCGTTCCTGTCAGCCAAGGTATCTCCTGAAGAGTCACTGCTACTGTTTCCTGAAGAAGAAGGACTGCTGCTCGTGCTGCTTTTGGTGTAGTTGGCTAGCGCTGCGACGCCAGGCATCACGGTTCCAATAGCGACGGTAAAGGCACGATCGACGGCACATTCAATCGAAGTGTTGTCGATGCTCACAACGTTTCCACAACAATATTGGTCATCGATTGCATTCACAACCCGGTAGCCAGTACCCTGGTTCCAGCGCGCTACAGGTCAAATCATTTTAGTATGCCCATGTAAGATGCTGGTTGAGAGAGGTTCGACGAGTCGAGTTCCAACGTACCACATGGCTCTGCAGCTTTACAAGCACCGCCCCAATTTTGATCTGTGCAGCTGCCCCTGGACATGACCGGGTGGTTTCCTTGGCTCTGGAGGTAGCAGAGACCGTTCGAGAGACATATGTCATTCTTGTTGCAGCAGGTGGTTATCTCTGCGCTCGTGTTGCAGGGAACATCGGCCGTGGCAATATTGCCGTTGACGAAGTAGCAGGTCGCATCGGACCTCACCGCTACCGATGTTGTGATCAATGCTAGTAACGGCAGAAGATGGAACATGGCTGAGATATTTTATGTTTTCCTTTTGAGTGGGTCCTTTTATTAAGAAAAGCTCTTGCCGTGCGCGAAACCCAAGTCAGGGCATCCCAGATGGCAACTGCACGGATGTCATATTGGGTAAGAAAAAAGGAAGAACGGAGGTGGGGAAGTCAAAGGGATTATCCTCCGGTTTTATTCAGCTCGGCAATTCCTCTCGCATAAGATTAGAAGATGACTTGGACATGCAGCCAGCAAGCGCTAAATCCTTCAAGATGCCCACATTGGGCAATTTTGGCCTCAGCGTGGAACGAACGAGGAAGAGCCTCTCGTCTTGCAATCTTGCGAATGGGTCTTCAAATCGGAGCTTCGCTTTGAGTTGCTGTTGGGGCGTGGATAATGTACCTCCAGATGGGTCCTGGCCTCACAACGATCAATCAGAGCTCAGGAGTCTCACTGATCGACAAAATCTCACCTTTCCAGCCTTGGGCTTTTGCACCGCCTTGCCCACTGACTAGGAAATTCCCTGAGTTTACCCGTAGAGCGGAGAAAGTCTTACCTTATTGTGTATTAGGCCATTAGACCTTGCGCGGTCTTCTTGGCGGTGGGTCGAAGCACCACCCATAACTGGTCTTGACACTTGGGTTTACCTGTTATGCGTGTTGTCAAAAGAAACTCCTTCAGTTCAGGCTCGGAGACGTAGGGCTAGTACCCGATGCCTATTTTAGTAGAAGGGAATTCTGCGCAAGGAATCGATCATCATTGCTGATGGAAATAAGCGATTCGACCACTTCCGCCCCGTTATACCCTTGGTGAATTGCTAATGTTTTGGCCATCTATCCCTCCTGCGGATCGGAACGCTCGGTTTAACAGTCCTAGTAAGCAGTGGTACTTTCAGCGGTACACCAGGTTGGATGGGGTCTAGAGCTAAAACTGCTTCTCCCTGGCTTGATTCAATTCTCTATGACGCACAATATTACATTAATATTGACGTAGTGGTTTCCATTTTCTCAAGACTGAGACTCTACACAAACTCAGTAATGAGAAGCCCACTGGTTGCCATGACCTTTCGGGATCGCCTTTCTTCAGCCAGTGTTTAAGCTGACGTGGTGAGGACCTTACAACCAAGGTCTTGCAAATATGCATCCGAGGTGGGAGCCCTCCCCAGGTATTCCTGCACTGCCTTGTGTTCATTCTTGCTGCCACCGTGGTTCAAAACTTGCTGTCGATACTTTATGGCTGCCTGCCGGCTCATGGGAGAATCCTTGAAGCAGGATGACCATATGTCCGCGGCTAATGTACGAGTACTGGCAAGTCTATCAGCACCTTGTTCACATGGGACCAGAGAAATATAACATACTACAGGTAGGAGTAGTAACTAGCCTCTTGGCCCCACACAAAATGCGAGGTCGTGGCATGACCGTGACCCCAATCATACACATTTCCCGGGCCACTCAGGCCCGTCGTGGTTTCCAGGAGCGAATTGTAAACTTTGGGGATATGCATCCTCTCGATAGCGTGATGGGAATCGGGATTGTGGATCTGCATGTCGAATTTGCTGAATGCGACCTGTCGGAGAGTGAGAATGCCTTGGTTGAGCTGCTTCGTAGCGCCAAGATTTTGAGCCAGCACAAGAGGAAGTTCCATCGGAGGTTGTGTGGCATTCCTCTCGTCCCGGCCGCCCAACCAGTGGCTGTAAAGCTCTGGGGAGACGTAGGAGTAGTGGCAGCTGAGTTGTCGGAGGCATTCAGGTGTCCAGCACCAGTACTCCAGTAATTGACTGGGTGCTTCGGTGAAGTCGGCCACAGTACGGTGGCCGTGGAACATGGCGTATTTGGATTTGCCTACCAGATCGTGAATCCCTTCCATACCGGACGTTCATTAGCATCCGCTGAGTCACTGGACTTGAGGCTTTGACAAGATACTAACCGTGTCCCAGTTCATGGAATATAGAAACAACTTCCGCGTGTCTCAGAAGCGCTGGTTCTGACTGAGAAACATTACACACGAGAGCGGTCACGACTGGCGTCTGTTTTCCATTGGTATCTAGGAAGCTCTTTGCGGAGAGTCAGGAGACATTATAAACATAGGTTCTGTTTGTAGTTTGGGGCGTACAGGATAAATGTTGAAGTTGGCTGCATGGCTATATTTTCCGGCACGAGGGAAGATGTCAGTGTAGAGATATCCGATCAGAGCGGACTCCTGGTCCTCCCAGACAGAGAATAGATCCACGTCTGGATGCCAAGTGTGAGAGCGGTCCGAGATTTCCACTTTCTCGAAGCGCAAGCCAAATAGTTCTCCATATAGTCCAAGCATACGCTGAACAGTAACCCTAGCAGGAAACCATTGCGATATATACTCGTGGTCGACATGGTTCTGCTCCTTCAGTATTCTTGTGTGGTAGAAATCAAAATCCCAGAGATGAATTGGGCCATCGGTATCCGTCAGCTCGTGGAGCTTTGCAATCTCCTTCTCAGCTAGTGGCTTCAAAGCATTCTGAAGATGCTCCAGAAAGTCATTCACGTGGCCCGGTGAACCCAACATCTGCTGCGTGAGCTTCTGGGCCGCGAAAGAAGGGAACCCTAATAGACGAGCCGCCTCATCCCGCAGCACAATGATCTCGCGGAAAGTTTCCACGTTAGCCTGATATCGACAACTGCTACGCAGATAAACCTCCCTGCGGGTGTCTGGAACGCGGCACTCGGCCAGAATAAGATTGGTGATTGGTCTGGTAAGAGGGATTCGATACAAGCCCTCCCGATCGTGCTCGCCCGCTCCGGTCGATAGTTTATTTAGAGACACGCCGGCTAGTTGCTGTTTACTCTTCCAAAGGCAGCCTGGATCGAAGCCGAGGGTCTCCATGAATTTGACGCGAAGCTCGATCAAGCGATGGGAGATCCAGAGAAACCGATCGCGGCTCGGGCCGGTTAAATGCATACCATTTTCAATAAAATTCCAATGGAATTTACTAAGTAGCCGGACGTCTTCTTCACTCCTGCTGTGTGTATTTGAATTACTCTCCCTTACACGACTCACCAAGGTAAACAGCTTCTCGTTCTGAAATATATTCAGATAAGCCCGGTCCACAAGATAGATTGCCCGAGAGGCTGCCTTCCTGACATCTAGGCTGGGAGAAATGGCTTGGAAGAGTGCTATATCTTGAACTCGTGCCTTGGTCTTATTGTCGATGTGAGCCAGGGGCACAATTATAGTCTCGAAGTTGATCGAGGTGTTGTCTATGCAGGCGCTAATCAGGCGAGCGGTGGCTTGCTCCATGTGAGAGATGAGGTCTTTCGCCTGTTCTTCCAGACCCTCTGCTGAGATGTCGAACCTTGGGATTGGACATCTAGACGAGGCTGGCTCACTCATCTTTGCAATTTCGATAGTGTACTGGTCAAAAGGTGGAGGTCTGGAAGGGCAGACTAGGTGGGTGAGCAGATCAAGATAAGAAACTAAGGGTTATCTACGACGTGTACAGTATGTAATGCAAAACATTGGATTGTTATGTGAAGAGTGTACGGCGAGGCGTATCAATACACATCAATACATATTGATATAATACACAATGCAGCGGGCCCTTTCCCCTCTTTTCGGATAATTTCCCGGCCCTAATGCCCTGAATTAGAAACCCGTTTCTGGCAGGCTGCAGCTCACAACTTAGATTAATCCTTGGGTTTATTCTCTTATGCATGTTACCAAGGGAATTCCCTGGGCTCATGCTAGTGGACACAAAGGTAATATCCATTCAAGCTTTTCGGGTAGAGGAAATGCTGGTGGAGATATATATTTGAGCATCGTGGGGTCTGGATACAGTACCATCAACGTTATCATGCAAATCCAAAGTGCTGTTTTTGGATAATTTCGCAGTCACCCAAGAATACTCTACCTTGGAAGTTGAAAATTCAAAGTATGCAAGTTTTATACATAAGGACAGTTTACCACGAGAGGAAGTGAAGCTGCGGTGAAATGAGAAACCTATGATTGCACGCATTCAAAATGCGCTCCTGGGCCAACATTGCACATTATAAGGCTAACGTATTATTTAAAATACACAAAGGCAAAAGACACGAGTGGCTTGACCAAATGAAGGTATTGATAGCAATATTTCCATCGGATTGGTCTGGGAGATAGCCTAGCCCGCCGCTGAGCCTTCGTCGAGTAAATTGTACAGAGAATCTCTTCGGTCAGGTCGCGACCGTCGTTCATAGCAAGGAAAACAACGCGATGTCTAGAGTATGAAGTAAGGTATTGTGGACAGGCATTGTTAGATTTGGTCAATATGACAGGACCCTTGGGAATAGACACGGGAAAAATAGTATAATCAAAGGATTGAACCGGTAGTTCGCGAGAACAAATACAAATTCAAAAGGCATAAAACAATTGACTAGCATCATATCTCTGCGGGCGAAGGGTTAAAAGGCGTCGGTGCTATCCGTAGAGAGACCCACAAAGCGCTGAGAGTATCCTAGGCATCATAGCCATCAGATCTATGAGGAAACATCGCTTGTGATTTTGGCACGCTGCCTGCCCCAATACACAGCCCGTAGTCTCAGCAAGAATTCGACGTCTTCATGATCAGCCCATAAGCGATTGGACTGCTTCCGCAGCTGAAGAAGCCTTGGATTACGGAGTTCCTTCACTTTTGTGAGGTATGGGACCAGACATACCATTGACGAAGTCATAATCTTTTGGCCATCCATCTCTCCTCCCACAGACCTCTCGGACAATCACAAATATTCACTAAAGAAGTACTTTAATAGCACGGACTTTTCACAAAGGGCGGAGTAAAGTTAGGCCATACCACATCCCACAATAGTCTAGAGCCGCACTCATCATCAAGCCCATATTCGGTAAGATCACACACTGCCAAGTTCCATCGCATCATTTGCCATGCAGGGATATCAGTACCGGATGCTTGGGGAACTCAGCTGAAGTGTCTATTTATAATTGTTATCCTATTCAGTTGATAATAGATACTTCTCTCTCTTTCCCCTAACGTCTCCTTAGCTAGTTAACAGGCTATCTAGATGATAGATGATGGGTTCTGGAAACTGTAAGGAAGGCCTCCAGGCAGTCCGCGGCTTTATGTAAGAGGTCTCGATCTTAAACAGAATAAATAGCTATTTGCATACTGCCTAGTCCACGTATTAACAAATTAACCACGATTGAATTTGAAGTCTACCGTCTGTGTGAAGCTTAAATAACAGCTTGCGCCCCACGAGCTATGAAGCAAATATGGAGCGGGGAAGCTGCATGTAAAATAAGAAGTGAAAGAAAAGATAAGACAAGTAGAGAAGAAAATATATCTACAGCAAAGGTGGATGAAGACATTCCAGCGTGCGTCCTTGTGTTCAACCGCGCATCAAGGATTGGACCACATCATCAGGACTTGAAGGCTCCGAATAGGGCTTTCCCTCGTGGTACCCCCAAGGTGTGTATACATAGTCCTCTGGCCAACCCGCCTGGCGCCCGCAAACATACTTGACTTTCTCCAATACGCACTAGACAAAAATGTTAGAGATCATTAAATAGAAGAATGAATGGAGTAGTCGTACCTGTGACCATTTGGTATTGTCAAGGCATTCTGTAGGTTCGATGGTTCCGCCTGTGAAGTCACAAACCGGCAGGTTCCACCTCATCATCTGCCACGCAGGAATATCAGCCCCAGAGGTCTGGGGAATCCAACTGAAGTATGAGCCTGCGTCCACTGAGGACGTCCATTCGTTTGTCGTCTTTTGGATAAGGTAGGCGGATCGAGCGACATCATGGCCGTTGAATCCGTATTCGTCCTGCAGTCCGGCAATCCCCTTGGGGGGTTTGATTTCGGGCGTATGGGCCGAGCTCCGTAGTTCGTCCTTGATAAGCTGTGCATGATTTAGTATTATAGTCCAACAAGTTTCAGGTCGCCAATTGGGGAGTATTGTACCAGAAGGAAGGCACTGCCATCTGGGTTGCAGTACTTGAAGTCTGTGCTGTCTTGGTTCTCATCGATATCGCCGTTCTTGTCACAAGGGTGGTATGCTGAACCATCTCGAGTGAAAATAGAATCATTGTCGATTTTCACAACAATGACGAGATCCTTTTTCCACAACATGTTAATTAACGGCGCAGCAGCAAATTTTCTAAGTTCCTCGTTCTTCGGCATCACCGGACTATCCTGGTTGAGACTGTCAATGCCCGCGAAATGACCGCTTTGCAATATGCGCGGTATAGACGTGGGTTGGGTGACCCAATTAGGATCAGCTGGGGGTGTAGTCAGAAAGAGCTTCTTGTAGAATGTATCTAGACTGCCGGTAACCGCAGTTTTGATCTCGTCCGCTCTGTCACCTAGCTGCGCATATGTCTTGAACCGAATAGTGTCTGCACTAGTTTCATCCAGTGTCGTCACGGCGGCGGCCCCGAATGTTGCTACTCCAGCCGGTATGCCCGCCAGAGAGCTCTCGAAGAATCCGGCAATAATACTGGCCACACCAGCTGCAAGAGTTAGGCCAGCGTCGGGACCAAGATCGCTGTCCTTGTCACCGGAATGTGAGTATTTGGTTACCATGCTGGCGGTTTTGAAACTCATGCTGTTCCAGACATCCCCCATAACTTTGTGCACAATTCCGAGGTACCTCGCCAAATTACGGACTGCATGTAGAGCCTGGACTCGGTACATACGGCCATCCCGGCAAAAGTTCGCGTTGCTCAGGTTATCCACATTGCATTTCTCGCGGGGACTAGCAAATCAGTTAGTAGTAGCGAGGAGATTTGGCGGCTAAACCTACTTTACGCAATCCCATACGTATGTTCCGTCATTCTTAAGCCCCTGATATGCGGAAAGGGCGAGGGCTATGCCACCAGCACCCCCGTCGCCACCCGGCCACTGAAAGTCACTATTCGGATCCAGAGCAAGCTTCTGGTACCACCCGGCTCTGTTTGAACCAAATGGTTAGCTTACACTATGAATTTCGAGTCTGGTCAGAGTTTTAGAGACATACGTGGTGATAAGCCAGGACCCAGCATCCATCTCGTTCCACAACGCTTTATCCAATTGGTTCATGTCACCGCATATGGCGTCTTCGCGAGCCTTATCATCCAGGGGCCAATGTTCACTGCGTCAATGGATCAGCGTTTGGTCTCAGCTTGGAAAGGAATGAACGGAAAACATACTAATAGCCCTTAGGTGGTTCATCACCCGCATTACCAGTCGGAGTCGGGGTGATTGGTGGCTTGCCAGTAGGTGTAGGCTGACCAGGGGGGTTGTATGGAGGTAATCCAGGGTCTTTGGACGGGTCACCATCATCCACAGCGCTGCTATCACTTCCAGGGCAGGTATTGAACCACGTGTACGCCTAAACTAATCAGTGCCCCACCTTATCGAACCGGTATGCCAGAGAACTCACGATGTTAGTGCGTGGTATGACGTTGTGCATATCAGCTCGACCCAGTCCACCAAGATTTGGGAAAAATAGGTTTGCCTGTCCAAAGTTAACCAGTGGATACGTAAGTAATGAGCATGCCACTCACGCCTCTATCTGATCCTTGATACCGTGGGCCGTCCAGGAGCTCCCACTTCCAACTGGACCCCGCGGTAGGATGTGGACCTTTATTGATCCAAACCAATGTATTGCCATTGAACTTGTCGACCCACAGGAAATCCACGCGACGATCACCTGGAATACAGTAAGCCTGCGTGGTATAATAAGATACAAATGCAATGCCAGCACATACCGTCTACATCGGCCCAGCGATGATTGGCCCGGTCATATCCTTGGGTGCGTTTAACTTGGCCCTGGGACTGGAAGTTATTGACACCCTTGTTCAACCATCCAACGGTTCGTCCATTCGGTCTTGTTGGAGGCAGTTAGCATTGTGAATACTTTATTGGGGACATCATGAAACTTACTCCATACACAGGTAATCTGCGCGACCGTCACCACTGATTGGAGTCAGTATCACTTTTGAGGTCGGTTGATTGTAAGAGTATGGGAAAGACAAACTCTAGATCAGCCACCCTCACGCCAATATCATAAAGCCCAACTCCCCATCCTTCGGTACATTTCACGTTTCCACTAATGACCCCTTTATAGGTGAGGAAGCCACCCTTAATATCATCGTTCCAATTGTTGATCCACACTTCTGCCGCACCAGTCTCACGGTTGACAGCCCAAATATCGCACTGCGAATGATCAAATAGAATCATTAGCTGTAAAAGTTCATCAAGCATGAGGTCATTTTCTCTTTGAGTACCTTGCCATCACCATCGAAATCAGCCAGGTGAATACTCTTGCGTTCTCTTCCAATGTTGAAGATTTCCGGGCCCTCCGGGACCCAGACAGGGGGCTTATGGATATTGCCATAGAGCAAACCGCGTCCGGTAGGGGAGACCCAGATCTAGAAAAAAATTAATACCGGCCTGGCATGCGGAAGTGTGACAAAATAGACGTACATAATCATCTGCACCAGTGCCACGCCAGTCACAGTAGAAATCGCCGTCGGCTGTTTGGTCATGTCGGTCAGACAATTGTCAAGGTATGGAAACAGCGCACAAAGGAAGGGGAGGGAAAACGCACCCTTTAGAGTGGTTCCACCCTTGCCTGTATTCTTCCACACATTGGTGTAGTGGTTGTACGTCTTCGCATTCTTTATGGATTGTATCCACACGTAATCGGCGCCACCTCCTGGATAAACCTGGCCGAACTTGATCCGGTCTCTGGCACCCTTCACGCCCATACCCGCATGTGTAACACCAATCCGTCGCCATTCTGGGACCAAACTGCCCTTTCCTGAGCCACGCTGATTGATATATGTGGTGACCTTTCCCTCTTCATCTAGCCAAAGCCAGTCAGAGCGGAAGTCACCGTTGATATCAACCAGATGGACCCCTCTAAGATCGCCCATACCCTTGCCAGTAAAGACGACCCCTAAGTCCTGCCAATAGCCACCAAACTGCTTTGTTGGGGCGTCCTTCTGGCCTCCATTTCTCCAGCATTGGATATCACCATTGTTCTTGGCCAGACAGCTAATCAAGGAGTCAGTCTTTGTTCTACATTCGCGTCAAGCAAACCTACTAATCAATACGGCCATCGCCGTCAATATCACCGAGTCGTACGTTGGCTTGAGCCAGATCCCCTCCCGGTGCAGCCCTGACCAGCCCAATGGACTTGAATTGAGGGGGGCTGCCTCCTTGGTTAATGGAGGCATACATGGCACCTTCCCTGCTGATACAGATGAAATCATCCAACCCATCATTGTTCAGATCACCCCAATGTACGCCTGATGCCACCATTAGATTGAGAACCGAAAACAAACCAATTACTCTCTGGGGGACTCACCTCGGGCAAGACAATTATCCTTGACATCAATCTTCACGGGGTTTCCGAATTTGCCGTTACCATTATTAGGATACATCCAAGTCCCAAGACCGTCTCGAGTCCAAACAAGCTCATCGAGAGCTCCCTCACGATGGGCACCCCCCTGATTGACCAGCTGGGCATAATTGATACCTGGGTGGGTATCCTCCTTTGAATTAGTGATGCCAATCTGTTTGATCTGCCCCATGTGCTGGGAACCATGCTTATAGTCACCGTCATCCCAGCCACTACCGCGTTGGGTTTTCACCTTCCCTCCGCTGTTTCCACTACCGAACTCTTTCTCGCAGGTTGTATCGGCCCAGTCACTCTCTCCAATGTCCTTCGGTTTTTGTAAAAGCCCTCGGGATTCCGCTTCCTGAATTGCAGCCCACCATACTGAGGCCATCTTTTCATACCCTTTATCTGTCGGATGAGTACCGTCGACGAGCTCTGACACTTGAATAAAACCATCGCTCATCTCGGCTAGCACCATACGGTCGCCTTCCTTAATGCGCGTAGCTGCGATATTCCGGTATTGCTCATTAATCTTGACCACATTGGCCTGTGCCTTGTCGTCCCTATTGGGTAGTAGTGTCGAGAGAATAATGGTCGTTCCAGGAATCGCATCATATAGACGAGTGAGCATTTTATTCATCCTTTCTCCCGCTGAATCAGGGTGGATAGGCTTAACCGCATCATTGGTGCCAGCACTGCGATATCAGACGATCAGTATGTAGCCAGTATTCGTCATGAAATAGGTGCATCATACTTGATGAGAATAAGGTTAGGGGCCTTGGGAATGGTCCTTTCAGCGGCTTCGGCGATCTCGGAAATGATCCATCCGGAATGCCCTTCGTTATCCTAACAGCGTTACATGTCAGCTTCATCGGGAGTTGGCACGCCAAAAACTATTGACGAGATGCTTACATTGTCCTTCATGTCCCCACTTTTGAGGGAGCCAACCATATTCACCTCCCATCCCGCAAATCGGAGTTGCTGGCGCAGCACTTTACGGTACCCATTTTTATCCGATGACTTGAGACCCGTGGTGATCGAAGCCCCGAGAGGCATGATACGTAAGGGAAAGGGTTTCCCATCACGACTTCCTAGCTGGGGGCCAAGGTCAGAGGACCTGTGGTGGTGAGTGTGTTGGTGCCCATGATGGCCCGAAGGAATGGCCACAGTCAGAGCAAGCAGCGTCAGACCGATGATGAGCAGATGTAGCATCCGGCTCACTCCAAGCCCGACCGCCATGATGATGATTCTCCGGTAGGACTGTAGGCTCTAAGAAGGCAGAGAATTCGGAGATTGTTGTCGTTCCCCTTCATTATTTATATTTTTTCACTGCTTCTAGTATCATTATGCCCTCGGGGAGGGGGGGGGGGGGGGGCAGGCACAGGGACCACTTCCTTCCCCTTCCTAGGCTTTTTGTCTCATCGTTTCAATCACACATCAATTTTACCTGGTGGGGGTTTCGTCTTGGCATTTGCCGATTTTTATGATGCCAAGAGAGTTCTTAGCTCTTGCTCTTTGCTCTCGTTCGCCAATATTCGTGGTGTTTTGGACCTCCCCCGATGTTATCGCCAGGGCAGGACGATACGATACGGCAGCCATATGGACCAGCAGGCTTAGCTTGAGGTCCAAACCGAAGTAACATCGAGCTTGTTGGCGATGCCAAGATCTCGCGCTCCACACCACCAACAATCCCACATGGCCGGATTGGCCAAATAATCGTGTCGTCGAAGTCTCGAGTCATGAACTATATCCTCTAGTGAGACAGTTTCCACTTATAATCATCTCGTCTGCGCCATTCACCGCTGGCTCCCAACTGCCAAGGCAGCCAGCCCTAAAGACATTCGCGGGTACCTGAACATTGGCGATGTTACTCTGGGCTCGCTCCACAAAATTCCATCCCTTGGCAGACGAACTAAACAGGATTTTTCTTTACTACTGTCGTGGAATTTCCTTCACAAATACCATTCATTTAACTACTTCAGTTCTAAGGTACAGACAGCACCGACTACGGAGTCCAGTGACCCTCTCCGACCACGGTATTGGTTCATAAATCGGAATGATCGGTTGATTTCTAGGTATTCCATCTGCCTGCTGCCCTGGGAGACCCCCTATTGCTCAACGCACAGCCCCTTATCCTAACATAAAGTGGCGCAATAACGAAATAATCAAGGAGAAAGGGTTTCCTAACATGGGCAGAGTTGTCACGACAAACTTTCTGCTGAGCCAAAATGACCATGACTCCGAGGAACTACCCTTCATGTTTTCCAGAAATACGCTGAAAGGAAATCCAATTGTATGGTGAACCGTGCTTTACAGGGTTGAGTGGAGAAAATAGATATCTTCAAGTCATCACCCGCTCGGGTTGATGATCACCCTGGCCCCGCCATGTGCTATATATAATCACACGACAACAAAAGCGATACAAGTACAGTATAAAAGAATACCATCTATAGAACTATGGAAGGGGTTAAGGGTTTGATATGCATTATGCTGTACATGCCGCTATCCACCCTCGTGGTGATTGTCCCAATGGGGCATGCGGCTCTTGGAGATAGAATGCCAAGTGAGGCTTCTGGTGCTGTTCAGGGTCAATCATATGGCGGATGCAACCTCGGCAAAAGCACTGTGGAAGCCCCATAGAAGCTTGATACAGTGCCAAGCGGAAACCTGTACCGTAGAGCTATTGCTGTCGTATTTCACTGCCGCTTCTATGCGGTTTGAATCAAAGTGGTTGAACCGCGTTGTCTGCAGCCCATATCGCCTCCTTGCAACCACGGAAGTTGAGGATACTGAAGATCCGGTACAATGACACGCTGCTATTCAGGGGTGTTGGTGGGGACATTGGGTGTTTGTCGATTTATCTTATTGTCCGGGCTTTCTATCATCCGGGCTACTCGTGAAAGTGGACAGAAGGAGAAAACGTAGAAAATCGCCCCCAAAGATGGCAAGACATGGCGTGGGTCTTCCCAAAAGCCAATAGTCCCTGTTCCACTTGCCGGTTGCGGTGATTTGTGGTAATTTGTGGGTCATAAAATGAGGGTTGCAGCCAAGTCCACTAGCTTATTTAATTTAGCCCTGGCTTTGGAAGAGTTGTGCAGTGCATAAGTCGTAGGCGAGCTAAGCCACCCTGAAGACTCCCGGAATGGAGGCGATGAAATACAGCTCGACCATTTCACATCTCGGTGATTGATTATCATTCTAGTTTGAAACGCCTCCATAGTCTAAATCTTCACCCCGGTGACTCCTGTCAGAACAGCAAACTCTCATCGGCCTCATGATGCAACAAGACCGCATCGGTGAAGGGGGGGGGAAATCAGAGTGTTGTAGTTGCCAGGAAACATTATCTTCGCAGTATCTTGTTGGAATATGCATTATTGAGAAACCATGGAGGAGCGTATTGCCACCGAAGACATGTACTCGGTGTGTCTGTGTGAGCCCCGGGAGTGTCGGCAGGGGAATCTCCAGCCCTGCGTTCGGTTCGGGTCTCTGTGAAATGGGATATTCTTCCACAGCTACCTGTAAGGTCAGTCCCTAAAGTGTGCGATGCATTCGACATGGGCAACCCGGGAATGGGACCCCTCTGCAACTGTTTCATGAATGGCCGGCAGTAGGTGGTTCCGGACTGGCCTGGTGTGCAGAGAAGAGCATACTCAAGCCACGCAAAGTCCTGCCCAACTTCTGCAATGGAGTCGTTCGTTCCAGAGATCTTTACCCACGCGACCGAGCGTGCACTCGAGCTGCATTGTAGAGCATTCTCCAAGAGTCTATACCCTGCTCCCGTCAGGCAAGCTAACGGAAGGGGAGTAGGTATCAGGTGCAGAATCTGAATACTGGTCAGTGGTCAAGTTCAGTGTATGTACGAGTTATATATTCGCGTCTGGTCTGTCGCACGAGACTCTGTTACTATTATCGGTCGTTCTATTGTTTTCTTGTTCTCTGTAGAAGGCACATGGATTCCAATTTAACTGCACGAAAGCCTCGAGGGCTACTGTAGGGCTTTCTATTAATTAATGGAGAGATGGGGACAACTGTAAGGATGTAATAGAGTCCAGTCCATTATACTAGCTCATGGTGGCGTAAGCATGCACTCCCAGTGTATATTGGCCACAAGCCACTTGCATGAGGGAGAAATCAGAATGGGCTTCCTACACATCTGGAATTGCGGAGCATACTGTCCTCTTTATCTGTGTTGTCGGAGTCTATCGAAGGCCGTTCTTCGTTTCCGATGTCTTCCCGGAATCCATGGCAACTGATACTGCCTCTAGTGATCCTTGTATATACTAAGGAGATCAGTTTAAGTAATGGCCTTTTTCCAAAACGTTAATCGTCGCCATCGGCCCTATCAGATATGCTCGAGGCAGCGAAGTAGAATCTTGACCCGAACCAAAATCGGGGATTGAGTGTGATTGGTGACTGGATAGATTTTGCACATCAGTTTGCAGATTCGTCACATTATTACGTATCGCTCTGTGGGGATACCATGTTGGACCTGGGAGCTCGATTGTCCGAAACGAATGAACCATGGTCTCCTGCGAGTAGCAAGCCAAGAGTGTGCAAACGAAAGATGCTCAATACTGCAATCATAACAGAGCTTCCATCATCGAACGGCTGTTTCTCTGCCTGTATGATTGAATCAATATTGCTGATTATTGTATCCAGAGATTTCTTCATGTGTAGGAGTCGATTGGGAGTTAGATGATAGCTTGCTGTTTGCATTGATCCCAGATGGTACCTCACTTGCATCTCGGCAGGATCTCACTGTGGTGATTGTAACGCATACTCCGCATGACTATGGCTCTGAGACTACCAAGGATATAAATGTTCAGTGGCGAATCTTCAAGCCCGAAAAACTGCGAAGCATTGGGGAAGGGAGCCAGTGCCACAAATGCATCATGCGGCGCGTTGTCTGCTGTCCATGCAGGCGATGAATCCGGCTAAAGATTCGCATATGATTTAAGGGAAACTATATTTCACCCTGATGTCGTCTGCCGCCATAATACACTGTGGGGGATACTGTCACTCTTATCGATGTCAATTGGCACAATGCTCCGTGCAGGACTTTGCAGTTTATCATATAAGAATGGCGGTATGCATGACGATGCTGGCCGCTGCCCATCGGGCGGGCCTGTGCATATGTAGTCTAGCTATAGTGGCAGATAGCAATAAACAGTTCGGTAGCCCATGAGCCTCAACACGATTCTCTGCTATTAAGTGAGTGGCGATACTGGAGAGTGTAGCTTTTATGGGCTGATCATTGTTGTTTCTCGCCCTACTCCAGCGTTCCTTTGCCAGTTTGGGTTGGCTGTCTTCAGGGATCATGACCGGCGCCATCTTCAGCAGTCAAGTCAGGTAATTGATCTTTTAGCTCAACATTAGAAATTATCAGGAACGTTGCTTCAAAGGTGATAACGGGGCAATTCTCATGGGACGAATATCCCGCGCTGCATGTTGATTCTGAATGTTTCTCGGGATACTAATTTAGCTCAGAAATGGTGGGGTAAGTGAAGACTCGAGTGGCGGAGCAGGAATGTTCTCACAACTCACCACAGAGGCGATACTAGGCGTAGTCTAATAGTATGCTAGCACATGTACTAGTATACTAGGCCAAGATCTACCCCGCACACCGGTTTTTAGGGGATATACGCTGCCACCTAGGCTAGGGTTTCTATCTAGGATTCAAACGTAGGACCTCCCAGTCCCCTGTACCCTCTCCCTGTAGACTCAGTTTGCCCTGGATTGCACCTGTACAGCTTCCTGACGTTCCAGTGCCACAGAATGGGCCTCTGCTCCAGCTACAGTATAGACGAGGCGGCCTGAGCTATAAGAGTAAAGCTGCAACGTTTCCTTAGCATCTATTACTCTTCCCTCTTCTTGGCAGCTCGGTGTTTATACAGCCAATCCTGTACAAAGTCCATTCATCATGTGAACAAATGCATTAGTCATACGGCGATCCTTCCTGTTTTAGTTCTCTGTTTATCGGGTTGTGAGAAAGAGGAGCTCATCGCGGGACAGAACCAGCTCTGGCTGGACATATCGATATTTGCTAACGTTTGCGTGGCCTGTGCCTGGGCATAGGCCATACGTAAGCTTGCATAAAACTAATCAGCTGTGAATAAGGACACACAGATCCCTACTGGACTGGTCATCTAATGTACAATGCTTCGCCACTTTCTTTGCCTGCTTGGAGACCAGGTTTCGGGAGATCGTCGTCACAATTCGTGAAAGTGGAGCTGGATGATAATACCAACGCCGTTACGGACTATTTGGTAGACTCGGTAACTAACTTATAGATCCCTTGAATAGACATGATCATAGCTAACATCTCCGTCTCACTTCGTCCGAGGTACACCGCCACTGTCCCCTCAAGGACCCTCTTGTAGAGACAGTGTTGTGGTTGGCGAAACTATTTTAGACACGGATTGCACGGCGATGCCAAGACAGTGATCGACCACCAAGGCGTCCAAGGCCCCCCGCAGGAACAACTCGACAGACTGTTACGAACCTATTAGAAATCGCCTGCATTTTTCCTGTTGGACTGACAATCGGCGGTGTTCGCTCTCCTATCTTTAGAAGCGGAATATTGGGAGGCCTTGCGTATATGCGTGTGTCGCCGTGGATATCTGATAGGCTATGTTATGTGATGACGGGACTATATCTTCCCTCGGCAACACCATGCTCACTTATCTAGCAGCCCGGAGGAATTATTATATAAATGATTAACGGTCTTTCCTCCACCCTATCCTCATCATCCTACAAATCCCAGCAAATTGAATCAAGCTGTATCAGTTACCAAATTTGTCCATTATTCAATATGCGCGTTCTTGCCATCTTCGCAACCCTTCTGGCTGTGGCCTACGCTGGCCCCTCCCTGGAGCAGAGACAGCAGGGTAAGAATTGCAAGGTATGGATCTCGTATCATATATCAAAGGCAGGAAGGTTCTAATGCTTTGACAGGAAGTCCATAGCCCCGACACCTGTGGCGCACAGTGAGTATCCAGTAATTGCGGACAATGCACCGGATAAATATTAACATGTTCATAGCGGCCTGGTCAAGTGTGACGGTTCAGGTTCATTTCTTGTTTGCTGCGTATATTACCCCTTCTTGAGGTATTTTCTAAGATCATCTTTCTGACTCTTTACAGGAACGTTGCTATTAGGCGTATTGTGTCGAGGGCACACGTACCATTAGACGTGTTATGGTTGTTTTAATAGCCTTTCTAGTATAGAATACTGGAATCTAACATCCTCCACTCGTCCTAGGTCTTTCTGAATACTTCCCATGCAGTAGCAAGTGACATTAAAGAGCCCAAGGCCTGGAGCCATTCCGTCACTCTCCGGATGTGCTCATAGGCACCCATAATAAAGAACCATTTTGCCACTCCACACTCAGCAGAATACAATTTGATTCGGTTCATCATTAGCACCTGGTCGCCTTAGGTAAATCTATCAATTCAGTCTACCATTCAAGCAATTGAAACGATATGTTATCCTAGAGTTTTTGATTATATATATGCTCGGTAGTCCGATAATTTTCCTAGGCCGGGATGTGTTCATTTCTACCCTTCAGTCTATACCGAAAGCTGTCAAGTCATATTCGCCGGCTTTCACCCCTACGACCCCGTTTCTACGACCAACGGTCATAGATAGCTGAGGGCCGTTTTCTGGAATTCGTTCTCACGATTGTTCTTTCTCATGTTGTTTAGAAATCTATCAATGGATTGGTTGAAAGGGTTACATGTCCGCGTTAATAACCCTATGTCTATATCGAAGACTGAAAGGCTATGGCTCCTTCTCCTCAAAATGGAAAGATCGTATGGCTCAATCTGTACTGATGTAGCTGCAACGCTGGATGCGCGGAGCGTGTTCTATACTGACTCAAGCGCCACTGTTATAGGCTGCCAGTTCACCCTTCCTAAGAGGAGCTTATGTGCTCCATCTGAGCATTAATATACGTGATCTGCAAAGGGATCAGTCTATTTCTGAATCCCCGTGGATATGGCAGTACCTGCCTCCTGCGATTGACCAGTTTCCAAAGGGATGTTGATGGGCAAAAGGTGCTCCTCTCGATTATTGAAGATGACAGAGTTCGTAATTTAAAATCTTGTCTGTGTTAAACCAAGTACTACAGCCTGAAGACGTGGGACTTACCAAGCCTTCATAATTATCTCGTGCGCCATAGTCTTGGACATAGCCAGAAATGAGACTTCGACGGCGAGGTGGCATAACAGTAGAAAATTATAGCAGGCTATCATTGAAGATACATACTGTATTTCTTCGACTCTGGGTCATTAGGGAGGGTTTATTTTGTTAAGCCTCACTTGAATGAAGGTCCCTTCGTTCTTCCTTAGGGTAGGCAATCCGTAGTTTTAGTATATAAAATTCCAAGGATAGGGATTAGGTACCTCAATACCTCTTATCTAGTCTTAGTCTGAATTATAAAATATAGACATACAGATTTTTATACATCAAGCATTCTAACTCCGGGGGAGCTTAAGTCCGGTAGTTCTTGGTGACTCGGTGTCCACACCCACCGGCGCTGTTTGCAACTCTGGTGCGTATCTATGTGCATGGGAAAGTGCAAGTAATAGTATGACCATCCCCACCAATACCTGCCCACTTGTCTTGTTTACAGCCATCCTCGTTAAAGTCCCGGTGCTCATTGCTGTAGTTCAAGTAGCCATCAGTATCACCATTGGTGTGGATACTATTCTCTGGTGTTAGCATAATAGGGTCAGTCAATATGTATAGGAATGAGGGCCTTACCAGATAGAGTATGGCAGCTGTGAACTGAAGCAGTGATCACCTGCGTGCCAAATCTGGTTGCATGCTTCACTGAGGACGTCCTTTCGACCATCACCATAGTCGAGAGATACACCGCAGGTGTATGAATTATCGCCGCCACCGACAGCATTCTGGATTCGAGATATTTGATTAGATGCCACTCGCTCAGAGAAACATGTATACGGGCGTTTATGGGCCTCACCTGACCGCGCTGCTCGTCCAACTCAACAGTACATGTGCGCTCGCGACGCTCAACTGCCGCAGCTGAGGTACTAGCAAGAAGGGTAGAAAGAACCGTAAGGAGCATAGGGAGCATCATGTTGGTTATGACAGTTTGAGTCAAGGCCTCGTGATAGAAGAAGATGTAAAGAGTATGGAAGAATTAGCATAGAATGGGCTAGAAGAAGGAATGTATCTCCTTCTTATAACCCTAGTTGGACAGCACATTTCAGCTGCTCTCCGGGTTTTTCATCCGTCGACCTTGGAGGTAGACCTCGGTTGGCATGACCCGAGATCGTGGCCCCCAATATTCGGGGCTCCGATCGTTTCCCTAAGAGACCGGGGTCCATAATCCCCACATCCCGCTATCCAAGCATCATCCAGGGCTCATCCGGAGTAAATTAGCAGGTCCACTGTTCCCACAATTCTTCAATAGATTTGTCAAGCAAAATCATCACTCACTCGGCTTAATTACCTTCTTCAGCCAATCTGCCCTTACTCCAGTTAACATCCCCCACGCACTCCACACATCATTTTGGTTACATTCCCTTCGGTTGTACGACGTATGTGGAATAGATATAAAATATGGCTGAATGGGAACAGGCTCCACAGCCTCCACCTATCTCCCAACAGGGTGAATCTTCTCATAACTGGCTTTCCACGGTAGGTGAATACAATCCATGGCCATCTGTTAGCCGAACAATCAGTGTATGGCATGAAACGGAACTTTTATCTAGCAGTGGCTGCTCGCGGCTGGATAACTTGTTATCAGTCGACAACGATACCTCGCATTAGGGTCCAATGCACATGTCGTAATTTGCTACCCTCTTTCATGTACTTCAGATCGTCGAAGGAGCGGCCAACTAGGTTCAATCGGATGTCAGGGCTCTACGAATAGTGAGAAGGTCGCAAGGTTGGAAAACATGCGGTCCCATCATGCCGGTTCAGACGCAACTAGTACACTATAGTGCTGGTGAGTAGGGCCCACACTTGCTTGCTGGGCGGATCAACTCCAATGCTACCGGCATTCCCAGCATGAGTTGTGTTTTTGATGACGCAACATGGTACACTGCAGCGTACTAGCAGAGAGCCAATGACATCTTAAGCATGTCCAGTAGATTCTATGCCCAAAATACAGGACCATACGCTTCTCTTGCATGAAGATTGCACACAGAAATGGCAGTATAGTGTCCCAAGCAACTAGTTGACACGTCTCTTATTGATGGTGCATCAGCTCACACACTCGCACCACCTGACTACGAGAACTATCTATATCTCTGGGTGGATCACTCTTGGGTGGTGAACGCTACATGAGCTGAAAGAGCTGCTGGTTTTTCTTCCTCACCATTGTCGCTCCTTAGTTCTTCTCTGAGCCGGCGAATTAGGCCCCGCATGACCGATTGGTGATCCCCATACCAGTAACTAATGCAACCTAATACTCAGTCAACTTGGTGGCGGCAGCAGGATAGCGGCCTCCGGTGACAGGAAACCTCCCGTGGATGTCGTCAAGCTGTTCCATGTCACCCCGTGATAGTGGCACATGAGTGTTATTTTCCCTAACCCTCTCCACTGTGCGTGCTCCTGGAAGCGGGATGATTGTTGGCCACTTTCCCATGCCACTGCGAGTTCGAAGCCAACTCAGTGCCAGTTGCGCAGGAGTACATCCTTTCCCCTTCGCTATCTCGTCCACCTTTTCTACTAGCTGCAGGTTGGTGGGAAGGTTCTCGGGCTGAAACCGGGGAAACTGTCGGTGATAGTCATGGGGAGATAGATCCGCATGACTTCTAATCCTTCCGGCCAACATGCCCGCCCCAAGAGGTGTATGTGCCTCCATCACGATACCGAGTTCGGCGCATGTTTTGGCAACTCCGTTCTCAAACACATCCGTTGCCCACAAGCTTATCTCTGCTTCCACCATATCCACTTTCGCCACCGCATGGGCCGGGATGATCGTGTTCGAGTGGACCTCACTCAGCTGGATTCCTCCAATTTTACCTTCCTCGACCTGTTCTTTCAAGGCGGCGACCGTTTCCTCGATCGGAACGTGCGGGCATTGGCCCGATCTACCGATTGCCAGATTGCAGCAGGGGAGCTATCCATCGAAAAGGTACGCATTTCTGCCACCCCACTCTTGACGCTCAGGACCACCCTCTCCGCATCGGACGAGTATTGAGAGAAAAAGCGCTGCAGGAGGTGCAAAGAATTATGATCCGGTGTCCCGTACAAATCGGCGGCATTCCGGCCGTTTGCCCCAGCGTTTGCCCCAGCGTCTAGCGCTGCCTTTCACACAGGAAATGCTACCTCGTCCGGAATGGCATCACTGGGAAGGGTGAAACCTGCCTGCTGGTCAGCATGTACGTGCGCAAGTCTACGGAGTAATGGACAACAAACGCATAAGGCCGAGGCCGGTAGACCCAATTTCCTTTCCTACAAGAGTCGGCATTGTCGGTGGAAGTGCTATGTGTTTTTCCTAATTTCTCTGCCGGCTGAACGACGAGAGTCTTATTTGTATAGAATCTTCTGCGACCTTAACTCCGCCCGGCGTCCACTAACTCCGTGATCCACCAACTCCACCAAAATTGCCCTATTAGACCTTGGAGTAGACATTGAAAAGTAAGCAGACAGCACCCTGTTGAACAACAATTTATCTCTACAGCCATCGTGTAATTATGAGGGTTATGGATATGCTATGCAACGGTCTGCTGCGTGGAAACGAGACTCGGAGGGCGTGTTATACCTTGTCAGCGTTTATGCTCATCTACACACATTTATATCTCCTCTGTCCTGACACGGCTACAACAAGCACTCACTGGATATCAAATCATGGGAGGAGGGATTTCAGAGTCATCTTCTAGACTGAATTAAGTATTCCAGGTCATCGGGAACGTTATCTCCAGTATCACCATTAGGGCACGTTTTCCGCAGCCGCCGGCATCGGCGCCCCAGCGGGCGGCTGATTCTTCTTCTTGAACTCATCGCACATCTGCTCGAAGGTGACCCACTCCACCCCTTCGTGTTTATTGATATGCTCGATAATCCTGCAGCAGGTCAACTCCATGGTCCTTCTAGAGTGCTATCCTCAGCCGTCTTCGTACCTTTCATGCATAAGTAGCACATGCGGTCGCCCAGAAACATCCGGGTGTATCGTCATGGGGAAAACAAATTCGTCATACTCGCGGTAGAAATAATCAAAGTGATCCTAGGTACCGACAAAGTCGTTCAGGATTAGCGACACAAGGTCCTTCACCCTTGGCCCGTGGTTCGGGGGCACATAGAATAGAAGGGCCAGCCGGGGAACAAACCTTCCAGATATCCTCCACGTCCCGCGGATTCACCCACCCGTGGCTATTCGCAGAATTCTTGATGAACATCATGGGTGGCAGATCGTCAATGTACCAACTCCCCGGAATCTCCACCAGGCCGGTCGTTTGGCCCCGAACTAGTGGCTTCATCCACGTCTCCGCCTTTTGGCTGTAGTCAATCTTCGTCCATGAGTCCCCCGTCCGCAACCAGTACATCTGGCAGTCTTCGTGAGACATGGAGTGGTCATATTCAATCCCGTAGGCCAGCAGCAGTTCCACCATCTCCGCACTGGCCTCCCACCATGGGGCGACAATCCCGCGCGGCGGCTTACCACAGAAGTCGCGGAGCATTTTATAGGTCTTATCGAGAATGTCCCGCTGCTGCTCCCGCGTCATGCTGGCCGGGTTCTCGTGTGAATAGCCATGCAATCCGATCTCGTGGCCCGCATCCCGGATCTGCGCGCACTCCTCCGGGAATGTCTCCAACGTGTGGCCGGGAATGAACCAGGATGCCTTGATATTGTATTTCTCGAACAGCTTCAGTAGCCGCGGGGTGCCGACGTGCCCGGCCCACAGGCCGCGACTGATATCGCTTACGCTATCCTCTCCACCATATGACCCTAGCCAACCTGCGACCGCATCGATGTCTACCCCGTAACCGACCAAGATGCGCTTCTTGCCCATTTTACGGTGGGATTGGATGGGAATTCCGGGTTAATGGCTATTTCTGTTCGTTTGAGTTGGGATGTGGTTAAGGGGACTTCGAGGCGGACGCCACTGTAGCTCTCAGTCAATGGGTCGGGAAACAGACGTGGTTGAAAGTTGATATTTGAACCGTGGAGAGGATGTTGGCCTGGTCAAGAGGGGTTGAAGTGGGGGGAATGTCAAGCATGGAGGTTGAGCTGCTTATCAGCCTTTCCCCTCAAAGGTGGGGGGGGTTTTTGTTGTTGCAACCGAGGAAGATCGTTTATCCTTAAGATGGGGGAAACACCTATTGGTTTACTGTGGATATGAGAAACGCCCTTGATTCCCTGGTTTTGTTCTGCTAAGAGCTAATCTCTATTCGAGCAAAAGCAATAGTCCTCCTTATTTCTCTCACATTGTGAAAGTAATAATCGTTTTCATTTCCGAAGCCCGATTTGGAGGATAGTATTCTAGCTAAAGCTTGCCCTTGCATACCACAGCACCCTCTTGTTCCATGATTGCAGAGGTCTGATATATCTGCTGTTCGACAATTCTAGAATTAACCTAAAGAGAATCGCGTTAGTGAGTCTAGGGCAATCAAAAAGAAGGTAGCGGTTACATAGTGTGGACCCAAGTCGTTGACTGTGGTGGCCCCCAAGAGTCGCATGCACGTCTTTGTCTCGTCCAGCAAAACTAAAAGACCAAGATAGAATATTAGCGTATGGCCCAGGTCAATCAGAGAAGACAATAGGTGCCAGACCTTGCAGCGTTCGTTCGACTCCTTGCACCCCACCAGCGGCCAGGCCCCAAAGCGCCGGTCGTCCAATGCCAACAGCCTTCGCACCAAGACACAGTGCTTTCACCACGTCAGTACCTCGTCGAATGCCCCCATCCACCCACATCTCCATCGTCTCGAAGATATCGGGGCAGTACTTCCGTATTTCAAGGAGTGTGTGTACGGCCGGCGGCGCCGTGTCCAGCGACCGTCCACCATGATTGGACAGGATAACTGCTTGCACTAAAGGCGTATACCGCGCGGCAATAGCAACGTCTTCATGCGTCTGCAGACCCTTGAGGATGATAGGTTTCTTTGTGTGTCGTGATAGCCACTCGAGGGTCTCATACCAGGTGAGAGACGGATCTGTACCAGCAAAAAGCTGGGCACTAACGCTGCCTGCTGGATTGGCCTGCACATTGATACGCTCGTCATCTTCTCGCTTTCCAGACACGGGAGCATCAAGCGTCAGCACAACGAATTTGATCGCATCCAGCCTGTTCACACGTGCGAGCATTGCTTCGCTTGCACGGCGGTCTAGCTGAGCATATAGCTGCCATCCAAATACCTGAGTCGGGAGGGCATGGGCAACCACCTGTTCGGGTGAAAGTGAGGAGTTATTTGCGATGATCTGGAGAGCTCCAAAGGCTCCGCATGCTTCTGCTATTCCAGCCTCCCCGCTCGGGTGACCCAAGCGAGCCATGGCGGTTGGAGACACGTATATAGGGAGGCCAACCTTCCATCCCAGGAGCTCTGTCTCCACATCACACCTCTGGCAGTCGACAAAGACTCGGGGACGTAGTAAAAGCGATCGGTAAACTTGCCTGTTAAAATCTTTTGTGATCTTATCGTCTGCTGCGGAGTAATAGTACGCCCATGCCTTGTTGCTGATTACACTGGTGGCCGCCTGTTCGATCTCCTCGAGGTTCAAGAGTGAGTTAACATCAATTTCGTCCGGGGTATCCTTAGTCTGAGTTGCCGCAGATGACTCCTCGTCGAGGAAGAGTGACCCAAGAAGTGCCGGCTGGAGACTCTCCAAGGTCTCAGACGGATGAATGGGATCGAAGTCGCCTGTCGCATCTCTGCCACTTACGCGTAGGATTGCTTGGGCACCGCCAGGATGGCTTGACACAAAACGCGTTACCTTGTCCCGATCAGATACTTATGATGAAAGTACAATGGGGTCGCAGCACAAACTCACATCATACACCTTCCCATAGAGAGCAACCGAGCAGCTGTTCTCCGTGTTATGAATCGCAACTTTGGCTGTTAGTTAAGCCTTCGTCTGGGGAATTGTTGATGTACCTTCAGCACTTGTGAAAGCCTTGTCCATATTGAGTATTAGATTATTGGCTACGACATAAATGACCAAGTCCTCCACACTGGGGAAGGAAATATTAAATCATAACCCGCTATGTAATGAACCATGGAAGAGTCAAATACTATAGCTTTTCCCCACTCTCAGCCGATTAATGCCCCCCTCCCAGGGTATGATCGAATACTATCATTTAATTCGGTTGCACCCATTTGGCACATTAGAAAGGGATACACAGTACGGTAACCCCCACCATTATGTAGTCTTTTACACTCGATTAACAGAGTAGAAAGTTGGCTCCGATCAATTGCATGCCTCCGGTTCATAGTGCTAACCCCATCCTTTTGCCCCTAACCTCAACTATTATGTCCTCCCCGTGGCGGTCTAGAAGACCAAGGCGCTAGAGATTTACCGTCCATGGAAGCTCTTACAGTGCCTCGTGTCCATGCGTCTCGAATGGTAACCCAAACGAGAGAACTCCCACAGTCACCCACATTGCAGCACTGGCATAGATAGGGGCGCTAGTGAATCCGGTCTGAGATGAAACGAGACCGGCCACCAAGCCCCCAAGCCGCAGGAGAGCTGCTGCGGTGCCTGTTCCGGTACCACGATGGGGGGCGGGGAAGGATTCGGGGGTGAAGGCGAACATAACAGCATACTCTGGGAAAGGTGGTGAGTTTCAGCAGTCAATAGGGATCGCCGACTTTCATGCTAGCTTACCAAAGTTCGCTAGTATACTGGTGACACAGGAGAAGGCCAAGCTGGCAGTAGAGTTATTGACCCCCACATAGGCGAAAAGGAACACGGCCGTCACTACGGACGAGATTCCCATCATATACCGGCGGCCGAGCGTGGTGTTGACTCCCACAGCAGCCGATAGCGGACCCACAATGCCAACAGCCGATGTGATGCAGTAGTTACGGTAGGTTAAATAGAGAGAAGAGCCCTCTGTGAATTTGGTTTCCAAATATGACGGGAGGAAGTTAAAGTAGAGAGGGTATCCGATGCCTGTGACGAATGTTAATTAGGAACCCCGCGCCTGGTCATTTCTAGGGACCAAGCCTACCAATGGTTACCCATATTACCCAAATAATTATGGTATGTCTAGAAAGCTGTGATGTTGCAAATAGAGCGCGGTAATGTTCACCCCTGAAGGTTCGCAGGTTGTCGGCGATCATTTCCTTTGTTGAAAATCGTGCGGGTGCTCCATCGTCACTGGGCGTAGTGCCCAGCCGAGTATCAATTTCGCGAAGCATGCCAATTGTCAAAGGCTCTGGCCTTCCGTTCTGTCTAGCAACATGGTTGACTGCTTCCACAGCATCTTGATCCCGCCCCTGAGATAGTAGGTATCGTGGACTCTCGGGGAGCTTGAAAGCAAGCAGGCGTATGATGGTGAAGACGAGAGACATGCCTCCCAACGTAATCATTGTATATCGCCTAGAAATCACCGGGTTAGCCTTGAAGTGCAGATAAACTGCGAGTTCGTACCATCCCATGTTCTCGTGGCGGGGACACGTTGCTGGAGTCGTGTCTGTTGGGCAGCTGAAATTGGCCAGGAACACCCATGCTATTAAGGAGACAATGAGTTGACCTAGGCTCCACCATGCAGTCAATGCAGTGAGAAGATATTGATGGCTGGTTGCCCATTAGCTTTCAAATGACCATTGGACTACAGAGACACAGACCTCCTGGGAACAAATTCCAAGAACATCATCGAGCCCACTGGGACGTTCCCGCCGGCTGCGGTACCAATGACCGCCCAGAGAGCACTAAAGGCCACGAAGTTCATAGATCCGGCAACAGCGCAGAGAAAAGTGCCTGCTATAAGGACTGTAAGGTTGAACGCGGGTCGTCGACCGATTAAGTCGCTGGAGATGCCCCAGAACGATGCACCTAAGATGAGACCGATATAGTACGCGATCGAACTGTAGCTGACATGGATAATGCCCGAGAGCTCTTGCTGAATAGGAGGCTGGACACTTCCAATACCTTGGGAGGCAAACTAGCGAGACGCAACGTTAGCAGCGGGAGAACTAGGGAATGGCAGTACACGGCTACATTGTCCACGATCCATCCAAAGCCTGTTACAAAAAACAGCTTCCACTGAAACCTAATTCTATAAGCAGCGATTCTCACATACAGAGGTTCCCAATATAGTCACCTTCCCATGCCAATATCCTCCATGCACCTTCCTATCAACTCCGACTTGAGCCGGTATGCGTGTGTAGTAGAAGAACCATAGAACTGTTCAGCTTCATTGTCGTCGAGGACAACGACATTTCCTGCAGCTTTATCAGGATGGGCGTCATGGATAGCCTGACTGTGCTTCTTTTTCAAGTGAATTTCCCCCATTTTGGGTGGCTTTGATCGTGGTGGTCCTCCCTTCACTTTCCGCCCATGCCACTATGCCAATTCATATACTCACCTTGAGGGCTGAGAGTTCTGCTGACAACGTGTAGGAGCCAACCATCCCGACCCATTTACAACCCCAGGAGGCGATAACAAAGGTGGGCAAAGATAATACGAGGACCAGACGTAGCCAGACTCCCCCCACCTTTGCCTGTCCATGGAGAGGAATACAGGGAGGATGGTCGTTCTCCAGCCTAGACCAGGAGCAAGCACATACCCTCATTAATACGATATCATAACGGCATTAGGCGGCAGGTATCCATTCATTTACTAATATATACAGACATATGATATATGGGAACAATTATGGTGAGGACAATTTGGTTTAAGCCATGAAAGCATTGAGGAATAAATAACAGCGTTCCAATGTAGCTCGCTACGCTCCGACAGAGGCTACCGCTGGGGTAGACGCCAGGCTTTGCATTTCCATCTCCTTCTTGTATTGTTCCGCCCGGCCATAGCTCTCCTTGTAGGCTTCTGTTACCCTATCCTGGACGGTAATCGGTGGGTATTTCGCCGCCTCTCCCGGAGCACGACAATTGGGCAGGCACTCGCAAAGATAGTCCGGGTTTCCACTAAAGAAGAATGGAATCGAATATCTCTCACGGCCCGACTTGTTAATCACGCGATGAATGTTGGACTTGTATTTATCGTTGGCCATGCGCATGAACAGGTCGCCTAGATTCACAACGTAGGCTCCCTCGACAGGTTTCACCTGTAGATGATATGTATTAGCTATGGCATAAAGACGGGCAAGCTAGACACGCACATCAAGCCACTGCCCAGTGGGCACGTCCAAGACCTGCAACCCATCCACTTCATCCTGCAGAAGTAGAGTAACACATCCAAAGTCAGTATGGGCTCCAATTCCACGATTGAGCTTCTCGTCCTGGTCCTTCGGCTGCGCGGGATAGTGGAGGTAACGCATGGTCGCAACAGCGCCTTCGGTGAGAGGCTCGAAGAAAGTCGAGTCAACACCCAGGGTTAATGCAACCACCCCAAGGACGTCTTTGGCGAGCTCGAATACCGCATGGTAATATTCCATTGTTGTCTTTTGGAAATCCTCCTTGCCGGGAACGGTCTGTGGCCATTGATTGGGACCACTATTCAGCTTCCTCTGGATGAAGTATGGGTGATCTTCGGGGATCTCCTCGCCAATATAGAGGCCTTCTTTCAGCTCGGGGCCGGTGCCCGCTTCGAGCATTTGCGATCGCAGGAGCTCATAGCCTCTGTTGAAGGTATTGAGGTCTACCAGGTCAGTCGAGACTCCTTCTCAAAGTGGAGATTGAGGGCGATACTTTTGTCAATTTGCATCTTCTCTTCCAAAGGCAGATCGAAGAAGCGTTTCGAGCAATTCATCACACGGCGCTGCAAGTCGAGGGGCACACGATGGCCCGTGATCTGGAAGAAGCCATTGTAGTGGCAGCACTTGCGCACATCCTCTACCAATTTGGCCTTTGTTTCGTTGTCACCCCCGTAGAAGGGAGAGAAGTCCAGGATCGGGGGAGCAGTTGGTGCGGTCATAGTTCTTCGCTATCGATTGTGATACTAGTAACGTTCTCGTAGCGACCTGTGTCTGACTTTGACAACAAAATGTCCTGCTCGAATATATCCCCAGTAAGCACCGTCGAGATCTTCTCACTCCGACCAAGATTCGGACAGAATGCCGACATCCAACCCCTCATGCACCATCAGAGGACGAAGAGGGTGAGGAGGCCAGGGTGGGGGTGCCGCTCAAAGATGGGGTGATAGAGCTGATCGGCAGTCCAAGCTATAGCACGATGCGGGGATGTTATCTCGGTAGTCAGTCTTTAGCTTCGACTTGGCAATACTTGTACGTTTGTCCCAAATCTCACACAGCTTAGCTCGTATGGTAAACGCGCCATGTGGCCCCTGTGATATCATTTAAGCAGGCGGCCCGTAATGAAATGTGTGCGAAGGGATAAAAGGAACCTGTCGCACGGTCCAATATGTCTGAACAACTGAAGCAATCTACGATGACATTCTCCAATGCCGAAGTAAATTTACGGCAAAGGTCCAGTTATGCAGACCGACACGCCGAACGGTCATACTGTAAAAAAGTGGACCTCTGGGTGTTGCCAATGCTGTGCCTGGTGAGAGCGTTGTGACCGTTTCAGTGAACACGGACAGATCCCAAACTAACACCTGTAGATGTACTTCTTTGATTGCATGGATCGCGTGAGTCTTGGCTATTCTTATTCAGTTGCACGCTCCATACTTATCTGGCCAGAGTAACTTGGCAAATGCCAAAACGGATGGTCTCGACGACGACGTACATTTTCAAGGCAATGACTATTCTCTACTGATTCTTCTATTCTATATTCCATTTGGTCTATTTGACCTACCATGGAACTTATTGATCAAGCGCTATTCTGGTCGCATCATGCTCTCTTTCAGTAAGTTCATGCTAGACCACGACCCTGAGGAAGTAGCTAAGTCGTGCGCTATGCTTCATCAAGTGTCCGTTGTTTGGGGGATTCTTGCACTTTGCCAATGTGCAGCTAAGAACTTCGGCTCATTGCTTGCCATTCGTATTATTCTCGGCATCTTTGAGGCAGGTTTCTTTGCTGGAGCGACCTTTTACTTGACCCTATTCTACACCCGCGGGGAAATGGGCTTTCGCCTGGCCATTGTCCAGTCATTCGCTGTCCTCGCCTCAGCATTTAGTGGACTGATCTCTTTCGGCGTATTCCAAATTGACAGTACTTCGGTGAAGGGGTGGCAGTACTTATTTATTATCGAAGGTGGAATGACACTGCTAATTGGAGTCCTGGGTTTTCTCATCCTACCAGATAACCCCCAAAAGGCCTGGTTCCTGAACGACAGGGAGAGAGACGCAGCAACTGCTCGACTACTTCGAGACTCTTCATCCGAAGTAGCGACCGATTTCAATCTTAAAGCTTGCTTCCACTCTTGGGCCGACTGGCAGTTCCCCATTTGGTGCATAATAACGTTCACCTATCCCGTTGCCTATGCAACAGCAATGAACTTCTTCCCTCTAGTAAGTTTGAGACCATACATAATCTCTAATGCTTCAGCTCTGACCGAAGCAGATCGTGCAACGTCTCGGATATTCCGTTGTTAAGACCAACTTGTGGACGGTTGCCCCAAACCTTGTCGGCGCAGTGGTGTTGCTCAGCGTCGCCAAATCATCAGACCACTTCCGCGAGAGAACCTTTCACATAGTATTCTCCCTGGCCCTTTCCCTTGTTGGCATGGTGATTCTAGCTGCCATTGATGTTCTTCAACATACGGGGGTGGCCTACTTTGCTTGTTTTCTCATGGCATCGGGCGCATATATCCCATCATGCCTTGTTCATGCTTGGCATAATAACAACAACGTCCATGAAAACTCCCGCGCGGCGAATACGGGATTTTTTGTGGGTTTGGGGAATCTCGCGGGTGTTGTCAGTGCTGCTACCTTTCGGACCGAATATGCTCCCAAGTATGTGGCACGCTAATCTCGAGGAGCGAAAACAAGGAAAAGATCTTGACTAATTCACGGCAGGTATCTCCCTACCTTAGTTGTGACTTGCTGTTGTAATGCCGTGTGCATCGTCTTTGTCATGGGACTAGGGCTATGGATGCGGTTGGAGAATCGTCGTCGCGATCAGAAACAAGGACTAAGGTTTAGACAAGATGGAGTGGATACTAGTCGGTTCAAGAATGGCAGCAAGAGCATGGAATGGCGGTACTTCCTGTAGATCTTGCATGTTATACCAGCTGGAGATATCTATCTTAGGGCCATGTTGACTCCACCCACGTTCGCTGTCTATCTGGGTGAGAATAGTTGAAATTCTTTTACGTTGAACGTCCAATCATTACGAGCTTGGTATCCTGATCATTATTGGCTACGAGCAGAGATAGGCCACATATCAATCTCTTTCTCTATCAATTTCTTTTATCTAGCAGTCCAGCTTCCCCGCATTCTTATCAGTGACATCGGCCATCACGCCGAGGGCCCATGCATTTCTTCCCTAGTCCTCGATTTCCACCTATGGACTTCCACTGCCATTGAGTTGAGTGCAAAGTTCCTTTGTATCCTTGGCCAGCACGATGAAGAATCACCCTTGTGAATATCCCGGTTGCGGTAAAAGCTTCACTCGCGCCGAGCATCTGCGTCGGCATGCCCTCAATCACGAACAGCCACGCAAGGGCTTTACCTGTAAACGCTGCACGGTCCACTTTCAGCGCCCAGATCTGCTCGGTAAGTTCCAAACTTGTCCCGGTCATGATTGATTTGAGTCCCCAGGGCTGAACTCTTCAGCCCGACACATGCTGCGTCATGACAAACGAGATGAAGAAGCCGGCGGACCAGGGTTAGGTGTCTTGAATACACGCAAGCGGACTCGCAGAGCTCGTGATGGTACCATCATAGTGCGCCCCTCGCAGCGAGAGATGCGGTCGGGAGCGCGCTCGACAACGTCCTCCTCATCCACGGGTCAGGATTTAGCAGCAGGGGAGGAGCAGGAGGAGGATGAAGAGCCCATGGACGAGGCACCCATATCGCCGCCTATTTCTGGCACAGACCCAAGCTCCCTACCGATTGTCGACGCAGATCCATTTTTGGCGCCGATGATGCCAGGCGGCCCCTTTGAGCCCTATGTTGAACCTATTCCAGGACAGTTTGATGCAGCTGACGGATCATTTAATGTCGGGTTGGGTGGCATGGGCGATTTCTTCAGCATGGACACAGGTATGCGTCGCTCGTTATTCCAATCCGACGTCCACTTGTCTAATGAATATAGCCACGGACTTCAATCTTCCTTTTGCCGCGACTTGTAATTATAATTGGTTGTTTGACGTCGCCTCCCTCGATGATGCCTTTCATCAATTCGAATTTCCTCTCGGCTTCGATACAGAACCATTGCCTGGTGCACTTGACACAGAATATAATCAGGCCGTAGACAAGTACGATGGCCCATCAGCCCTGTTGGAGGTAGCGTCAATGATGAACAAAGAGAAGATGTCACAGTCTACATTGTCACCTATTTTGCCCGATATCCTGGAGATGGACTGGATGTCCGGTACCTCCTTGCTGGGACCCAGTCCACCGCCACACCTGCCACGACTGTCGGAGGATTGCCGGCGAGGCATCCTGTCCCTTGTGATGCAAGTATCGCCCTTAGGGATTGATGGTCGGCCAAGGACGCTGGACTCGCCTCTACTTACCCTCGGGGCTCTACAGGGCTACTGTGATCTCTTCTTTACGCGCTTTAATGTTACCTATCCCCTTGTGCATCAGCCAACCTTCAATCCAGATACCATTGACCCAATCTTTCTTGCGGCGGTGCTCTTCATGGGAGCTACCTACAGCACGCGCGAGGCACATCAGCTAGCCGTAGCCATCCATGACAAACTTCGCAACCAACTTTTGTGCCATGAAGAGTTTTGTCCACAGCCGGGGCTCTGGGTTTTACAAGCAATGCTTCTCATTGACTGCTTTGGAAAGATGAGGGCTGGCCCCAAGCAGCGCGAGCGCGCTCAGCTATTCCACTGTGTTCTGATTAAACTCATCCGCCGTAGTAACTGTTGCAGTGTACAAGGCTCTCCTCACCTAGCTCGCTCGCGGGATATAGATCAGGCATGGCGGCAGGCGATGGACGCAGAACAGCGGAAAAGGCTGGCGATGCTATGCTTCATGTGGGACACTCAGCACGCGGTTCTGTTCTCGCAATCCCTCTGCATGTCGGCATTCGAGATCCGGTCTTCTTTGCCTTGTAGCGCTGCCACCTGGGAAGCATCATCAGCTCGAGAGTGGGCACACTTTGCTGCCCGTGAAACAAATAGACCATTCCTGACAGTTCTCAAAGGCTACATTGCCCCAGGATCTACGTCTCGGCCCCGAGATCTGAATGTCTTTGCTCGTACTGTAATTCTACATGGCTTGATGTCAGTATCAGCCGATCTCAAACGGCGCGATCAAACCACACTACGGTCAGAAACACCGGAGCGGATGGGAGCGTGGACTCCACGGATGAGCCGGTCTTATGTTCTATGGAAAGTGGACTTTGATGCAGATTGCCTCGCTATGAAGCTGGGACAGACAGCAGATCCACGTCGTTTCACTGGATTGAAAGTGGCAGCCCACGCTCTCTATTATGCCTCTAGCCTGGCATTGAATGTGGAGATCCTCGACTTACAGATTGTCGCGGGAGCCATGCAAATTCTCGGACGAGCCGTCACTCCGGCCGACCAGTCCAGATCTCAGGAGAATATTATTCGTTGGCTGCACGAGGATTCCGGAGCATCGACCGCTGTGGCACGGCATGCATCATATCTCTTGCAGGATGCGGTGATGAGCCTTCATGATTGGGACCAGGCAGATGCTTTCCATTTCCCCTGGTGCCTCTACTTGGCTACTTTGGCCTGCTGGGTTTTCCATCGAGGCATCGATCCTTCATCATCCGAGCCCCGAATGAATACAGATCTATCTTCACTTATTGTCATGATGACCAACTGCCCCAGTACTACGGAGCTGGCAGCACTGTCGGGGAAGTACGACCCCAAACCTTTAGTAGCAGCAATGGCCCAGCAACTGGCGACTGTCCGATGGGCAGTGGTTCATGATGCAATGAAGGTACTCGTAGGCTTATCTTAATAGCGCAATAACTCCATTCTGTGTTCTCCTCTAGCCTTCTTCTATTTACTATAAAAAGGATAATCGGTGTATCCCTTCTCCGCCGGGTCAGCCCCATAGAAGGTCGACCGATCATAAGGGTTCAATGGCAGTCCCTCCCTCAACCGTCGAGGCAGATCGGGGTTGGCGATGAACCACCGTCCAAACACCACCGCGTCAGCTCCGTCGTCAATTACCTTCGGTCCAGCATTCTGAGGGTTGAAGTTCCCTGCGGCCAGGAATGTAATGCCGCCCTTTTTCAGAGTTGGCCGGAACACATCCAAGGACGGTCTCACCGATGCGAGAGAATCAATCTTCGCATTTTCGTCTAGCACCTCGTCAAAGCGAGGTTCAATCATATGCACATATGCGGGTCGGAATTCCGCGGGGAGTTCAGCGATTTGGGAGCATAGCGAAAGCCAGTGCACACTCGGGTTCGAGTCTCGAGTGTCCTGGAAGTAGTTGTATGGCGACAGGCGAATGCCTACACGGTCCGCCCCGATGGCCGCGGAGGCTGCCTTCAGCACCTCAAGGACGATACGGGACCGCTTCTCGATAGAACCCCCGTAGTCGTCTGTCCGAATGTTCACATTGTCGTGTAAGAATTGATCCAGAAGATATCCGTTCGCGGCTAGTTGATGTTATTCTCAGTGAACTGATGTTTCTCATGAAGTGCATGTTTCATTCATACCATGAATCTCAACCCCGTCGAACCCTGCTTCCATAGCTTTTTTGGAGGCCGCGGCATATTCTTCGACAGTTTCATGGATCTCATCCACGCTCATGGGTCGCGGGGGCGTCGCACCGTACTCGCTGCCATCCAACGCCTTTCCAGTAATCGGGATATCACTGGCACTCAGGGCTTGCTTTCCCTCGATGAAAGATGGCACTGTCGCCCGACCAACATGCCATAATTGGCAATATATGTAGGCGCCTTTCGCATGCACTGCATCGGTGACGTTCTTCCAGCCGGCGATTTGTGACGACGTGAAAATGCCGGGGACACCTGGATATCCAGCCGCCTGAGCTGTTAGTTAATGTCGGGGCTAGACTAGTAGTCATACATACGAGTCGACTAATCGGAGTTGCCTCTGTCAGCATGAGACCTCCCGGTGAAGCTCGTTGCGCATAGTATTCGACATTAAGCTCGTTGGGAACAAACACGCCGTCGGACTCCTTCGTCGATCGCATCCGAGTGCATGGCGCTTGAATTACCCGATGACTGAGGGACACAGCGCCCAAACGGAGCGGCTGGAAAAGAGGTCCAAGTGTATCGACTGAGCCCATTGTGAAGTAGTTGATTGCAGCTGGGATTGGTCCTTTCCCGCTGGACAGGGATAGCATGTTTATATAACCTATTGACACCCCGCTATCATGACTGGGAGGTGTAAAGAGTGGGAGAACAGTGGGATAGAACCATTCATCGTTGCAAATGTCGATTAAGGGTACATAAAATACGACCCACCCCCACCATAAGGCTATTCTTGCCCCCCACTCTCGCTCAAGCAGCCCTGGATCATCGTGACGTGCGTCTAGTCTAGTCTAGTCTCCAGTCGTAGCCTATACCGTTTCGTGTCAAAGACATTGACCCGAGGGCCGCTTCGTATGAATTAACGAAACGCGGTGCTTTTGACCCGCTGTTTCTGACTAGAATGTCATCGTAACAGCACTGTTCGATCTGGCTTATAAGATATCCATTATCCATGAAATCCCTTTAGGTATTGACCTTTGAACATTTCCATTGCTGCAGTCGTACATATATATATTCCTTGGTACTGTGAGCAATATATTCTCCATATCCGTAGCTGCCAGACTGCAGACCTCAATACTAAGACATATATGTATCATTATTCATCGCAGAAGAGGTTTAAATAATTACACATGATGTTATTATGTATCTAAAGCTCTCTGGGTAGTATTTCGTTATAAGCTAGTGAAATGATCAACTTTAGCCGTAAAATGACCGTCCTAAATGTAGTTATTCGGCGATTATGCACGCTATCGTGATCGCAGCAGCCCTCGAGTAACTATTAATTGGCTACTTCTCTTAATTTGCGAGATAAAATCCATGGTCACAAAGGTCTAACAAGTCTACCTTACATCATGAATGCGAAGTAGTCGTCAATCCACTTCCCAGCCTCGGTGCCCGCTGCCAGTTCCCATGTCTCGATGGTTCCAACGTATCCATCTGGTCGCACGATCACTATGCCAGCATGATCTCCCTGCAATGGCCCAACCCATTTGTCTGTACAACAGGGTGAATCAACATCGTCCAGATATAAGGTCCAGCGACTACCTTGCAGTGCCTTGGGTAAATCTGCAATTTCGAACTCAGACTTGGAAGACTGAGTCACCATCGCATAAGTGAAAGCCCTTGATACCGCGGTATATCTCTGTGAGTTCATAAATGTGTCTGATGGAGTTGCCCTATGGGGTTGAATCGCATATGACTGGTTTGCTCGTGAGGAGATCTTTCCAATCCCAGTCGCGTTGTCAAGTCCCTCACATACGATACTGAGAAACCCAAGTGCCTTGGGAACATCTGGAACAAAGAAGAATATTCGGAATTGGCTCAACATCGGAACATCAAGCTGGATGGACACGGGGTTGGCGTCAATGTATCGAGTTACCTTTCCTGGACGCTGGAGAGTGCCAGGCCGCAGGGGGGTTGATATGGCAGCCCTGCCTCGGCTCAGCAAGCCCTGTGAGTATTCCGCACCCATGCCAGAGATAAAGCGAATATTTTCATCAAAGTTCTTGGCAAGGGCAGCCTCGCCTTGTGAGAAAGCTTTGCAATGTTCTGCATCGAAGTTTATAAGATCGTACGCAATCTTTTGTCGCTCCTCTTCATAGGTAGATAGAAGGGACGGGTTGGCCAACCCACGAATGACAAGATTAAGCTTCCATGCCAGATTAAAACTGTCATGCATGCTTGTATTCGCCCCTTGGGCTGCTAGAGCAGAGTGGCAGTGCCCAGCCTGTTGGGTATTAGCATGAAGCAGGCGAGACGCAATGTGGGTGAAGCATCATACATCACCGGCAATGAATATCCGCGCCTCTGAGTCCATGAAACGCTTCGCTACGCGTTGGCCCACAACATAATTTCCGAACCAATCAATCGTTTTCCACTCAAGGCGGAAGGGGTACATTGCTTCTCTTGCTCTTTGCATAACATATTCGGGTGTAGCTTTGGACCTTTCAACCCGTTCGCCGTCGGTCTCGCTGAGCTGAACGTATAATCGAGTCATGTTGCGTTCGCGTGGGATCCAAAGAATAGACCCGGCCAGAGCGGAACGCACTGCAACTTTACTCCAGAGGTCGGGAAAATCGGTATCGATGACACCTATCTCTCAGCTTTATACTGTACATGCAGACACGGTTGAACTCACCATCCAGCACGCCCCATGAGGCGTTGGTCACCTCACCCTCCAACTGCGCATCGGGGATACACTCCCTTACCTTTGAACGAGCACCGTCACATCCAACTAGGTAGCCGGCCCGGATTGTTTTGACGGTCTTGCTCCCCAGGTCCTCATACGCAATATCCAGCTGCCCTGTGCCTGCCACGCGCGAACAAGAAGCAAACCGACTATTTCTCATGACAAAGACACCTCTAGCCTCCATATCATCGATTAAAACTTCTTCAACCATACCCTGGTGGGCAAGAAGGATATAAGGATCGGAGGCTCCGACGAGATGATCAGGATAATGCCTTTGGCGTCCTGTCCGGTGGAGTGGCTTATCTGGCATTGATCGCTGGGATCCGTCAGCCAGGATCAAAGAAGTTTAGGATGATACAGGCATACCCAGAAAGAAATATCGTAGACACGGGCAGAATTTCTCAACAGCGGATCAGCGAGTCGCATCTGCCTGAATGTCTCAATCGTCTTGGGTTGCATGCCATCCGCCTTGCCGGTGGAGGTCTTGTCCGGACGATCATCCAGGATTCTAACATCAATACCGAATCGAGCCAGATTGCATCTGTGAAACTGTGAGTCCACCAAACATGATTGTTGGGAGCGGACCTACGCGAGCATCAACCCGGACGGCCCAGCGCCGACCACAACGACCGTAGTTGAAGCATCAATAGGGCCTTTAGAAATATATCCTTCATTGTCTACACCCGGTGCCATTTTTGCGATTGTTTCCTTTTCAGCGAAATCAAGGCGGCTCGAGTTCTCCGCATGGATATAGACCTTGTATATTATAGCTTAGATATTGGAGATTTAAATACGGAGTCGCCCAAACCCCCACTCTTGCCCTATCTCCGCTACCATCGGGTGACTCCCCCATCCACAATGACATCCTGCCCCGTCATGTACGCACTGGCGTCGCTCGCTAGGAAAACACACGCCCCCATGATATCCTCGGGCTCAGCGATACGTCCATTCATGGCTTCCAACTCCCAGCCTTGAACAAGATGGGGGAACTGTCAATGAAATCAGTGTGGGACAGCACAGCAGTTGAGCTTCTGGCAAACCTACAGCCGCAGTCATCTCCGTTCGTACATATCCAGGAGAAATGGAGTTCACACGAATACCCTGTTATGGTCAGTCGCAGCTTAGAAGGCACGGTCCAAGACTCACGTATTCTGCCAGCTCTTTTGCAATTGCAGGGCACATAGATCGAACTGCTCCTTTGGTTCCACAGTACGCGCTGCACAGTTGGCTTCGCACAGCAATGTGACTAGCCATACTAGCTACAAGCACGATGCTCCCATGCTTGGTTCCGTTTGCGATCATCTGTTTGGCCGCCAACTGAGCCGTAAAGTATAGTCCAAGTACATTAATCGAGACAAGATCGTGGTGGTCTTTGTAGGTAAACTCCAGGAAGGGAAGATGACGGTTGATCCCAGCGCATGGGACACAAATATCGAGTGCATTATTAAAGCCCTTCTGAAACTGCATGAAACCATTCTCCAGCGATTCCCGCGACGAAACATCGACTCTATTTAGGTCAGCCACTCACCAATTGTGATAGAGGGAAATAGCGAACCTGTAATACGCTGTGCGAACATTATAGTCCTTCTCCATGGCATAGAATTCAGTGTCCGGATCTACAACATCAAAGATGGCTACATTCGCCCCTGCCTCAGCCAGTCCGCGCGCAAAGGCGAGCCCACAGCCTCGAGCGCCCCCCGTTACTAGTGCTGTTCGCCCTTGGAGTGAAAACTGACCGGTTAGCCACAACATGGATAGTGTCGCAAGAAACCTACTTTTGACATCATGCAAATTTTGAAACCTGAACAGAAGTTTCAGTGCTCTTCCGTATCCCGTAACACACGAGTTCATGGCTTTTAGCCCCTCAGATATAGCAGTACCCTTTGCAGTGTCGGATAGCGGCGGGTGGGTGAACCACAGATAACCCCCATCTTTGATGCGCGGGATCTCCAGCACGAAGCTATCATAAATACCCCCAATACTTAAGTCCATCTCTTGATAGGATCCAAAGCAGACCCCACACCCCTGTCACCTAGTCCACTTTCATTCACCATGGCTCCTCGCATTCACATTAAGCAACAACAAACCCGCTCCAAATCATGTCGACTTGACATTCTGATTGTCGGAGCCGGTCTGGCAGGGCTGGGCTCTGCCATTAGTTGTGCTCTCGTCGGTCACTCCGTTCACATTCTCGAAGCTGCCCAGGAAATTAAAGAAGTCGGCGCCGGTATCCAGGTTCTTCCGAACAGCTCGCGCGTTCTCCAACACTGGGGCCTGGAGAAGGCGTTAACCCCGCATATGACGGTTCCGAGCGTCTGTAACTTTATTGGATGGAAGGGGAATAAAATCTCCCACTTAGACTTTCATGAATCCGAGAGCAATTATCCTGGAACATGGTATCGGGATTTTCATCGTGCTGATCTCCAGCGGTGTCTTGTTGACAGAGCTCTGGAGCTCGGGGTACAAATGACCTGCAATGCACGCATTAGAACCGTCCATGTGAGCGATGATGGCGCCACCGCAACCATCGTGGCAGCGGATGGTAGGCAGTGGGAAGGCGATCTAGTGATCGGAGCCGACGGCGTATTTGGAAGGTTGACGGAGGAGTTGCTTGGACGCAGCAATCCCCCAGTCAAAACCGGGGATCTCGCATATCGTCTGTTATTGTCGACTGAAGAGATGCGGAAGGACCCCGAGTTGGCACCGTTTGTGAACAATCCACAGGTTAATTACTGGCTGGGTCCAGATGCTCATGCTGGTGTGTTGCATTCCATGAATTTACTTGAATTGGCTAACCATAGCAGTGAATTACGTACTCCGAGGCGGAGACCTGTTCAATATGGTGTTGCTTGTACCAGATGATATCCCTGAGGATTCTCTTGCATCGACGATCGAAGGGAATGTGGAGGAGATGTGCGCTTTGTTTAAAGGCTGGGATCCACGGTAGGTCACTGCAACAGGCTTTCTACGGCTACTTCAGCCACTAACAGCAATAGTATTCAAAAGCTACTCAAGCTCTGCCAGTCGGTGCAGAAATGGAGGCTTTGTATCCGATTCGGGGAATTCGACTGGTCTCACCCATCCGGTTCATGGATAATGCTGGGCGATGCGGTGCATGCAACCCTGCCGTATCTAGCTTCAGGGTATGATCCGGCTTTGAGGTCTTCTAGTTTGGGGCTCACTATAATCTCTTAGGGCCGGTATGGCATTCGAAGATGGTGCTGTTCTCGGTGAATGCCTATCTCGCCTTCCCGATCATTACAATCTCGAAAAGACGTCGCCCGAGTTTCTGAAGGCCAAAAGGCACGCCCTGTCCGTATTTCAACGGTGTCGTAAGGAGCGTACAAAAATGGTGGTTGAAAGGGGAAATATCCAACAATATTTATATCATCTGCACGATGGGCCCGAACAACAGGCAAGGGATTGGAAGATGCAGATGACACCGACGCCTGAAGGCGAGGCTCTGGCTTGGAGAGATCCTGGGTTGGCTCCGAAGCTATTGGGATATGACCATATTGCCGATGTGAGTTATGCATGTGGTAAGCAGTCTACGAGCCCAACTAACAATGATTAGGTAGATCGCCACTGGGTAATCCGACAAGAAGGTGAGATGGTGGGGTCTCGACTTTAGTTACCACGTGTAAATTGAACCTAATTCGAGATCAAACCGTTGGTCAACAGTCTATGAAAGTGTAGAACGGGTCCCCACTGCCCCCATCTTTGATATAGGATAGTTTATCAACCTCCCCATTCTTGACACCGTCTCCATTCAAGTCATTTCAGTAGTTCCCCGCTCGGGCTATCCGTATATAGACGTCCCAAGGATCTTTGCAGTGATGGCAATCTGTCTCTATTTTTCTCCTTGAACGTGATACTACCCAGATCACTTCTAAAAATGTGGCAATTCTTGCGCTTCTCATCCAAACAACCTGAGAAAGAGCCTCCACGAGGGCTTCCTGCATCATGGTATCGCTCCGAGGCGATGTATCAGCTGGAACGCCGAGCGATCTTCTCCAAGCGCTGGATTCTCCTCACCCATTCAAGCCGATTCAACCAACAAGGCGATTTCCTCTCCTTCACCGTCGCAAACTTTTCATTCTTCTTAATCCGGGGCCGTGATGATACTATCAATGGTTTCCACAATATCTGCCGGCACCGCGCATTCCCAGTCGTACAGACTCGTTCCGGATCGACCTCCATTCTTAGCTGCAAGTATCATGGTTGGTCCTATGGGCTCAAAGGCAATCTAGCCAAAGCACCGCGCTTCGACACTGTTCCGGAATTCGATAAAACCCAACATGGATTGCTCCCCATACATGTCCATATCGACAAGGCCGGCTTCATTTGGGTGAATCTGCAAGCGGGCTTGCCGGATGTGCAATGGGAGGACGACTTCCGAAGAATCGATGAACAGCCACGAATGCAAGAGTTCGACTTTGCCGGGGAATACACATTCGATCACTCCTGGGAAATGGACTTGGATGCAAACTGGAAGGGAGTGATTGAGAACTATAATGAGTGCTATCATTGTGCAACTTCTCATCCGCTCATCAGCGGGGTGTCGGATCTTCCTCGGTATCGCGTGGAGCCCACAGCAGGATACATGGAGCACCACATTTTCAACAAAGAACAGATCGATGCTCAGTTTAAACGGGCAATTACTTATTTCTTCCCCACCACCTCAGTCACCGTCACGTAAGTAAAGCGTATCGGCCATTGACGTGTGTCGCTGACCCACAAGTGACAAATTCTTCTATATTCAACGCATGATTCCGGTTTCCGCAACCAAGAGTAAAATTGAGAACGAAGTGTATCGTCATCAAGATGCGACAGACAAAGAGTTCGATGATATCAACGCGTTTTATCGGCAGGTGCTTGACGAGGATAAGGAGCTGTGCGTGGGAGCACAGGGCAATCTGGGCGCCGGGGTCTTTGTCAACGGCGAGCTTCACCCAGACAAGGAAAAGGTACGCAGCACAGTCATGGACTAGCATATTTCCCTCTGACCGGCAATGACAGGGCCCGCTTCATTTTCAGAAGCATGTGAAGGAGGTGCTCATGGCGCACCGGAAGAAGGAAGAGCAACAAGGTGGACGAGAAATCTGGCCTGCACTTCCTAAGCTATCTGGACAGATGACTGAGAAGCTGGCTGGTGAAGAACGATTTTGTTCACAATTAGAGGCTGCCACTTGCCTGAACCGGCCGGAGCTGACATGGTGATTATAATCAGTTATGTTCGCAGGCTAGCAGCTAGCATGGTCGAAGACTCGGCGTGCTGAATCACTGATCTATCCAATCCTTCATGATCAGGTTAATCTCCATACCGAGGCAGTTCAATTCATATAGTGTCACAATTCTCATCATGTAGATATCAGACCTGTACGACTGGAGGTGGCCATACGGCTGGCAGGGGTCGGAATTCTCCAGTTTTAGTTTTGATTCAGGCAATCTGGTTGGTCATATATATGATGAAGTATGTGAGGTGTGCATTGGAATGGAATATTTTAATGTCATAAATCGGAAATCATTTTATGCCGGCAGCCAGAAAAAGTCGGATTTCATCATGGATCTGCCATCCGTACCATTCTATGACTGATCCAAGGCGGGTAGCAAATACCTGCCCCATAATGGCAAGTGTTGGTGACCATCGATGCACCTTTTCTCCTTCTACTTTTCCTATTTTCCTTTGTGAGCCTAGAATTGGATTCTCTTTTTAGGCATCTCGCTACGAGGTTTATAGATTCCGAAATCCTGACATCAATCCCACCACTATCTGCTAATAATTCATAAGTACCGGTGGAGACCAACGTGCTACGGTGCAGCCTGCGGATATATATACTAGCACAGGCCACACAGCCTCTGTCCTCTTATGTGTTCTTTTTTTTT